TTCTATATATACCTAGACTGGGTTGGAATACGCCCCGTCATTGACTTGAAGACTATTTTCAGAGTGCAGCCAGTCGCAGAGAAAACAATCTAATTGATAATCTTAACGGTAAAAAGATACTGACGAGGGCCTAACCAGTCCTTGTGCATCCCATTTTTATGTCCAGCTATAACCAGGGAGCACTCATTATACATATATAGGTGCAAAACACCTGCTTGAACCTGTGTGGATGCAAAGTCACAAAACTCGACAAAGACGTCATCGTTACATTTGCAATATCACAGGGCCGCATCTCACAACTCCACCAGTCTTTGTAAAAATTGGAAAGACTCCCGTCGGGATCTAACCACATTGTTGATAGCACGTGTACCCCTATGTATCAATGCCTCTCGGATCGCGTTGATTATGGGCTCCTAATGCGATTTTTGAGTAACATTCAAGATTTGCTTTCGTGCCCAAAGTTTAGTTTTTTGTATCGCCAATGTTTCTGATTTATTCACATCGAACTTAATCTAAGTTGTGGAGTTCCACCAAATTCGGGCTAGGTTTTTACGGTTTTGATATTGTCCTATTTAGAGATATCGGAAAAATCAACCAGTTTTCGTCAGTGTTTTCATCCTGCTCGACATTGTAGACACCATAATTTGAAATATGTCCCCATCAGAACACATTATATCAATACTTTTCCAATTCTCCCGGTTTGTGTAATTGATCACTCTGTTAGTATCCTCCTTATATGACCCTGGTGTTGAGAAAATCTTGCTAAAGGGTATCCTAGTCGTCACAGGAAAACGTGTAACTTTGGTAGACCCGGTTTATGAAATAGGAATCAAATGGATATGATTATATAGCTGTGTCAACGACTCGGATAAAAATAAAGGAGTGAAAGGAAATTATATCTAAACTACCTTGCTAAATTACCAACTGATTTAAGTTGTGATGTTGAACCAAACCCTGTTTCTATAATTGTATATCTGCACTATTTTACCTAGCATCACTGAAGTGGCAGTGAAAAATGAAACAGATATAGTTTTCCTGACTTCTCTATATACACTGTATTCATTACTAAAACTGTACAAAACACGTGTCAAAAACACCTTTATAACAAAGTTAGAATTCAATACAGTAAAACCTTATAATGCATTAAACTGTATATTATATATGTAGCAACTTCCATTTTTATGTCCAGGGGATAATCACGGGGCATACAGTACACGTGTAAAGGCCTAAAACAGCTGCTTGAATAAGTGGGAGTGCTAACTAAAAAAATTAGCATATATACCTACAGTCGCAATATCATAGGACCACAACTCGCGTCAGTCTTAGAAATACCGGAAAGTCCCCGTCGGGATCTAACTACATTGTTGATAACACGGCGTACTTCAGCGACGTTGTCAATGCCTGTCGGAATCAAGATGATTCTAGTCTCCAGATGCGCCTTTTAAGTAAACGTTGGGATTTTTTTTATGTCCTACGGTTTGAGCTAAGAAATAGTTTATAGACACGCCTGATTTCCCATAATAATTGACCGTTTGCCGATTCTATCCCTTGACTAGTGACTTGATACTATTCCTTGTGTAACATTCAGTTTGAAACATTAGAAAGGTAACATCTGGTTGATGCAATGTTTTCCTGCATCTATCTCTATTTAGGAAAAGTGCATTTCTTCTGTTTGGCTTGTTACCATGTCAAAATTGTACTCTAGTGTGTTTCATACGAGCTATTCACAAGGTCTGAAAGCAGTGTGTTATTGAATCGAGAATAATCCCATTTCTCAAAGAATAGAGTATTGTAATTACGTATTTTACGTGTGCTGCTGCGAGGAAAGAGTGCGACTGAAGGATAATGGAAAGACAAAAATTACCATACGCTGGATCTTCATGTTTCGGTTTAGTATAAAATGTATCTAACTTGTAACACAACCATTAGAAGATTTGAGTTTGACAATTAGAGACTACATGGTCAGGTTCATCAGACAAATTATCAGTGCGAAGCGTGCTAGCACTGACGTACGTACATATGTAGTGTACGAGAAGGTAAGGAAACTAATTTTTGGGCTAGTGTGACGACATGGTAAACAGAATATATGAAATACCCAGGATGGTAGTAACAATGTACTGTAGTCGATTCGGTTACGATTTGTTTAACGCTTGCCCATATTGCAATAGCCGTTGGTGGTCCCCTCGTCTCGGTTTAGTACTGACTCGCTGCGGTGTATCCAGATGGCCTCCTTGACAAAAAGTCTGAACAGGTTGTTTTCCCTACCGACTATTGTGGAGTTTCCCAGTCAATGATATTGTTGATTTATTGATCTGCGATTGAAAAATGCTTTCACTTTGATCTGGTGATTATTTTACTTCTAGGGTTCCGCAGGGAAAACAAATAGGCCATCTTGTACGACACTAACCTGTGTGTGTTTCTGTCAAAACAACAAACAAACTGGCGTTTCCTTGGTAACTAAATCTTGCTTAAAACGGACAGTTTATAGCACCTTTACTGGCAGTATAAACAGGTGTGGTGTACGTGTATCAACGGACTACGGATAGCAAACATATCATATTACACCATTTAGAAAACTGTGGAAGAAACAGAACTGTGGAAACTAGACGAATACAATGATGAATTGAACCGTTCACTTTCATCATCAATATCGACCAGCATGTATGTTTCATATTTCATCCTTAATCACACATGCAGGTAAATTTTACTCAATACTTCAGGAAACACTTCCTGTTGCGAAAGCGTTTTCCTCATGTTGAGATACCACATGAAATTGTCGTTCAGAGTTCTTTTATTGGTGTGGTGGTCAGCGGTACACCGATATTGTCCAACTTTCATTATTTTATAAAGCCGCTTCATTTTTGAAGATTTGTTTTTTCATGGTATGTAGATTTTAAACAAATCCAAAGAGCTTTGGATAAATCCTCAACAACGTCTTCTGAAAACATTTCCTCAATAAAAAGAATTTATTTTTCCACACTGTACACTAAAATAAAAACCATTCTCAAGGAACGCCTTTGTTTACATATCATGAGGGTTTTCTTCTCCAAGAAAGATTGACAAAATTATAAATATATGCTTGTGAAATATACTGAAATGTATTTCGCCGAAAACACGTTCAAATTAAAGAAAAAATAAATGGAGGACGAAATCATCAAAAATTGAAGAGTTTCTGGTTGAAAATATATTCGTCGAGATCGGTAGTAAGTCCTTCCAGTAGTTAATTGGTATACCTATGGGAACATTTTTCATACGAGACTGGATTTATGGAAGACTTTATCAAAACAGCCACATTCCTGTCAAGTCCTTCAGTTTAGCTTTTAGATATATTGTTTTAAATCACAAGAGATTGATTGACAATGCCCATCGAATATACCCTCCAGAAAAGGAAATCAAAGAATCGACAGACTCTTCTAAACCAGTCGCTTACCACGTTCTTTTCCTACAACGATATCAACTTGCACAGGTTTTCACCAAGCTTTATGATAAGTGTGATGATTTTAATCTACCTGCTGTGATGTTTTTCCCCATTTCTATGTGGTAATATCCCGCATACCCAACTTATGTTATCTTAAGGTCTTTGTTCCAGATATCTCGATATTTGTGCAAGATGTCGACAACTGGCAAACTGTCGACACATGACTTCGAGAGATGCAGACTGTAAAAGATAATTGAAGAGCTTTACAGTCGTCATACTGGTGCCATGGGGAAACATTCTATATCCTTGACCGATACGAAGTCGGACGTGTTTGATGCCCATTAGTTTTCCGGCGGGTTTCGTCGATATTCCGGAACACTTGGTTTTATTCTCCTTGTACTTTTTATGGGTCTCCGTGTAAATCTTTCTTTGTTTACATTTGTACCTTTTAGTTTCTTAGATTTATTTGATTTAAATGAAAATTCAGTTCATATATCGGTTATTTATTTTAGAGATTCCGAAACAGTACGAGTTTTTGTCAATGATATTTTATCGTTAACCGTGTCCGGGTATCTCTCTCAGTTCGAGTTAGGATGCACGTGTCAACTTCCTTTTCATGCTCCGGATTCCTGTTTTTTTGTTTTGTTTTGTTTTGTTTTTTAGAACACAAATGTGTGTCTTTTTCTAGTCTTTCGGGTGATGTATTCCCTTTAAACAACATCTTGGACATCGCTTATAACGATAAACTTTATGACCAGTCACAGGTAAAGTCGGATAAAGAGAATTAACGATATATACATAATTGTTGAAATAAGCACAATCAGTGTCATATTCGTTGAAATTTGGAACCACACTGTGTTTCCGCGAGGAGCAACCTTTGACATACGTCATCATGCAAAATTCAGCGTGACGTCAGCGTCGACGTTCTGATACAACAACACTGTTGATGTGTTAGTGTTGTCTCATTCACACGATCAGTGCCGGGGCTAAACTAAAGCTTCAGTTTGGCACTTTTGTTTTTCTTCACCCTCTCCAAAATACAGCTTATTACTTTTAATACTGAACATGTATTCTCTGTTTCCAAACCTATATCATTTTATAAAACCATGAAAAAGTGATGCCCACAGTAAATTCGCCGTCGTCTGTAATCATCATCATCCTACCACAAGACCAAGGTCTGAAATTATTCAGGCCTGTCATTGCTAGCTTTTTAACCTACCCTATATATCTAGATATTATGTGGAAACTTAAAAAAGAAGTATTGTTGTTTTTGCCACCTCCCCGTGTCAATGCACCTTGTCTCCTATAAATAGAAGAATGACATCTACGTATACTCGTAGAGTGAAATTAAATCATTATAGGCTAGATTTATCACTTTGTTCAGCTATCTGTTATGTAGACACTTAGAAGCACACAAAAGATATTATCACATACCTTCCATATTAGATCTTCCACACACATATATAATCTTATCATTTACTCGTGAATTTAAATTCAGCTTATGATCAGTGTAGTAGTTTTCTCTGCTCGAGGACATTTACAGTTATCGCCCTTGACCGGAACTCGTTCATCCATTCGACAGAAATTAACGGGAGACTGACAGAACACCACAATAATTCTGCAAGCAATCATGGCATCATCTGAAAGGTAACGTCCAATGCCTTATCGTGTTACCAATGGCCATGTGTAAATATTTGTCATGTTTAGCTGACAGGCATTTCATGACAACCGAGCGCTGATCATGATAATCACAACAGATCATGTCTCTTGTCTTGACCGCATCTGCTCATATCATTCATCGGTGCACCGGGTGTCAATATATCCCGTGTATCATATAGGTTTTATGTCTTCTACCCTCAGGCCAGAGTCAACATGGCCTCGTCATGTGGAGGAGATTGGTGTGGTTGATATATCAACATTGAAGGAACGCGGTATATGGTACTGTTTACTAGTGTGCGCCTGAAAATAATCCATTGTTGACAGTGAATGATGTCTGATAAATTATATTTTGTAAAGTTATTAGCTTAACATGAATCATGTTTCAGACACTATCTCTCAAATATGTTTTCATCTGATGATGACTGGTGTGTTATTTATTGCAGTCTCTAAATATACCCAGCGTTACAGTGATCGTGATATTATGTAATATGTAACTCTGCGTGTACATTTCATGTATATCTACATATTATAGTCTACATATATATTGAGTAAATTATAAACAGATGTATTTCTATATTATTAAATATCATACATTTGAAGTTTTCAAAAAAGATCTAAATCTTGAGTATTACTTCAGGTTGGAGGAGTGAGCCCAGGTTTATGGTTAGGTTGTTCTTAGTTTTTATTGAAATTATTCCACAAGAAAGAGTTTCAGAAAAGTTTATCGTTGGTAAGTTGTTTCCCAAAGATCTAACTGTTCTTTGGTCAGCCCTGGTGTTCAGTTGTGGTACCAAATGTTGGTCAATAGGTATAGCTACTAAACTGGTCTTATCAGATTTCAGGAGTCTGTTTCTACCAGTATTCTTGGAGTGGTATGGGTCCCAAGTATTGATGTTATGCTATTGTCTGTCCTGAAGTCAGTGCAAATGAGCCTCACAGCTCTAGATCTGAATTGGATCTTTTCCAGTGGTAAGATGTCTGTCTCGTAGGCTTTGGATCCCAAAATGTGGTTTATTTGAGCTGGTGGGCACCTCCTTAGATTTTGCCTCAGCAATCCAAGAGTGGAGTATGCTTTGCCAAATTAATTATTGATATGGGCAACTACTTGGGTAAATAACTTACAAAGGGATATATTGTTTTCTGACACTTTATACGGTACGGTATTGTTCATTTGTATACTGTGTGCACTTGGTCCAGATGACTCTGAGTAGCATTATTTTAACATTGAACAATATATCCCTGCATTAGAATTTAAAAAAATGTGTTCACCTTTATTTCATATTTCCATGTTTCAGTCTAAAGTGACAAAAATATGTAAATAGTCTGCAGCATCCTATCTCTTTCAACTAACAATCAACCCTCAAAGCTGATCCTACCCCCTTACATTAGTCTGTTAAATATGGATATTTTGAATGTGGAACAAATTTAAGTGATGCGTAACATCAAAGTGTTATTTTGGCGATTATAAGTGAGATTATATTTTTCCTTATAAGACACACCTGCACATGTCACACGTCAAGCCAAAGTTCATTTACCTACAGTCAAAGTCATTTAAAGTGAAACCTACCTCCATATTTTGTGTATGATTGACATAATGATGTATGACAGCAAGAAATAAAGAGGGTTTTTTTTATAATATTTTGAAAGGGAAGTTATAACAGATTATGACTATATTCAGTCCCATTAACAACCTTGTCAGTGGTGATTCATAGCCTTTATACATATAACTATGATAATAATTTCTTAATTGTTTGTTTTAACTAAGATTTCTCATGGTGTGAAATTTGGTGACAGCAGATGTCATGAATGTTACATCTGATTGATACATAAATATAGATACATTTGTAGTGTATATTGATTCATGGCATTCCATATGCAGATATACACTCCATTTTGGAGTTCATTTCAAAATTATGAATTATATTTTAACAATTGTGTCTTGTACTAAGAAAATTTTATGTTCAAGTAAATATCAAAATCTGGTTTGTGTTTGCTAATATGCTCTTGTTACATTTTGATACCTCTAGTCAAAGTCCATGATAGACATTCATATTTAAAAAGTAAAGGGAATTTAACTTTCAAAACTTCTGGCTTTGAGTCATTCAATTTATATGCTTTAACTGCTGAAATGTCATTTGGTTTCATTGATGATTTATCGGTTAGCTCAGGATAACTGCATAATTCTCTTATTTATGTCACAATTGATGACAAAAGTTCACATTGTATAGAACCGAGTACACATGTATATGTCACTGTATGTAAATACCTCCATTTAAAAACAAGTTTATACCTCCAAAAGTGACGAGGTGAAGTGAAAAAATCTTAAATATTTCATCCATATAATAAATTCCATGTTATATAAAAATTTTTAACATTAACAGCTCTTCTAACCACGAACATGTATGCAAAGGTGGTTATTTATAATTGAATGGTACCATGTGACTGGTCAACTCATTAAGTTTCTCACTCGTGTCATCAAGTCCTTTTGACGGCCTTAATAGGTATCAATTAATATACTGAATAGTTTCGTATCAGCGGTAGTGCTATTTGGATTACAATTTAACACAATTCCAGAAAAACCAAAATTGTTGCCAAAACCCTTTGATATTTGGGTCCTGGTTGTCAGGAAGGATCTAGTCCATTATAGGATGAGGTCATTGACAATGCACTTGTCCAGCTTGTGGTTGAGCTAGGAGTGCACTACAGACAGTGTCAAATGCCTTGCTGAAATCAAGGGCGACAGTGTTAGTGCTTCCTGTCATACCAGCTGTTAATGTCATGCACAGTTATCAGGAACTGGGTTTCACTTGAGTGCCCTGATCGAAATCCATGCTGGAGATGTTGTGCTGCAGGAAGTGGTTCATCATATGACAACAAATTGCTGCACATACAGGTCAGCAAGACTTGTCTCTAGTTACCAGCAAGGTGCTGAATCATCTTCTTGAATACTGGCCTTATGTCTCGAGCTCCTCCAGTCTTCTGGCAGTTTGCTGGTTTTAATGGACTGTCGATAAAACAAGAGGTCATATTCATCAAATATTTCTGTATTAAGTGGAAAATTTTCTGGTCCACTGGTTTTGCTAGTGTTGAGCCAAGATGGAGGATTTTTCCACTCTTTTCACTGTGACATCAAGGGTGTTCATGGTCGGTATCTTCTAAAGTAGAAGGTGGGGTAGTGGTCTGCTCAGTCTACATAATAAAATATCATGAAAATTAATTTTGAAAAGAATTTCATGATCAATAATCATTGTTTTCCACATATGTCCAAATTGAACCATGGACATAACTTTCTTCCTTGATCAATATTAAAGGCACTATATGTAAAGGTATGGCATTTATTACCACAAAATCTCTTTTTAATTCCAGATGAAGGATTTATTACTACAGAACAATTCCCTACTTCAAAGTTTCATTGTCAAATGGAATAGCTTATTAAAACATGTCTGATGTAACCTCGATACGAATGGATTTAAAGGTTGGGAGAGTTGATGTGGGGGATGTATCAGACAAGCTTTTCCAAGAGTCAAGTGACTTAGAAGTAGGGAGGACTGATGAGGAGGATGCATCCGATAAACTCTTCCTTGGATCAAGTGACACAAATGACTACATCAGTTCTGATGAGGAATCCATGCTGGCATTGGAAGACAACTCCACAAAGAGTTCAGATGTTGTGTCTGAACCATTGAATTTGTGCAGTAATGAGACCAATGCATTGTGTAATGGTGCCAGAAAACCTGATGAAATATCATTTTCTGAAAATGGAGCAGTAATAGAGTATGTTGACATAAATCTTCATGAAGAAGAGACAGAAAAAACAGGATACGATAGCTCTACAAATATTTGCTTTGAGGAATTTGATGCAGGTTGTAAATCTTATGACAAAAGTCCATGTTACAAGCTTCCAAATCCTTGTCAAATTTCCAGTGAGCTGTTAAAAGAACAGAAATCTAAGAATGGGAAGGAGGAAAGCAATTCCACTATTAGCTGTGCTCTTACTGGTAAATATCTTTATAAATATTCTTCAATTAGGAGATGTGAAAATTATTTAATGGTCTAAATAGCTAAGAATAATTAATTGTCTGTTTTTATGTACAAAGAGTTTTGGTACATTGTGTAATATATTGTACAAGTTCTGTGTTTATGTTAGGTAAGGAAGAGTATAGCAATACAAGGCATTTATATCTATATTACAAATGTGTGTCACTGTAATGAAAAATAAAACTAGATTTCAATCATTTGTTTGAAATGATTGAAAAAAGCACCACTGAGTATTATGTATGTATTTAGATATGATATTGATTATGAGCTTCCTAATACTTTACAGTGAAATTTTATATTGTTTTGTGTAACATGTATATGTTGTAGATGTTGAGAGTAAAGTGAATAATTGTGCCAAGAGAGAGAACTCCTTGATAAGCACAGACCAAGAATTACAGACAAAAAATATATATGGATGTGGCTCATGTGGGAAACAACTGAGTAGTAAAAGTGGACTAAGAAAACACAGGTGTTCGCAGACAGGTGAGTGGTCAAACTTACCCTAACTGATACCAGTGTTCACAGACAGGTGAGTGGTCAAACTTACCCTAACTGATACCAGTGTTCACAGACAGGTGAGTGGTCAAACTTACCCTAACTGATACCAGTGTTCACAGACAGGTGAGTGGTCAAACTTACCCTGACTGATACCAGTGTTCACAGACAGGTGAGTGGTCAAACTTACTCTAACTGTACCAGTGTTCACAGACAGGTGAGTGATCAAACTTACCCTGACTGATACCAGTGTTCACAGACAGGTGAGTGGTCAAACTTACCCTAACTGATACCAGTGTTCACCGACAGGTGAGTGATCAAACTTACCCTGACTGATACCGGTGTTCACAGACAGGTGAGTGATCAAACTTACCCTGACTGATACCTGTGTTCACAGATAGGTGAGTGATCAAACTTACCCTGACTGATACCAGTGTTCACAGATAGGTGAGTGGTCAAACTTACCCTGACTGATACCAGTGTTCACAGACAGGTGAGTGATCAAACTTACCCTGACTGATACCAGTGTTCACAGACAGGTGAGTGATCAAACTTACCCTGACTGATACCAGTGTTCACAGACAGGTGAGTGATCAAAGTTACTCCAACTGATACTAGTGTTCACAGACAGGTGAGTGGTCAAACTTACCCTGACTGATGCCAGTGTTCACAGACAGGTGAGTGATCAAAATTACCCTGACTGATACCGGTGTTCACACATAGGTAATTATGAGTGATCAAACTCAATTACCTTTACCTACTTAAATCATACAGCAATATGATAACCAGAGAAATCTGTGAATGTTCTATAGAATTTGTTATAAAAACTCTGGGGTACATGTACCAGGAAATCAACTGTTAACCAAGGAAGGGTGAAAATCCTCCTTGGCTCTGATAGCCCGATCTCAGAATGGGGAAAGATTTGTAACCCTATCAATATAAGAAAGAAGCTGTTGCCATGATAGAGATTTGAAATATCCATTGAGTGGTGCATGCTGTCTTGGAGTCTTGCTTAGAAGTCGGTAGAAAGGGCAGTACTTAAGGAACTTCTCATGGAATTAAACTAGGGATTTATTACAGGAAATCCTCCACAATACACAAATCGTAAATGAATATTGTGCTTGAGTAATTGAGATAAGAATATTAGGTCTGTTGTAGAGTAGTACGAAAAAGAAGTTTGAATTGTGTATGATAGTTATATACATCAGCATACAGTGTAAAATTGAAATAAAGCATTTAAGACACAAATCAATATGTTCTTTAAATAGCATATACCTCCACCATCAATGCTGAGTCATCAGATGATCAAGAGGAGTTGGTATCTCCCCCACTGAAACAACTTCGATGTGACTGGAACCTGAAGTACAGCAGATCTGAGGTACAGTGATTTCTAACTGTTTTCAAAAATACTAATAGTATCATTTATTTTCAAGAAAATTTCTAAGATATCAATTAAAGATTAAGTACAAAAAATTATAACATTAAAAATTAATGAGAACTGTTTCATTGCAATAAAGGTATTTTGTAGATATTTAGAAAGAAGTGCAAAGTGAACACTTGTGTATGAAATCACCACCAGATGTATTTGTGCTCTGTTTGTTAACATTTATAGCAAACTTCTTTTGTAATCTTTTTCTTTATGATATTGTTACAAAGTTAGTTCCCTTTAACTCTGTTTACCCTGTGTATGTTGCTTATCCACTCCTATTGTTTTATAAAACTTTTCTCTCTATCCGCTGTATTACTAAGTCATCTGGCCTGAAGAGTCGGGACGTACTACAGTCATTGTGTGTCATCTATCTTAGTGCACTGTCTGTCGTATGCATAACTTTATCAGTTTTTATCAACATTTCATTACTTTGATGCATATTAAATTAAGAACAAAGCATGTTTTAACTGTGGTTTACATTATTTTCTCCATAGTATCCTTTTGTCCAGTCTAGACATTGGAGTTTAAGGCTTTGATTGAAGGCATGGTTGAGTAGTATGCCTTCAAAATTTTTCTACAAGATCCAACTTTAGAAAATATAAGGCAGTCAAGGTATAGGTTTAACACAGGTGAAAAGCCTGTCATATCGTTGGCCAGCAATGTCTACTATGATGTTCCATCTGAACCACTTAACTTATACAAAATGTTTGTGGAATGTTCATTACTGGTATACATGTAGACAATTAAAAGAGTTCATGGTTTGGTATTGGAAGAATTATCATTATGCAAGTTAAATAACAAAGGGAACAAAATTATTTTACAGATTGAAAGTGATCTTCAACTTCACATGTCAAGCCCCAGTGAACAGACCTACAGTTGTAACATGTGTGGCAAAGATTTCACGGGACAAAAGTACCTGCAGAAACACCACAGTATTCACAGCGGTAATATAAAAGAGCAATAATGTTCCATTTTCTCCATCAATGTTAAAAGGTCAAAGGTCACAATTGACCACCATAGAAATAAAAGCTTATAAACATGATATCTCAGAAATCTCATTAAAAGCAAGAAGTTTGACACTTGATAACATTGTTGTGATTATTGGCCAAGGTTAAAGTGTCAAAGGCCCCATTTTACCACTTTGGAAATAAAAAAAGCTTGTGTACAAGATTTCTCGTGAACCTCTCAGCATATATAGTTCATATTTAAACCATAGTATCATACTGAAATTCTTCAGCTGAACACCTTACTAAATTTTGGGTGGTCACATGTGAAAGAATAAGATTGTACAAGGTATCTCCCGCTCCTCTTAACAGATTAAGATCATGTTCACATCACCTCATAACACCATGGAGTTTTACACTTTAATTGATGTGATAACGACATGGTCAAATGTCACTCTCGACCACTATTGAAATACTGTTAGAAGGTCAGAGATGGAGGTATATCTAGATGAGGGAATGCTCACTTTGTTTTAATGGATGGATACATATTGTAGTATTAGTCCCAGTTTATCTACTGATACAGAGATATCATTGTGAAACTTTACACATATCTGCATCACCCACAGGTTTTTTTCATTCCACTTTTCACTTCAAGGTCAAAGGTCAATTAAGTGCTAACTTTTCATTACATTATTGTCAGGGGTATCACTTTTGGTTCACTAGAGATACAATGTAATATAATAAAATATGTAGAAGCTGTGCAGTGCACAGACATGTACAGGCAATATTTTTTTAATTGTCAAGGACATTATGATGAAATTTAAAATGTAACTGCATTAATTACAGATGGTGTAAGTGCAATTAAATTAGGTCACTATGACCTTAACTCATGATCAAAGGTCGAATAAGTTTATTTTTCAGTCAGTTTTGTGTAGGCCTTAGCTTCTGAACTACTTTTAGACATGTCATGATAAAGCTTGAAATATATTTGCATCGAAATTAGGTCACTGACATTCATCTCAAGGTCTAAACAATTTTCTAGTTAAATGTTACATTCATTCATACCAAAGAACTTATTCATAAATAACAGCTTAATTATAAAATAATGCATGCTTTTGTACTTTTCCACAGATGAGAGAAGGGAGATTGACTGTTCTGTAGGTGACAAGAAGATTCATGACAGTATACAGTATACTGAACCTATTAAAACTTATCAGGACAACTGTCCATTTGTGTGTCAGAGTTGTGACAAGTCCCTCACTCAGTCTGTTGACTTGACGCAGCACCAGTCAGTGCATGATTGGGTTGAGAATCACAAGTGTAACCATTGTGAAAAAGTCTTTTCCGATATCAACTACCTCATCGCACACATCGAGGCAGATCATAAGGGATTGAGCAATATCATGTGCATGTATTGTAATAAACAATTTGATCATGTTGATGCATTCACCAACCATTTAAAAACACACTCAAGTAACAACCTGTTGGAATGTCAGATACGTGAGAAAGTGTTCCAGGACACAAACGAGTTACAATCACACCTGAGGACTCATACAGGTGAGAATTTACATGTTTTAAGTCAGACCTATCTTTTAGCATATTCAAAAGTGTGATCAGGGATGCATATACTCCACCTGTAAACATTTTCTAAAGCAATACTGTATAAGATATAAGATTATAAAACTTTAATTTTCTTTCTCTGAATTAAGAATTTGACAACTTTATTTGATTAGTAAATGAAAATGATTTCCTGAAATCTTGAGATTTCTGTGAATGATAGAACTGAGATTCCTGTTCTGTATTTTGTTGAACACTTGCCTTCATCTAATATGAAAAGTTCTAACCCATACTTCATGTTAAGGAGAAGCTATATATAGATGTAAATATGTCTTTTATATAGAACCAAGAAAGAAATATCGCCAGTACATTTTTATCTGATAGTTCAAATAGTTCTATCAAGTATATCACTTTGAAATGAAATATTTTAATGATATGATACGTTTGATTCAATAAGAGAAAAATATATTTCATTTAAGTTTAGCTAAAAGTCATACATATATGTATGAAATTAAAGAATGAAAGAAGTATTCACCCCCACTTTTCATTATTCTGTATTTTATTATATATGTTAGTTGCAATTTATGAATATTTAAAGTTACACACATTAATGACATATTCCTGAGCTGTAAAAAGAATTTAAATATGTTTCAATAAAGAATTTGATATACATTCACCTAAAACAATCATATAAGTTAATGTACTGGAAACATCTACCTAGTAAACACAAGCATGTACTGTATAGAATCTTAAAGATCACACAGACATATAACCTTGTGATATTCTAATTTTTCTGCTTACATTTCAGAAAAACAACAGTCATACACTAACTTTCTGGAAGGAAGTTTAAAAAGTTATCAAAATGAGGATAGTCATGAAGAACACAACAGTGATTTAAATTACAATGTAAACAAGTCATTATCACCAAGGGCACATAACTCTTCCAAGACTGTTGGTGTGATGGCTATGAAGGGTGATACAGAAGTTATTCCTGCTGAGGGCCAGGTTTTGGTGTCTGGGTCAGAAGAGGATGTAGAGATGGGAAAAGAACTGGGGGAGACGCAAGTGGCTGGTCAAGGTGAAAAATGCAAATAGTGATAAGCATTTCAAATATATGTACAAAAGGTTCAGGGGTTAAACTGAAATTTTTTCTTACTTTCTTCCTAAAGTGAAAAGCTGTGTTTTCTTTGAATGTATTAGCCAAAGTGAAATGAAAATATTTTTTAAACATTTAAAGTTTTGCATTTGATATTGATACACACGTGAAAAAAAGAAAACAAAACAAAGAAAAAGCATACAGGTTTGTAAAATTATGAGACTACATTTTCCTTAAATATATATATATTGTGTAATGTGCTTTTTTCAGATTCTTCAGAAATGTCTTCTATGATAGCAGTTAAAGTCAAGGTTTGTAATCAGAATAAAAAGTAATTCAGTTAATATAACTTGAAAACAGAACAATTTTCAGTCCTATTTCATTATATGTTTACGAGATTTCTTTTTTCGCTTTGGTATATATTTATCCAAATTATAGATCAGAATGGAGAATTCCTACAGCTGTAGGTATATTATAAACATGACAAGATGTAACCAATATAATGTATAGGCTTATATTCAAAAAGCCCTTTTATGGATTAGGAGGGAAATGGTTTCACCAAATTATATATGCATGGTTAAGGAAAAAATTCTGTTGCATTAAACAGAGGAATTGATTTAAGTTTTTTTGTTTCTTATTAGGAAGATGTTAAGGAAGCCAACAGCAGATCTACTTGTTCACCAACTAAGTCAAACACACAAGCATACACCTCGGTCATATCACACAAGCTATATGATAACACAACGGCTGAGACTTCCCGCACTAATACATTCACACCTCTAATACCAGATGATTCTGGTGATCATCGTGATGACCTTGACCAGGTAGTGACCTTGAACACACCAGAAGGAGTTATGTACCAGTGTAAGGTGTGTGGTTACCAGACAAGAATCAGGCAAAGCATGCTGAAGCACTCCAGGTCTCATCGTGGTAAGAAACAGAGCTGTAGATTATGTGATATAATATTTACTGATCAGTACAGCCTGCAGCATCATTACTGTACAAATCATGGAGAGGAAACGTTTGTATCAAGGGGTCATGACCTTGTCCATAACAAACATACACAAGATCCTGTTCCTCAAAAACATAGACTTGATCCTCAGAATCTCACATCAAATGGCATGTTAGACAATTCCCCATTCCATACAGAATCCAGTTCTCGCCAACTGACACAGGAATCTCTGTCACGACCAGCATCGTCTGAGCTCAGCTACAGGTGCGAGTGGTGTGGAAGGTCATATGACAAATATCAGCTATATCTTGACCACTGCATGACATCCCATGCTCAAAGGAAGAGCTACCAGTGTTTGAAGTGTCATGCTAAATTCTCCTGGAGAAACAGCTTACATCAACATGCTAAATTCTGCATGAACACTGAGATAGAGATCTATAAATGTGATCAGTGTCCATCAGAATTCAAACGCAAGAGAGACTTAAAAGTTCACATTGAAGGGAAACATGGTGAGACAGAGAAACTACATACATGTTCCTGTGGTAAAACATACAAATGGCAGTCAGGCTTGGCCAGGCACAGGAGTAAGTCTGGTTGTTCTGTAGAGTATGTCATACATCCTAGTAAGTTCAGGGCTTAGAGCAAATAGATCTGGCATCATACATTTATGTTTGTACAGTATTTGTAATATGGTCATGAAACTTTTGAAACAGGAATCTCATTCTAGCTTTCTGCTTTTCCTACAATTTTGTCAACTATTGAATAAAAAAATTCTTGTTTGATGATACAAGTAATGAAAACCAGATCATGAGTATTTAGAAAATGACTTGTACTAAAGAAAAGGCTATATTTATGTAGATTTAGTTACACATTTGCTTGATAATGATATCAGGCCAGAACTACCCTGGTTCATGTCTTTTATTCAAAAGTATCAAACCTGTCTATAAAGGTCAGTAAAGGGAGTAGTTAAAAGTGGACTTCATTGACAGATGACTTTTCTAACAAGGTTCAGTTACTCCCATTTGTACTGGAACCCTAAACTAGTGAATGACCTTTATACACAGGTATTTATAAAGGTGGCCTTTAGGGCAGGTTTGACTTTTCATTCTTAATAAATTTCGGTGTTGATTAGGAAATCAGAAACAGAACTCAAGAAAATGCTACTTTTTACACATACCACAATTCTGGTAATAGTTTAGAAATTTAGAAAATGTTAGCAGTAAGGTAATGACATTAGTTTTGTTTAAAAAAAAATAAGGATTAAATAGAAACCTATATGTTTACTATATGACTTTTTTTTGTTTTTTGTTTTTTGGGGTTTTTTTTTTTTGTTGAAATTAATTTTCAAAGCTCAGAAGAACAGAAAAATACTAGTGACTTTCATTAAAATCAAATATTTTCTATTGCACCATAAAACGCAAATGAAGGTTCTTATTTCTTACAAAGAACTTAAGTACACTTCAGGAATAATTTAGTGTAGAATTTTTTTTACTACAGTTTTACAATGTTACAAATTAAGGTATTAAGTAGTAAAATTTTAATTGTTTTAATAATCATAAAGGAATCATGCCAAAATATTGGCAAAAAGTCAAAATTTCCCATAAATGTGAAGATAAACAAGGAATTCTTTAATGATTGACAAGATGTTTTTTAAGGTTTGTTTATAAGGCAGAAGCTGGACACAGTTACAGTTAAGATGTAGGTCTTTACACATTTTGTTTACCACTAGAAATTCATTGCTGTTTTAGGTGATTATTATAAAACCATTTTGCATTCATTTACAGTGTTCCTGTGACTTATTTTAGATCTGTATTGAGCCTCACTAAGCCTATAATTTCATACACTTAAAACATGGTTTTATTTATCTGATTGTGAAGAATTTAATTTCTTGAGTGAAGATAAATTTTCATTGTCATCTGATATTACAGTTTCAGACTCGGGTTGTTTCCATATTTATTAAAATTTATTTGCACAAGCTTACATCTCACAGTGAACATCCTCTATAAATTATCACTTTATTATCTATGTAAATTTTCATTATCAAATTTATTAGTTCAACTAACTCTCCTGTGAACTGAATCATTTTTATTCTGACCTAGTCAAATTAATGTGAATAAAGTTACCTGATGTTATACAGATACATATGCAGATATTTACTTTGAATGGCAATAACTGTCTCTAGATTTTTATCGTATGGTACATGAGGTACATGTATCCTGTAGTTAATGAGATTGTATGTGTTATACCTGTACATGTAGCATATTAATGAGTATTAGTTAATGAAAAGATGATTTCTATTTTCATCATTGAAAATGGTTGTTTGATACACAACATTTGTGACAAATGATATAGTTTGATAATTTGTATGTTACAGATTTTTTTGTTATAAGAAATATTTTACATTGCTGATATATTTCTGATCATTCTTCTGTTTCATTACTTATAATTTATAGACTTTGCAGAGAAAAAATTGTGTCAAAGGTCAGATATATGAAAAAATTGTGTCAAAGGTCAGAAATATGAAAAAATGTGTCAAAGATCAGATATATGAAGTTTTCATGATAATATGTGTCATTATTATTATTCAAACTTTACAGAAGAACTACAGCAGTATCGTAATTATGCTATAAATACATGGTTAGTGACTAAATTGAAGTATGTGAAAAAATGAAAATGACTAATGTGCTTGTGCAAAAAAGGCTTAGAATATTGCATTCTTTAGTAAGTGACATGTGCCATTTTTACAGCATAATATGTATATTTTATTATGTACTGCTGGTAAGACATTGATTGATTTTAAAGGTTGTGAATGAAATTCAGAGAGAAATCTGGCACAGGAATCTATAACTCTTCATAAAACAAGAGGAATCGTCTAAAATCATGATTAAATGTTTATATTTCTATGTTAACAAATTTGAAGAGATTAATTTGACAAAAAATATGTGAAAATATAAATTTGAAAACATGCTAGAAGATTCACAGCCATTTAACTTCTGATCTAGGTAGTGTGTGTGTACATCTTGAAAAAATTATCATTTTGGCAACATTTTACATTAAGGCATATTGTAAGATGTTGTGTTTGTAAGATGGAGATTCTGAAGTCTAATAAAAAATAATCTTATGTAGAACTCAGATTAGAGGGGTACTCAGTTTAACGGAATAGTTTGTACTATAAGTTTGTTTCTCTTATCAGGGTCAAAGCTGTTTTATATAAAATGTTGAAAGTCTGACACCATTATTGTTAATCCTACAAATACTCACAATTTAATTTTAAGTATATATCTAGAAGGATGTTTCTATACAGGAATGGGCTCATGTCATGTAATAAGCCCACCCATATATTTCAGTTCTTCACAAATGTAATGACTTATTTCATTGTCTTGTACACTTGAGTCTGAGATTGTTTGAGCCTTTTAACAGGAAAACATCAACCAAAACCATTTTAATTTATTGTCATTGTTGATTTGTAACTACATTATTTACAATAACTCAAGATCATGGTGGTCTGTTGTGTTTCATTCCTTTAAAATTTGCTTTTTATAGATTAATGTACACAAAAGATCTTTTCTTTTTTCCAAAAATATTGAATTGCATGTATCACAATCTAAACTTTTTTTTTTGCAAGCATATATTGAAATTTAAATCTTATTTCGCATAACCTGGGATCCAAATTTATGTTCATACACAAGACACTCAAACCTTGCTTTGTTATCTTTGAACCATTGCTCAGAGATCAGAAACACTGTTGGTTCTTAAGTGAGCTGTTAGGGTCTGTTTGATAAAAGGAGAATACTTGCTGTGAAGTTATTTTTTTAACAAGTACATAAAACCTGGATATTGTGGTGTACTTTCCTGATACAATGATCAGTATTTTACTGCCAAATAACTTCCTGTTATTGTATTTCTGCACGGATTTAACCATGTTGTATGTTGAGGCTGTGTGTAAACCATGACAGAAAGCGTACTGGAGTACAGGTTTACTATGTATTGTTTTATACCTCTTGGTTACCTATACAATTATTGAGATTAATTCTACTGCAATATATAACTTGTCAATAAATAGCAAATATTGAGATTTTCTGATTGAAATGTGGCTGACTCGGTTTGGTGTGAAGTTTCTGTCCATTTTAATGTACATATATACTACAACAAATCCAAACCTGACTAATGAGTTGATGTCTGTAAATGATGCATATTTTCTTGGTGTTTTTACATTGTACAATGAGACTTAGGGATACACTGTCATCTGTCAGAGGATTTTATACACTGACTCTATACATAACCTGTGTTTTTGATGTATTTATACACTAGGTATGTGTTCTATACTGACCACAGTTCTGGTGTGTTCTACTCCTTGTTGCTATCAGCTGACCTTACTGTATTCAGCCAAAAAGATCACAGGTAGTGTGAATGTATTTAATTTGGCACAATGAAGTTCAAATGTAATGTCACTTACTGACAAATTAGCACAATGAAGGATCTGCTTACCTATGATAATTACTATGATGTATGTAAACAAGGTGAACCGCAATTATTGTAATCACAGTTTAGTGCAATATTTTCAATACTTACAGTGCTAAATTAAGGCTACCGCTAACATATGTTTGTTTACAGTATTCTTGATTTATATACTGTGAAAAGATTCCATATGAAATCAGTTAGAAATGAAACTTTGGCAACAGAGGACACAATGTAGAGTTGAGATGTAAATAACCTACTGAGTAAATAAATGACAAAGAGTTAAAAGTCTACTTATTGGTAGATCAGTGAAGTGAGTCACACATTTTACAAGATTTAATATAACGCATCTATCCTTTTTCTCAGACAAAAAGTTTGATTGTGCTAAAGGGGGGGTAATTAATCTTATTAGGTTGAATACAACATTATCAACATTATTAATTTCATCATATACATTGTATCAGTAATTATGTTGCTTAATAGAAAGTGTTAAACTAGTTCTTCAAATCTTCAGGCACCGACTGAGCGATCACAGCTCCTAGCTAGGTAGTAGTTTGTTTTCTGTATGTTTTAATTGGTAAGTTTCCTTGTGTCCTATATTGTAATTAAATTACAGGTGTCTCCAATGTTTTATCTGATATATTGACAGCACATATTGATGGATTGAATGAATTAGTACTGGTTTTCATGCAATAGACAATTTTCTAGATTTTTTTCGCAAAATAATGTTAGACATGTGATATATACATCATTGTTGATGAATAGTGAATAAAACGAAACCGTTGTTTTGATGTTGTTTTGTGTAATATAGTTGTATGTAGGTAAACATTAGGTAAGGGAAGGTAACACAAAATCAGTGTCACTCCGGATTACGTCACTCAGTTTCAAAAAGCATTAGTGATGCTTAAACACCAAAGATATTAGATAAGGGGAGGTAATACAAAATCAATGTCACACTATTTTAAAAAGAATTAGTAATGCTTTAACACCAAAGATGTTAGATAAGGGGAGGTAATACGAAATCAATGTCACACCAGATTACATCACACTATTTTTAAAAAGCATTAGTAATGCTTTAACACTAAAGATTTTAGGTAAGGGGAGGTAATACAAAATTAATGTTACACCAGGTTACATCACAAAATTTCAAAAAGCTTTAGTAAAATATAATGAACATCATGACCTTCAAAACAGCCTATAGCTTGGTATCTTATATAAACACATTATCACCTTATATAGGGATTTCAAAACAGCCTATAGCTTGGTATCTTATATAAACACATCACCGTATATAGGGATTTCAAAACAGACTATAGCTTGGTATCTTATATAAACACATTATCACCTTATATAGGGATTTCAAAACAGCCTATAGCTTGGTATCTTATATAAACACATTATCATCTTATATAGGGATTTCAAAACAGACTATAGCTTGGTATCTTTATAAATACATTATCATCTTATCTAGGGCTTTTTAAATATCATCAGTAACCAGTATGGTTGTTTATATGAGAAGTTTTTACAAGTATATTTGTTTAGAACTACTAAGGGGATATTATTGAAGCTTCATTGAAGATGTATTGGGTGTTGGGTAATATTTATACAAATTTCTGGATTTAGTATTTAGGATTGTTCTCCAGTGGTAACTAAGGTAGCTGTATGAATAAGTATGTAGAAATTTAAGGCACAAAGTTGACTGCCATAACCATTTACATTCACAGATTTCTGGTGGGAATACCAAGGCAAAGGATGGCAGAAACATAGTCCTACCTTGAAAATGAAATAATGATACAGGGTTTCCAACAACGCTTTGATTAAAAAAAAACACTATATTGTTTACCCATTCTCATCAGATGGTGAGCTGTGTAAATCACCCTGCATCTGTTATTTGTCTGTCATCACTCCTTAAGCAATTCTTGTTATTGCTGTTTCTTGAAAAGTAATAGATGGCTCTTTTTATCTTCTCAATTTCAGATTTGGTGCCGCTGGGGGCTAGTTGTGTCCTGCTGATTTTCGATTTAGCAGTAAAAAATAAAATGGCTCTCATGTAGCCATATTGGATTTTGACGACGAAATTTTATAGTTATTTCTTGAGAAGGATAGGATGGATCTTATATAGATTCCCTTTGGTCTCTAGTTGTGTTTTTCTTTCATTTTTGGACTGATAATAAACATGACAGACAAGCGATTATATTTTATTTTATAGTGAAAGTTTTTGTCGCTCTTTCTTGAGAAGAAGTTTCAGATGTCGTATACTAATGAGCAAGAACACAGAAGAAGAGAGACGGTCAAACTTTCACAGAACACAACGATCAAACAATGGTATTACCAAGATCCCTCAGGCTTTTTTTTTTTTTTATCTTTTCTGACACATTCATCGTTTTTTTTTTTTTTTTTTTACATGACGTACTGAACTTTAAAGTCGATAACTTTTTTTGTTGCTTTCGAAATATCACTGTGGAGTTACTGAGGTAAAGCAGAGACATAACTAAATCGGAGTTCGGAATCTTCTTTTTAAAGTTCGGCGATAATTCAAATTCAAGTTCCATCCCGAATAGAATTTCCCCATCCCAAAATCTCTTGCCTACAATATAATTGTATTTGTAAGATACTATGTGACTCCTCTGTATTACTATACTGCATAAGTCTATGTATAACAGAGTTGACTACAAATTAAGCATTTTTGCTTCATTGCAAGCTAGACTACGTACATTGAACATACACCTTTAAATTTCTCCGTTATCTGGAAAAAGGAAGAACATCAACGTGGACGCCAAAATACGCAATTTCTAGAAACAACATATACTTAACTGTATAACATACATGTACTTTCTGGATCGGAGCTTACGGGACGTCTTGTAAGATAATAGCAAAAAAGACACCTTTGTGTTGAGTAATGCTATCGCTTTTCCGTGAGTAGCCTTACATTTTATATTATAGAGTTGTCCCCGTATTACGTCTTTGAATTACATCTAGTTGCAAGAAAAGTCACGCGATTACCCATTAAATTTGGCATTAAAGCATTTAAATTACTGTGTAACCTCAATTGTTTTATAACTTCCTACCGATAGCAATTTATTTGTGTTGCTTGGAGCAATTATTGTTCTAAACTATTAGAAGGACACAATGAATGAACCCGTTTAAGATTAAACGTAAAACGTGACATTTACTCTGATTAGACGTTAACAAATTTATAAACCATAAGGATCGTCCTTGTATAAATACAGATGGGATGAAGATTGGACAACATCCGGAATGTAGCCATTTTAAATCCACTTTGTTAGGATGTTGCCATTAACAGACCAGTGCTAATGATTGTCTGCTTGCTAGATCCCACGTGAAACACGCAAATGTTGGGGCAGGCGAAGTGTTGTTCATATGAACCAGTAAGCTTTGTCTTCATTAGTCTTCAGGTGACGCTTTTTCTTGTCAACATGACTGTTACTGTACTGCAAACTTAAGTAATTTTGTTATTGTCTTTTTATTTCGTACAACTTTTTATAAAATTTTCAAAACTTTTTTTTTGTTTTTGTTTTCTGGTGTTTTTTTTTTTAAGTTTCGTATCCCATGTCTGTACTTTCGGATGCCGCTGTTCTTACTCGTTGTTGAATATAAGAATATGGTAAAGCCACCGACATATACCAAATCAAACTTAAACATTCGCTAGGATCGACTGTTTTCTTGTTAATTGGTCACACCAGATAGACCTGATTAGGGAAACGTTTCGGTATAACACTGTATACAGATGTATTAACAGTACTTTAGATGATTAGCTATGGTATGTAAACGATAGATTCTTCTGATGACTTGTTCATTAATAACACGAGTACGTGATGATCAATAGGAATAACCTCGCTAATTGAAGCACCTGTCCTACATTTTTGTTCCAAAGTAAAATCAATAGGCATAAACGCCATTTACATGTCTGACGGCGACGTATAAACAATTAATGGATGGTCGGGCGGTGCAATGGTAACGCACTCGCCTTTCACCTAGCCGCCCGAGGTTCGACTCCTGAAACGGACGTGGAAAGGTTTTCCCTGGGTACTCCAGTTTCCTCCCACAATAAGACCCTTCCCGTGCTTACATCCGGGCCAAGCGTGTTTCGCAATTGTTGTAGAATAAGTAAAATTTATAGTTATAAACAATCAAGACTTTATACAATGTAACGGCCATTGCAAGTCAGAAAAGTAAGCACAGTGAGACAAAATTTCAGATTGGTAGTCTACCTCGTAAACAGTCGTAGGTCTAAAAGATACCGCATTCTATTTGTTTGAATAAGAAATGCAGATGACGACAAAGAGATGGATTAAAATATAGAATACGACAAAAAAAAAAAAAAAAGATACGACTGAAACATTTAGATTAAAATTGAAACACATATACAAATGTAGATTAAGACAGACGTCTAAAAATGTAGATTACGACAAAACTAAAGAATGAAAAATGTAGATTAAGACAAAAAGATAAAAATGTTGATTAAGACAGAAAGACGTCAAAAATATAGATAACGACAAAAAGTGTTCAAAATGTAGATTACGAAAAGACAAACGAAAGTAGAATATGAAAAAAGGATGAATAAAAAATTGTAGATAACGACAAAAAGAGGGATAGAAATGAAGATTATGACAGAAAGACGGATAGAAATGAAGATTATGACAGAAAGACGGATGAAGATTGTTAAATGTTACTCTGACATATTTTGCAATAAGAATGAAAGATTTGAAGAAAAACCTACTATGCATAGATTTACATGCCAAAATAAATGTGATTTGGATCGATAGAAGGAAGAAAACATTACCTAAATTGCCAAAGGATGTTATATCGAATAAAAAATATCACGTCTAAGACAAGTAAAATTATCCCAAAAACGAAAAGAAAATATCAACACGTGAACATAATCATAATCCAAAATCAAATTAAGTAAAACTAGACCAAATTATCAACTAAAGTAAGATTTACACGGAGACTCCCGAGAAAAAGTACAAGGAGAATAAAATTCTTCATCATCTGCAATTAAACGCTTTTTAGTCACATTCTTCTTATTAAATTCATTCTTACTGACAATAATGCCAAAATAAGATCGTGTAAATCTTGTTTTCACATTCCATGCTCGTGTTGCTGTCTCATACCAAAAATATCTTGATATAAACTAAAACGAATTCTCTGTGATCGACAGAGTGATCTAACAAATGGAATGAACGTAGCACTATCAACGTGTCTATGTCCACAGTACGGACGTTATTCACTTTGGTGTGTTGGTGGTGTAAATATTAGTGAATACCACAACCAGTCAATAAATACCTTCATATGTATTAGCTACACGTCACTAATATTGATAGGATTTTGAAATGATCTACTTCATGCAATATTCTATCATCACAATGTTATAAATTAAAATGTTCCTGCTTATCAACAAATGATAAGTCACCGATACACAAATAAGACATTGACAGACAGATCAAATTAGCGAGATTTTGGTTATGTCTATTATCATGGAGCGTTGAGGTATCTTTTCATCACTTCATTACTTTATCAAATTTGACATTGTTGAAAACTGCCGAAGAAATGTTTATCCAATATCAAATGCAATAAAACCTAGAGAACATGCATTTTATGTTGGAGAAAGTGTCGCCTCCTCCAACATAAAATGCATTAAAACCTTGAGAACATTTTCAGTACGGGATGGTGGACACCTCCTCCAACAACCAATAGGTGGTCATGGCGCCTTTCCCCTAAAATAAGAAAAATAGAAGAATAAAGGCTTCTATTTGAACTTGGAGTATTACAGTAAGTAAAGTATTACAGATTTTACATCACATGACCTGGAATAAACCTCTCTGTTTTGTAAAGCTAAATTTACCAGATTTATATTTACACCCAATAGATGTTTATCTCAGACCATGTTTACACCCAATAGATGTTTATCTCAGACCAAGTTTACACCCAACAGATGTTTATCTCAGACCAAGTTTACATCCAACAGATGTTTATCTCAGACCAAGTTTACACCCAATAGATGTTTATCTCAGACCAAGTTTACACCCAATAGATGTTTATCTTAGACTAAGTTTACATTCAATATATGTTTATTTTATACTAACCTTTTAAACTCATTTTGATGTATTATTAGTAACGTTTAATGGAGCCCTTACCTTGATGTTTATTTGCCCACGACATTCCACGATGTAAACAAGTTGTCATCCACAGATGTTTGTTGCCTCACTAATGTGTACTTCCAACGACAAACCAAAGGAAATTTCACCCAATAGATGTTTATCTCAGTGTCTGATAATTCCAAGTTTACAGCCCAATAGATGTTTATGTTAGACTAAGTTTACATTCAATATATGTTTATTTTATACTAACCTTTTAAACTCATTTTGATGTATTATTAGTAACGTTAAATGGAGCCCTTACCTTGATGTTTATTTGCCCACGACATTCCACGTTAAACAAGCCCGTGTCATCCATAGCCTTCTTTGTTGCCTCACTAATGTGTATCTTCAACGCTACAAACCAAAGGAAATTTCAATTTGGTGTTTTTCAGTGTCTGATAATTCCACGGTAATGACAGCCCTATAACCTAGTTCACACGGAAATACTCAAAGTTTGAATCAATATTCAAACTCATGTTTTCCCACTGATGTCAAATCTCGCATGCCTTCTACTCTAATTTATACGTGTTCTAAATACAAGTTAATTGTTTCGTGAGAAAATTCAGTGTCTATAAACAGTTTCTGGCACAAACAAGCCATTTACATCATCCTCGTTTGTGGAAGATGTTGTAAAAAAGCAAACAACCCCAAAAACAAAAACAAAACAATAGTGAATAAAACCTTGTGATACGATGATAAACTGTCTTCCACTGTTATCTATCAGCTACTGTTGTTTCCTTACTGTTATGAACGGTCTACCACTGTTACCTATCAGCGCCTGTTGTTTCCTTACTGTAATGAACGGTCTACCACTGTTACCTATCAGCGCCTGTTGTTTCCTTACTGTAATGAACGGTCTACCACTGTTACCTATCAGCGCCTGTTGTTTCCTTACTGTAATGAACGGTCTACCACTGTTACCTATCAGCGCCTGTTGTTTCCTTACTGTAATGAACTGTCTACCACTGTTACTTACCAGAGCCTGTTGTTTCTATTCTGGATGCCGTATTGACAGTGTCACCAAACAGACAATATCTTGGCATCTTCAGTCCTACAACTCCTGTTACACAGGGACCTGTTACGGGAACAAAAATGTGGGTGTAACTCTTGAATACAAAAGGTGATTACGATCATTTGTGTTTCTATGTATATATATATGACTAAATCACCATGAACCGAATCCCAAGCTTTATTAAACAGGTTAAGGCTATTATTAATTTGGTTTTGATCATTTCATCGATGTGTATGAAAGCTCATGCATGTTTTGCTTGTCCCCCCTTAATCAACTTTACTTACCTGTATGTATACCGATACGTAGTTTCACTTTGTCCACAACATTGTGTTTCAAAGTATGACTTGAAATTTGGTCGAGCAAGTCCAAAGCCATACGACAGATTTCCGTCACGTGCTGCGTCCCGTTACGAATAGGAAGACCGGACGCCACCATATAAGCGTCCCCTATTGTTTCAACCTATCAAATAACATCAGAAGAGAAAAACAGCAATGTCTGAAGTTTAACTTCATAGATGAGATTATGCTCCATATGTATTTTTGTCAGTTTGAGTTGAGATATTTTCTTTACAAATGATACGTAACTCAACATGTCCACGGCTTTTATACAAAACAAAATTATATTAGTTTTGTTTTTATCCCTTAACATAACTGACTAGTCCTATGAGGACGAAACATTGTATGATGTAGCATAACTGACCAGTCCTATAAGGACGAAACATTATACGATGTAGCATAACTGACGAGTCCTATAAGGACGAAACAGCTTTATGATGTAGCATAACTGACGAGACCTATAAGGATGAAACAGCTGTATGATGTAGCATAACTGACCAGTCCTATAAGGACGAAACATTGTATGATGTAGCATAACTGACCAGTCCTATAAGGAAGAAACAGCTGTATGATGTAGCATAACTGACCAGTCCTATAAGGACGAAACAGCTTTATGATGTAGCATCACTGACCAGTCCTATAAGGACGAAACATTGTATGATGTAGCATCACTGACCAGTCTTATAAGGACGAAACAGCTTTATGATGTGGCATAACATACCAGTCCTATAAGGACGAAACAGCTGTATGATGTAGCATTACTGACCAGTCCTATAAGGACGAAAAAGCTGTATGATGTAGCATCACTGACCAGTCCTATAAGGACGAAACATTGTATGATGTAGTATAACTGACCAGTCCTATAAGGACAAAACATTGTATGATATAGCATAACTGACCAGTCCTATAAGGACGAAACAGCTTTATGATGTAGCATAACATACCAGTCCTATAAGGACGAAACAGCTTTATGATGTTACATAACTGACCAGTCCTATAAGGACAATACAGCTGTATGATGTAGCATAACTGACCAGTCCTATAAGGACGAAACAGCTGTATGATGTAGCATAACTGACCAGTTCTATAGGGACTAAACATTGTATGAAGTTTCGCTCTACTTTCCAATCAGTATTTGTATTTAAATGTGCTATTTACTTATGCGTCTTTTGTACAATCTTGTAGATATACAATAATTTCACGAAGAGCTGTTAGCTTTATTTGGGGTAAAAGGTCAATCAGATATGCAATGACTTATATGCGATATTTCTATTGAGAAGACTTATCTTGGCTGCACCGTGTCCTACTCAGTTATAAATCCTATTGTCAATGACATTCTGATCTTGTAAAAAATGGCATCTCAGGTTAGAAATGCTTTCTTTTTTTGAAAAAAAGGAAACTAGATTGTTTTACACTTATTTATACTCATACCTTTAAGTACAATTCTTACCCATGATACCATGATACTAAAAAGGATTTTAGTCAACTTTGAAAATAACAAAAGTTAAAGAAGTAAAATGCGTGTCCTTTTCCAGACTCACCTTATATACGTTGTACTTGTCTATTATGTTATCAAACAGTGTATACACTTCATTGAGAACGTCAATCACCTTCAAAATATAATAAAAATGTGTTACGATAACTTATGTAAACATTATATGTAATGTAACACAGTTCTCTCTGTGAATAAAACCTTGATACCAAAATCTTATATAACAGATAAACACGAATAACATGTTCCTCCTAAATGCCGTCAAGTTTCGTGGAAATATATAGGGAAAAAGACCAACTTTCTTCCATACATATATAAACATGCGCTCATATCTCCGATCTTTGTCATCTCAAGGTGTCCAGTCTTCTCCATACAGCACGTGCGTGACGCTGTTTGGGAAACAATGTATATAGGAACAAGATATTTGTGAGAACTCATTCCTAAAACAATTATCATCCGACTAGAAAAAAAGCTTCATCGGTATGAACAAAACCGTCCAAAGATAGTAAATCGATTTTAATAAGCATGGCCATCACTCATGTCTTGTCTAGTACGATTTAAATTCGAGACGGCGTCAAAACTACGAGCAATTATCATGCCGCCATATGTTTGGAAAAACAGCTATGACGTCAAACGGTTTGTATGAACAGCATACTTAATACTGTTCTTCTAAATACAATTTGTATAAGAATACAAAACAAACTATTCTAGATGTGCGTGTGGCAAAAAACAATAAAACGATTTAATCTCTTGGAACTCTTCTGTTTACTTGTTTACAGATAAATTGGCGGCGGAAAGTCCGTGCATCAGTTGGCACAATGCAAAAATGCAAAAGTCTACCGAACTAAACGATAATTTTTAATTAGACCTCTGCGAGTTCTACGAACTCTTACTGAAAAAAAATGAAATTAAGAATTTTAAAATCCACATTAGAAATAAAAGTACATTTTTGTTAGTTTTATCGAAGGCAAAAGTTCAGAATGGTGTTAGTATTTGTCTTTACTGTCCATTTAAATATCGTTACCATATTGAAATTAATCCTTCGATAAACCTGCAAACAAAACACTTCAATCTTTTAATGCTTATTTCATAGTTTACGATATCGATTTATATCTGTATGCTTGTACCTGCAGCGCGGTCAGCTTTGAACACAAGCTTGTAAAGTCCACCAGGTCACTGAAGTAAATTGTGACTGAACTGTAGCTTTCTGGCAACACATGTCGACCTTGCAGTAGATCTCTTGCCACACTCCTAAAATAAAATAGATACGTACTTATCGCTTATTTTAAACCCACGCATTTAAAATTAGATACATCAGAGCCAAACAATCCATTAAATTGCATCGTACAACTGTGTCGTCCTTCTGGGACTCGCCAGTAATGCTGAGGTCCTAAATTTCGAAATTCAAGGCGCAAATGAAGAAAATGAAAACCTGATGGAAGAAATGTCAAAATCTAGATGGACTAATGTACTACCTTAATAACCTCAATAATAAATTTTGTTCTTTTCCTGTATAGGATAATTTCAAAAGAACATCAATTACATGTGTATATTCTGAACCATATTGCTATTTCTGCGTTTACATCAGAATTTCAATGGCGTGGGATTTTGAGTTTCGAACATTTATAGAACTACTAACCAATCAAGTACAGTTAATTCCGTAACTTACAAATCAGAAATTAGTCAGCTTCATCAAATACACAAAAAACAGATGGAAATTTTTTTTCAACCTTGTGTATGATTGTGATATAATTATAAAAACCTGAAATGAAAATTATTACGATTTTTTTTTATTTAAGTGGAGTACATAATCGTATGCTCTCACTTTTTATGCTAATTTTTTCTGAGTGCATCGCTCCTTGTAGTGGTCTTTTATATTGAATTTCTAAAAAGGAACTTTATTCGTGGTGAAATATCCTCAACGAAACAACATATTGATCTACATTATTCTGTGGTTGACGGTGGTTATAGACCTTGGAAGTATTTGGTGTAGAAGTTCCTCAGAGCGTTTCTTCTCTACCAACAGTTGCTGTGTACGCTCCTCCACAATATCCTCAAGGTTTGTAGCGTACTTTTCCATCCTGTGCAACAGCATGTCTACGAAGTTTGTATGTTTCGTCCTGCAAAGAATGATGACATCAAAATTGTATGTGTCGTCACTCACACTGTCCTGTTGTCCGATTGTAGTTACGTATTAAATATAAATCCGATTCGGGATATATTGCAGACACACATTTTGTCATTCGTGCCAAGTTTTGAAATTTTGTATATTTAATTAAGCAAAACAAATTTTCCCAGACAAAAAAAGATATTGATGTGAAATGCACATACCCCATCATCTTCCGTAGAGATTTCAGAATACTATGGAAATCAGGCCGATCCTCCGAGTCCTCCGCCCAACATCTTGTCAGCAAATCAATGAGTTCGGCTGAACCATGGTCTTTAGGGACAATCGGGCGAAACAGTGGCTCGTCCCTCTCTTTTATTTTTTCTACAATCTCTATACAAAAGAAAAATTAGATTTGTTCTGATCATATTACCTTCAAAGATGTGTAATCGTTCTCACAATTGTTGATATTGAAATGTGATATATCGAACAAGTTCTAAGAGCATTAACTACCTATTTCTTGGTGTACATCAGTGCAATTCCAGCGCCAATTGTATATTTACGTACCCCAATGTATGATTTATTTGTTTACATGCTATTTCGGGATGTAAAATAAACCATCGCACATTTGGAATGAGTAAATATAGCGACAGTAGCTATTATAAGATAAGATGTTGTTGGTTTGTTGACCAGATCGATACACAGACGCGGTGTACAGTGTTTACCATCCACGTCCATCACAGTTCTGTAGGCGTCATAGGGCGTTGAACGGGTCAAGATTTCCACCATGATGATGGAAAAGCTAAATACATCCCCTTTGATGGTATGGCCTCCTTCACGTAAATGTTCCGGCGCAACCCACAACTCTGAAGTAGAACACAGTGAATGCGAGATCCTATTGTATGGTAGTGTTTGTAAGCTTAGGATTTCTGTTGTGATATAGTTCTTTAAAGCGACGTATTATGTAAGGTATTTAAATAAAACAATACTAATTATTATTTCTAATTATGTTTCTAATGTATGACATCACTTTTCTACAAACACCACATGAAAATGACTATATAACATTTCTGATATGTAAGCGATACGATTATTGCACCTAAGCTAAGTTAAGTTTATTAACCGATACAGAATCTTATAAGATCCTCTTCATCGGACTCAAAAACATGACATAAAAATTAAAATGAAAGTGAAAGTGCACCTGATGAAACACAAACCATTTGGACATAATTCTTTATAGAAAATTCGTATGTGATGTGCGCAATTTCACATCCAAGTGATTTCTTTTCAATGCTTCTTTCAATTAAGCTTTTTTCAATTAAGCTTATCCCATAGTTACAGATTTAGTGCAATTCTAGATTTCCATGCAAACATCAAAACATTATCACCTCAGCCGAAATATAACAAAGAACAACTAACCTTGACCATGATGCGCTATTCTTGCATTCTGGTAAAGTGTGGATAGACCATAGTCTGATATTTTTACAACAAAGCGACTATCCACCATACAACATTTGGACGTGAGATGCCCGTGGTACTTCAAGCATGACGACTGTATAAACGACATCCCCTGTTGCAGAATGTCAGGTTGTCATATTACAATATGATTGTATATAAGCATCGACATGTTACGAAATACGATGTCAAGATAATTTGGACTACTGGATTAAATATAATTCTACATGAACTCAACAACTGTCAACATGGAATATATTTGTTGATAGGTTTTGACCTGCTCATTTATTCAAAAGTGGTCAATTTTGACCTCTGGTCCTTCTTAACGTGACCGATGACCACCAAACGCTTTAACTTTCACTGGACAATACTATATGTGAATATAAGATAGATATGTTGATGAAGCATTAATTCAAAATCCGAGTTAAAACCATGTGGTTCTCTAACCCATACTTGCCCGCATCGCTCCTCTCTAATTGAGACATTGTTATTAATTTTTTTCGAACAACACACTCTAATTAGAGTCATCTGAAGGTGGACACCTAAAAGACACCACCATTAAAAACAAAGTACAGGTAAGAGAATAGAGGTTATTGTACTCCTCTTCCGGTAATCAGAAAACCATCATTGCTGCTGATAGATGATACATTGGAACGCATAATATTAAGCACAATTTCTAGTAAATCTTGAGATGTCTTTCTTATGGAAGTTGGTGTTTTTTTGCCATGGTCGATCTTGCTTTAGGTGGATCCGAATCATACCAAGTACTTTGTCAGTGGATGTGTTGGTGAAAATAGACGCCACACTGTGTGAATTGCATCCCTGATATTTTAGATAAGTACTGTGGACATACTTTCTGCTAGGTGTTTTAGGTTTATGACATGATGTTCTCAGTTCCCAACCAGAAGTCAAAGAATGTCTGCTACTGGTCGGAAGCCATTGTAACCAAACGGACCAGTATAGTCCCTATGGTCCGTAATGGATTCCACTTTGTGGATCCTTGATGTCAATACATTTTAGGAGTGTTCTATGCTATGAAATACACGTGCCTACATTGTGAGTAAACTAATCTTCCAATCAAACGCCTTTCAAACTGTTTAATAGGGTTGTTTCCGTTTTTCCATATGTTACCATTATTGCCATCCTGTGCACTTTCTTTTCCTTAATCTTTTTTACAATTTTGACACATTACTTTATGCCTTAGTGTTCATATGATTATAGTACAGCCGGAAAAGTCATTCGATTTCTTACCATTTAGTACACAACGTATGCCAGTGCTAGAACGCCTAACACTGGTCTTCCATTCTAAGACCTGTAAGTTTACGAACCCATCAACAACAAAAAACTATTGAGCTATATGTTGGGCAATATTGTGGAAATCTGCAAGGACCTTCATTAATCACACGGCATTGAGTACTTACCGCAGCTACATCCTTAAGCATCGACATTTTGAAAGATATATCCAGTTTAATGTTGTCGTTTTCTAATATATCCTGAAAATAATAACATTCATATCATGTTAAACGCTGTTTTATCTATCGAGAAATCAGTAAGGAAAAACAACGCTGAAAAGGGGATCGAATAGAATACATATAAGTTAAATATCACAAAGTTACATCAAGCAAACTGATATTTGTACACATTTGTTCTTCAGGAACAAGGTCCAGTGAACCTGCTATTACCTCTATACAACCTTTGGTGCAGAATTCGTGGACAATACAGATTTTGTTTGTTTCTACACTAACGCCAATCAGCCGTGTCAGGTTTTCATGCGTCATGGACCGCACCTTCAACATATATATTCCTTATTACAATATTTGTGTTTACGTTTGATATCAAAGAAGTATATTGAAGAGTATTTATTTATTACTTTATCTTAATTAATTTATTTATTTATCTATTTTATTTTATTTTATTTATTTATTTTATTTATTTACTTATTTTATGAAGCTGTTTACTGCTTCACAATCTCCATCATCACATTGCGATGTACCAGCAACATTGATGCAGTTTTTTAAGCAAGTAAATTGATGATAAGAACCGTACGGCAATGCACAGAGCGCATAATAAACTAGTATACTTAGATAATTCGATAGAACGTAAACTGGTAATAACAGGTAAACGGTATTGAACCTTATATCAAAATTTAATGTACGGGGCTACTAAACCCATAAACTAGTGTCTGATATCACTTTTCTTCTTTGTGTTTTAAATGACTCGAAGTCAACAATTACCGGTTAATATGGTTTGCAACCAACGAATCATTTCAAATATAAGCCGTGATAATTAATTGTTGTTGATATTATACGATCAATTCTAATCAACGATCACCTCTGTTAAAGGAACGCACCTGTTGTAGTTCTTTAAGTACATTTCTTGACAAATCTATCTTCCTCTGTCGTACCATTCTGACAGAAACTGGTGATCCCTGGTCATACAAGAGCAAATGCATTTTACAAGTTTTACATCAACACTTTAAAACAGCGATTTGTGAAATTCATTCCTTAAGTCTTCCTCACAAAACTTATAACTTTAAGACAAAATTGGAATCTTGTAAGGAAGATCATTTCATCAACCAACACAGTTATATGCCTATACATACAACTACAGACACCCGTGCATGTTACAATATGCCCTAGTTTACTGCTTCCAATACAGAATAGATACATTTGTATATCAGTCATGTCGTGTATTATTGTTTCCTTCCAAATACGGAGTTAAAACTGCTCAGAAATACCTTTATATCTAATAGTGCCATGTCATGTTGTTATATAGTCGTTCTCCGCTAATGAGTTTAATACCGCTCTAGAGTCATCACATTCTCATTGATGAACGTACTACGTGACTGACAAGCTAAGCTATTACTGTCATGATCAAATTATCTTTATTGCAGAGGACGGCACAGGCAGATTACAAACCGGGAATACAATGAACAGTCATACAGTGACATAGCAATATCCCGCTGTAGTAAGTAGCGTCTAGTTTGATCACAAATATATTACTCGTAGATACCTTTCGTTTTCTGCAAAATAATCCGTGTTTGACCTAAACTGAAATTGTAGAACATCCACAAGAGTGAATACAGTCTTTCGATACAAATTTAGAATTGAATACAGCCTCAAAAAAGATAATTAATTGAATCATACAGGTGTTTCGTCCATCTAGGCATGTAGAGATACTAAATTTGAAACATGGGAGGCGACTGAGAATCCAACTGACCGAGGGAAATCTCAAAAGCTAGATGGGGAGATGCAGTAGCCCTATAATTCAAATCATTTCGTAATTTCATACATCTGCTAATTTCGAAAGAACATCAAGAACATATATATATTGTACTGTGCCACTATTCAAATAGATTAAAACGGAGCAAGCATTACGTATCTGGAGTTGAAAGAATACAAGACATAGAAAATACAACTAGAAAACGTCTGCGAAACATTCATGTCCCCGCTCCCATGGAAAATGTTAACCCGAATTTAGAAAACATAACTATAGAATCCAAACAGAAAACATATCCTGTTGTATGGGCGTTAGTTTTTGGAATGTATATCATTGTCTCGTGACAATGTCTAACTGTTTAAAGCAGTGTTGCAAATTCACATCATTAAAGAATATAATAAAAAAAGCAACGTAACTCAGAGCTAACTTCGCGATGCAAACTGAAAACATGAAACAAAATTAAACAGAAATATTTAAACAAATGCCGTGTAATGTATATCCCATGTATGTATCAGGAATTTCAAACTATAAATAGGTGTTCTTTAAACTAGTGTCTTGATTCTTCACCCTGTATGTTGCGAATCCAGCTAGGAATTGGGTCCCGGTCAGGTCAGTGTTGTATCGAGAGGACCTTCGGGATATCGAGGAGGCAATGCAGCTTGGCTGAAACAATCCATGCATAGTACTCATTAAATCGAACTGTTATAGCAATTTTAATGCGATACAACTGACTCGTTATTCTACATTGAACCGACACATAAAAAGCATATATAAAACGACTACAGCAGTGATATACAAATTATACAAAGATACGACAGGAAAAATAAAAGTGAGTTTGGATTCGCGTACATTTACAACCCGCCCTCCATCCTTGATTTTTATGTTTTGATACTGGTAAAGCGTTACTTTGCCAACCAGGTGTAGAACCTATGTATACTATGTATATACTGGCGGTTAACTCCTTGGCAGGTTCATGTATCTCAATGTGTAGGGTTTGGTAGTGAAAATATATTGTGAATATGTACAGACTATTGGTTACTAGATTCCATTTACTACTAACTGTGATAAGCAGAAGTATCAGAGACAAAATCACCTGACTTTTCACTGATAGGTGTCTGAAAATGTTATGTTTTTTTAAATCAATCTATTTCCATTATGTTGATGACTTGTCTTTAAGTTATACCTTCCTCTGAAATACTAAAAAATAATCCTCCAAACAATATAACAGTGTATATGACTTCTTCTAATGGTCGTTTTCAACGTTGCAAGACGGTGTCGACTACATATCGCTGATCTTACCGTGATTCTGTAACAAGGCGGTTACTTACCACTGATCCTACAGACATGCTCTAACAAGGCGGTTACTTACCACTGATCCTACAGACATGCTGTAACAAGGCGGTTACTTACCACTGATCCTACAGACATGCTGTAACAAGGCGGTTACTTACCACTGATCCTACAGACATGCTGTAACAAGGCGGTTACTTATCACTGATCCTACAGACATGCTGTAACAAGGCGGTTACTTATCACTGATCCTACAGACATGCTGTAACAAGGCGGTTACTTACCACTGATCCTACAGACATGCTGTAACAAGGCGGTTACTTACCACTGATCCTACAGACATGCTGTAACAAGGCGGTTACTTACCACTGATCCTACAGACATACTGTAACAAGGCGGTTACTTACCACTGATCCTACAGACATGCTGTAACAAGGCGGCGTCTGTTACTTACCACAGATCCTACACGCATACTGTAACAAGGCGGTTACTTACCACTGATCCTACACGCATACTGTAACAAGGCGGCGTCGGTTACTTACCACTGATCCTACAGACATGCTGTAACAAGACTGTTACTTACCACAGATCCTACAGACATACTGTAACAAGGCGGTTACTTACCACTGATCCTACAGACATACTGTAGCCATCGACATGAAAGTTAATGTCGTCATATTTTATCATCCACGCCATATTTTGTAGATCTCGCTCTCTTTGAAGATGCCTTTATCAGAAAGAAAAAAATACAAATATTTTGGCTTCCATAAAATAGTTTGCCCTGCCAAAATTCGAAAAGAATTTCCCGTGTGTCTTGATTAAATTACTATCAATGCAATTAAGGCAATATTGGATAAATAAACTTTACTTTTCTAATAAAGGTAATCGGCGATACATATATATGATATATACTAAATCGTATATCATCAAAAATACGTCCAAATCAAAAATGAAGTATACGGAGGAAAAATTCCCCAAATGATCCAGTTTCTGGTTGAAAATATCTTCGTCGCGTCTGAAGGTACAAGCTTTCATAGGGCTATTGGCATACGTATGAGAACAAACTGTCTCGTTGTTCGCCGACTTCTTGAAACTTTCATACAAGGCTTAGTCTATCGAAGGCCTTATCTTTTTGGTCACAAAGACCTTGCAAAGTTCTTCAATTTCACTTTCAGATATATTTATGAGGTCCTGTCGAGAAACATTGGCCATGTCCATCGTATATACCCACCAGAATTGGTGCGAAACACGTCATTTACGTCTAATCAAATCGAAAGTTTATCATCCTCCTCCTCAACAGAACATAATGTTTGACAAGACAGTGTACTACACAATCGGGTGATAAATCAATCACTGATACATAATTAATTACACCGTCAATGTGTAGTTATAATCAAATCGTTAAACTGTTTTATGTATCAACGATTTACTTATACACTGCAGTAATTGTCCTGGTAATCTGCCTTATGTGTAATGTCTATTTATTTTGTAATGTTTGTTTATTTTCGTACCAGCCGAGACTTTATGACGTCGATGACGGACCACCAAAACCAGACGTCTTTAGAAAATTGTAAACATTCCCTCTACAACGTTTAACATAGAACTCACTAAGCTCTTTGTATGTCTATATCAAAATATCGTAATGTGTCATGAAAACTTACCGGAAAAGGATGAAAGCACCAGACACAATGACGAAGAGTAGCGTAGATATAGCAGTTATAACGTAGACGAGTTCGTATGAAAAATCTAATAAACAGAAAGATACAAGGTGTCCGTTAAACATTCTTCAGTTCGTATGAAAAATCTAATAAACAGAAAGATACAAGGTGTTCGTTAAACATTCTTATTTCACGGCAGCAATTAATAATATATTTAGTCTAAAGACAAAACTTAAAGAAATCGTGTTATATTATCATGAAAAAGATATCATTAAAATATCAATTACATGTTGGTATATTAGAAATAATAACAAATTAATTTTGCTTCTCGTATATTGTATTTTAACGACTTTTCTACACTTTTGGTGTTCGAGGCGGGAGAGAAACGAAATTGTCAAGATATCATAGTATGTGCCTTTACTGTCTGAAATAGCAACTGACATTTCTTAGAACACATAGGGTCGTCTCCCTGGTAGCCACACGAAGGTGTATTAAGAGGGGGTTCTGTTCTGCCCCCAGCCCAGTGGACAGACTTTGTGGGAACAGGATTGTACCATTGTCGATCTCCGAAAAAGTTAGCGATAACCTGAAACGATATCGAAAGGTCATAAACACTTAATTTTAGGCAGTGACAGGCGACAATACTTTAAAATGTATTGGAATACTTCTAGGTGACTTATAGAAAATTAATTCTTTAAATGGGAAAAAACCTGCATGCCACGTTTTGATTCAAATGTTTTCTGGCACGGTTCAGAATTCACAGATGTTCTTGACGTTCTTCAGAAATCGCTCAATATGTACTTCATTTTATCGACATACTGACTAAAGTTCTACTAAATATGCTCGAGATGGACGGTACGGATATTGTTTTGTAAGAGCCCGAAGCCAAAGTATTGATTTTTCCATGGTTTCATGCTGACAAAGTTAATATCTATATCTAGGAATCCCAATAAAATCTACGCCACCTTGTCATATCTCTCTGTCTGGTAATATAATACTGATGTACAACGTGTTAAGTTTCTAGTCTAAGTTTCCCTTTGTTTCGTCCTGATATACACGACTTCATCTTATGATCATTTCTGAATGAAATCCCAGCCTTTCTGGTAGTATTCCTTATTACAGTAACATCATTTTATATGTATAATGTATTTTTTCGTTTTAAGGATGATATCTAGCTCACCGAATCTCACGTTGGTCAGAATTGAATTGTATTTATTTTTTTGTACAATCATTATCATCAACTCCCTATAGTGACATTAGCCTAAGGAAATGATGACTTTTATACCTATACATCATAGCCGACTGTACCGCTACAGCACAGATATCCCCGGTAAAATGCCGTTCTTCTATCTCTAAATTATGCATTAGATTTATCTAAATTCAATATGATGCTGTTTTTGGAAATATTTTGTAGGGACTACCGATGAATATTTCTATTCGTCCATGAATTGTACAAATGATATTGTTAAATGATTATTGGGATCAATTTTGGATGTATGATGCCCGGAGCTGCTGGAATAAGAGTATATATGATAATTCGTTATTATAAAAGAATATCATATAACAATTAATACTTTATGGAAGTAAGAGTTTATGTTAGAATACACGTTTTATAATACTTCATATGCGTTGGATAAACGTCTGGTCCAGCTAAAACGTAAAACGTGGACAGACTGGGGATTCCTTAATATGTATTAATTAATTGCGGTATGATTTTTGTTATCATTCTTGGATCTAAATTAAATCTCAAATACATCATCAAGAAATCATCTACAAAATAAATTTAACACTTACCACAGCGTTTTAAAGAATACTTTAATTGTAACTTCTATTGGAATGCGAAAGCCAGCTGCTGCAGCTTCCACAATATACACTTAACGTGTATATTTAATATCTTTATTTAACGTAAAAGAGATGGATGCGTGAGTGAATTTATCATAAATGTTTCCAGCTGTAAAATCCAGCAACTCCTTCAGAAGCACAAAAAAGTACAGAGAGAAAACAAGACTGACTCTAGCTGGTTCACGTATCTAATGTATTGTTTGATGTAAAGTGCCGTGCAGCGTATTTCTCCTAGATAAGTGGTCAGTATCAACAGGTAATATATTTGCCCCTCACATGCATGGCTGTGTTGTACTTTTACGCTTAATTGTGACGAAAATAAATATTAAATATATTATGTAATATCTATATATTATTAATTAAAAGGCGTTACATATCGAATTGCCATGCGACTAGCCATTAGACTGTATACAACTCTAATCAAGGAGACCGTTAGTAATCAGTAACGTACATTTAATCCATACTGTTTACACTATATCGATATCATTGACGAGTCGCTACTGTACAAACTTGTATCAGAGATGTGTCAACTGATGTAATATAAACATTGTAAAAATTCATTGAAAACAAAAATTTAACGTCGAATATCACAAATGTTGGTTAAGAACATTTCACGGTCTTTGAAAACAAATCAATTATTCATTCATACAACCCATCAGTCGCGTCCTTATTCGTGTAAATGACAAATTTTGACACCTATAATTGAGGTCATGTTTCATCCACAGTCTTCAGTATGTCATATCCCCAAACCCGCAGAAAGTATTAATGAATTAATAAAACCATAGGTCTTCATTTAAAACAGTATATTTGTATTATTCTGAAGTGTTTGTATATATATATATATATCGCAGGTAGCATGGTTCATGATAAATATCATTTGACGTACGTGAAATTCGCCTGTGTTTGGGTCCAAGTCAAGGATGGAATAGCTTGTATCCCGATCCCCATTATCGTCTATAATCACACTTCCGGTTACACCTGTGATATTAAAAAATATAAAGGGGTCATCGATTAAGATATCTTCAACAGAGAGAAAGGTTGATGTCGGTAGTACTTACAGTATACCACATAGATTACTACATTCAGCAGTCTATTGAATGTATATACTACATTCAGCAGCCTATTGAATGTTGTATGCCGATATACTGTGATTGCACACAATATAGTTCTCTCAAAAATTTGGGACAGTATAAATAATTTAAAAAACCACTTCGAACAAAATTGTCAACAGCACTAACAACAAAATGTCAAAAGAAAACACGGCACCACCATGTAAGACTAAACATTTACAATTCAATGTACCAGATGTTACAGTGTTAGCACTCAGAACTATCATAAAACAACAGAACATCAAAAAGGACGAAAAACGCATCAAAACGGCAACTTACAAGATAAGAAAACTTAGATAGATGGGAGATGCTACTTCGTCACAACACACTAGAGGAGCATGCCCTTAAGCTTAAAGGTAAGGACAGCATGCACGATTACGAGATTACATAGAAAAGAATAAAGGGGAGAATGATAAGATCAGCTGAGATATCAGACAGGAATCATATCACATACATATTTGTTTCTTTGTTGTCCTACCACTATTCCTAGTAATCTTTCACAGAACCGTGAATTCCTCTAAGCTGATCTGTGGTGCGCGTTTTAGTATGATTAAAATATTTGAGTAGATAGCGCGTAAACTGTCATCAAAGACATCGATAAAAACACAGATATCGAGTGAAAAGTAATTAAATAATGTATCACTACACTTTTATATGATAATGACTGGAAACTGGTAACTCTTCGGCACCAATATTTTGGTTTTATACGTTTAGTTGTGATAGCAGACCATCAATATTTATCAGCACTTATAGTTTCCATAACGATATAATCAGGAATGGTAATGGGGAGATACTAATGTCCTTCAGTTCAGTGGTAACTTGATAAATTCAAGCCACTGTATCATTTTAATATAATAGTTCCATATCGAGTTTGACCAAAAATGGCAATTTAGCCATGCCAGTCACGTGATTTTCTTTATTTTGTTATTCCTGAGAATTTTCAATCTGTGGAATCGTCAGTTTGTGTCGATATATTGCATTATTATACAGTAATGATAAAAAAATGAAAAATTGTTAATCAAAGTTCATAACCTTCTTTTTTTCAAACTACATCAATAAAACTGGATCAGATCTATTGAAAGCATTACAGTACATTCCATCACTTCGGAACATCATCAAATAAAAAATTTGTTAAAACTTTTTGACGAGTTTTTAAAAGATACCAATTGTTTAAGGATCGACATAGAATAAACTGAGATAATGATGTAAATTTACGAATATAATTGTGAAAAAGCGAGTTTTATGGTTAAACACGCGTTTATCGAAGACCGGAAGTAACTTTGACTTAAAAAATTGACGGAAATAAACAATTTTCACGGAACTGTCTCCGGATATGGCAAACGTGTTCCAAAATACGACTTTATTCGCGGATATAGATATTTAATCAATATCATGTTTTGCTTTGTTCTCGTGTAGGTATTTTGAAAGGTAATCAGTATCGGTACCTTGAAATGTCCTGTCCCACATCGCTCTGGTGAATGTGTAGCCGTCGTTTAGCGCTGAGATGTTGTTGAGACTCTCGTTTAGGGCGATTCCATATAACAGCACTGCGTCATGGAAAGCTCCGATAAAAAAATTCACCTTATAAGATAAAATCCAACATGAAGATATTACCAGTGCTTGAGAGACAACGTTCATCAAAACTCTTTATTATCCGACAAAATTACAAGATGAAATGTCATTTTTATTACGTAAATATACTTGTATCCACTACTATCAGAATCAGACAACAAAACACAAAGATTGTTGGTATAAAATATGAAGATATTTAGCATGCCGAGTATCAAGCATCCCGGTACGAATGCTAGAGACGTATTTATGTTGGAAATTAGGAATATAAGATAGGGTTAAGTTTAGAAGGTTAGCCAAGCTTACCATGAGGAATGCAATTAGGAATAATAATTTAAATAACTAATGGTGAACTACAAAATGTAATACCTTTACGTTAACAGAAAAGGTGCTTGTATAAAGCAATAGATGTGTCACTTAATATTACAATTGAAATAAGGATCGCTGTCTGTGTTGATATGTTACATTGAATTTTTAGAATGTTTGTATTTAGTATGTCGAAATCAAATTGATGTGTGCAATCTATACACCAGAAAATAAAAAATACCTCTTCGTCAGAAAATGAGAAATTGTACATTTGCTGAGCTTTCAACTTGACTTCTCTTGTAAAGTTCGTCCACTCGGCACTTATCGGGACTTGAAGACTGATTCTAAACATAGCTTCGTATGATTTCCTGGCATCTTGGTCACGTGTGTCGTGTCGTCTCCAGTCGTGGTTGCCCCAATATTCCCCAGGGAAAGAAAATAGATGGATATCGAAGAAAACAAATTCGCCAGTGTTTATAAAGCCAAGGTCGAAAGCCGATAACATGAGGTTCCGCACGGACTCTCCAGGAGCAACAAGGACTATCACTGCAAAACACCGGTTAGTATTCAGTTAAATACGCCAGATATCATACAATTGTTCTTGAGATACTTCTGAAACATCAGTATAAACATGGAACCATTTGTTATATGACAGAATACTTACTACATTCTATCCAACTATAAAGTGGGTAACAGTTTTCAACAATTAAACAATTTGTTCGACTTCAAATGATAAAATCCAGCCTTCAGCTATACACTGGTTTTCGAAATTCTAAAGATAAATATATTTCGTCACTCAACATCATTATCTCTCACCTCTAGTAACCATGGCGACCTCTGTAAGGATAGCTTTGAAATCGGGATTGTCTTTTCCGTAATAAGGAAACATGAAAGGATATATAGTTTGCTTTTGGAGACCGACCTTCAGGGTGGACCCGAGGACTTCCGAGTGAACATCATTGACGTCATATACAATGGCTACATCTGTCCAATGAAACTCCTCAAATATACTACCCAGTACCCTCCGTAGTCTACACTGGCAATAAGCAAGTCTGGTGAGGGTTGGATAATTGGTCTTGTTTTTAAACATACCACCATCTCCCAGACCTTAAAATTTGATAAAGGATATTTGGATACATTTTAAGTTGCGAAGATTTGCGATGAATTCGTGTTTACACAGTCATTACAAAAAGACAAGTCATTAATTTTTTAATACATATTTAGAATTAAGTGCAGTAGAGTTAAATAATGAATTAAACTGCATCATACAGAATTTTCGATTTATTAGGACACGTCAGTGATGATAAGGACACTAATCTTTAACCAAGTGGCGACTGAGACATGATCCAAAATGATCAAAACATATGTCATATATTATTTTCATACATCTGATAATTTCAAAAGGTCCTAAGTACAAGTGTATATTCTGAACCGTGCCACTACACAATTCAAATCAATTAAATGTGCCGTGTACATACTGCACATTACGGCAAATTTCGGGGAATCAAAGTCTCACATGTGCAATCTGAAAGACTGTACGAAAGTCACAAAAGTGAAAAGTTCATTTTAAGACAGGGTAGAGTCAAATAATGAATTAAATTGCATCATACAGACGTTTCGTCCTTCTAGGACTCGTCAGTGATGCTACATCATACATATGCTTTGTCTTTCTACGACTTGTCAGTGATACTACATCATACAGCTATTTCGTCTTTCTTGGACTTGTCAATGATGCTACATCATACAGCTATTTCGTCCTTCTAAGACTCGTCAGTGATGCTATATGATGCAGTTTTTTCGTCTTTCTTTGACTTGTCAGTGATGCTACAACACATAGCTGTTTTGTTCTTCTACGACTCGTCAGTGATTCTACATCATACAGCTGTTTCGTCCTTCTACGACTCGTCAATGATGCTACATCATACAGCTATTTCGTCCTTCTAAGACTCGTCAGTGATGCTATATGATGCAGCTTTTTCGTCTTTCTTTGACTCGTCAGTGATGCTACAACACACAGCTGTTTTGTTCTTCTACGACTCGTCAGTGATGCTACATCATACAGCTGTTTCGTCCTTCTACGACTCGTCAGTGATGCTACATCATACAGCTGTTTTGTCCTTCTACGACTCAGTGATGCTAAAGTGCTAGGTTTTTCACTAAAGTTTTATGGCAGTTATACAAACAAAATGCTAGATACGACTAAATTCATTTGTGGGTCCCACACAAGTAATCTCCTAATCGAAGTAAAACCCAGCACATCAGGGTTCGAACGATGTTGAGTATCATTCGCCTGTATTTGTCTATTTTTATTCCGCACTGTGTTTAATTACACCCATACCAGTAATGTGGATAAATATCGACCACTGGTATTTATTCAGACGATATTCAGATTCTATGCAGTAATATTTAATGATACAATGTAACACGTATACCTGTAATGAGCGGAATATTCCAGTAGTTGGCCAGACGACCTACAGGATCCAATGCATACGCACAAGCCGGTCCAATCAAGGCGTTTATACCATGTCTGTAGTACATATCGGCCACCACTCCTGCAATATTTCCATGTTATTAGCTTGGTGTTCCATTGAATTAATTTTCCTATTGGAATATTGAATGATTTATTTGAGATGAGACAACGGAACAGACTCGAAGACATCAAGACGATTATTCCGAAACCTGATATTTCCATTTCCTGTTTGTATAAAAATCGGTCAACTTTTCGTGACCGAATTATTAGCATCTCTGATTCCTTGTTTTACATGTTAATGTACATCTGAACGTGGGCAGTTTAATTAAGTATTCGAAATATGTTGTAACGAAGACGCAAAAATACTTAATAATTATTCGTATCGAAAAAACAGAGGTTATATAATGCACACACACCGATATTGATAAATAAAAATCACTTTATGAAATGGAAGGTGATTTTGGAGTCTCACTAATATAGATTTGTTTTAATGAATGTCATTTTCTTCTCAAGCAGAATGACGCTCATTTCCTTGATTCCTGAGTGTTCCCTTGTGTAATATATCTCACAATGTCTGTTATAGAGCATGTATTTACATTTAAATGTACTTGATTGAAAATCTATATTGTCCTACTCGCTTCGATCACTGAATCCAAAACTGCAAAATATTACGGAAAACACCATCTAAATTGTCTTTAATCACTCATAATATTCATACACACACACATATATATATATATATATATATATATATATGAGAATAATAATGCACATCGTGTTTCTGATTATTATTCTCATATATTGAACCGGACACTGAGCTGTTGATATTTTCATTATATATATATCGAAGGCATTTAATTCGCACGTATAACGTTTAGTCTAGAGAAAAAAGCAGATCGATAAATGTCCAGGAACATCTTGAAATATAACATGTAATATTACACGTACTTCGATCGATGTTTACAGCAATCAAGTAAAACAAAGACAATCGATTTCCATATCGGTCTATCAGATACCTTAATTAAATCATCGCTTTCACCAGACAGGTTGCCGGGTAGAATGTCTTCAACAGCTTAAACTTGTTTCTATTACTATAACGGTATACGAAATTGGATTACGTTGTTCATGTTTATATATGTCCCTTGTTAAATGTTGATGAAGAGCTTTCATTGAGTTCTTTATTCATTCATTGAAATAAATTCAGATAGGTGTTACTGTTATCATCTGAAAAATGACACTAATAAGTTAGAATTGAAACATCAGTTACTAGCGTTGTAGTCGTAATTTATTGTAAATAGTTCGTTAGATTATCAATAATTTGTGTTTCACGTTGAGTGCGATGGTCATTTAAATCTATTTAGTTAAATTATCAATAATTTGTGTTTTGACGTTGAGTGCGATGGTCATTTAAATCTATTTAGTTAAATTATCAATAATTTGTGTTTTGACGTTGAGTGCGATGGTTATTTAAATCTGTTTAGTTAAATTTTCAATAATTTGTGTTTCACGTTGAGTGCGATGGTCATTTAAATCTATTTCGTTAAATTATCAATAATTTGTGTTTTGACGTTGAGTGCGATGGTCATTTAAATCTATTTAGTTAAATTATCAATAATTTGTGTTTTGACGTTGAGTGCGATGGTTATTTAAATCTGTTTAGTTAAATTATCAAAAATTTGTGTTTTGACGTTGAGTGCGATGGTCATTTAAATCTATTTAGTTAAATTATCAATAATTTGTGTTTTGACGTTGAGTGCGATGGTCATTTAAATCTGTTTAGTTAAATTATCAATAATTTGTGTTTTGACGTTGAGTGTGATGGTCATTTAAAACTATTTCGTTAAATTATCAATAATTTGTGTTTTGACGTTTAGTGTGACGGTCATTTAAAACTATTAATTAAGTTATCATAGTTCGTTAAAACAGTGTATAAGTAATTAATACTTAAGAAGATATTTATCGTTACATAAACAACAATTGAAAACTGTATTTTGCGAGCTTTCGAGAATGTCTGTTTCTCTTATAGCAATAACGGCGGAACTGACTAAACACGAACTGTTCCTCATAAACTGGTAAATAAATTTATTGAGTATATCACCGACAGATACATTGTTCTCTTTTATTATTAACTTTTCAGTTTAAACGCAAATAAAAATAAAAATTTCTGAAGAAGTGGAAATGGTTATGAAGTATCTGTATTTTATATCAATTTAAAACCAGGGACAACGATCTCATTAACAGAACTAGTTTTAAACAGATACAATTGGTACCCGATATTCTGATTAATAATAAGAAACCACTTTCTCGATGTTCCATTCCATCAAATTCCTTCAAATCCATTATACCGTGTTTCAATTTAAATAACACTGATTAAAGACTATATGATAAACAGGGTAATATTATATTTTACTATACCGGATGGTAAATAATGTCAGGTAAACTATATTTGTTAAAGTGTTTGGAAGACCGTAAAATTGATGTTTGCAGTCTCTCATAACATTGGATAAGGGAATATCATTTGTCCTTTTTTGATACCTCCATCCAATCCGGTTATTCATGCATTGTAAAACCAGTCCGCAAGGTAAACCCGTTTCGGTATACGTGCAATATTAGAGGTGGCGTTTGCATTCTGTACAAATCTAGTTTAAGGGTTCAGGAAATTACTATAGATTGTCCTCGAATGGTTGGCATGGAGATTCTGGAATCTGAACGTAATTTCATCTATGTTTTTTTCGGTATACATGCCAGCATCATTAAGACACTTGGATGTTTTCAAGGAAACTATAGATACATTAGAATCTCTTGTATCCGTATATTTAGAAAAAGGGAGGGCTATAATTATTGGAGACTTTAACGTGAAAATTATCAGTTTCCCAGTAAGGCTAGATCAAGTGCTTTTGGAACTTTTTTTAGTAGAAATAATTAAGTATCTGTTAATGTCCAAGGTGATTGCAGTGGGCCTTAATACACTTTCTGTCCTGTCTCTGGCAACTGTACAACAATAGACCACATTGTTGTTGAAAGTAGTATGGTAGATTTGGTAAGAAAATCTGAAATCTTAGATGATGGTGAAAACTCATCAGATCACCTCCCAGTCTATTGTAGTATCGACATTCCCAAGTTACGTTAACCAATTGGACAAATAATGCCAAATATAACTGGCGGAAAGCATTGAATAATGGTCAAATTAACAATTACAAGTTTATTGTAGATTCTGAGCTCAGTTTAATTACTGTTCCAGAGAAAATCAAATGGAATGACGAGATTGACTCATATTATGAAAGTTTAAAAAATGTTTTATTAAAGGCGTCAGAACATTGCATTCAGAAACGTACATTTAATGGACATCTTAAACCATATTGGAACAAACAATTAACAGAGATACACAGCAAAATGTTGTTTAAAAGAAAATTGTGTAAAGATAACGTTTATTTTCAGGTAATGACTTTCACTTTCTAGATTATAAATTATGCAAAAATATTTTTAGAAATAAATGTTTTCGACGAGTATATGAGTCGGCAATTTGTTGAAATTGATCAGTCCGGTGAAGTTGATCAAACGCTATTCTGGCAATTATATAAAAGTAAATCACATAAACCGAAATTAGCCCAGACTGAGTTGAAGTATGATGGCCGGGTCCTACGTGATCCGAGATAAATCGTAAATGCATGGGGTAAACATTTTGGCAAGCTTTTTGAAAGTGAAAGTAACGAAATGTTTGATGCTAATACTTTAAATCAGGTTCAACATGATATATTGACAATTAAGGAAAACATCAAAACTGACCATGATACCTTTCTAGAAAATGAGTTTACATTTGAAGAGATTTATTCGATATATAAAGGTCTTAAAACAAAAAAGTCAGGTGGTCCAGACGGTCTTGTGTTTGAGCATGTTAAATACTGTAACAGTTCACTTGTCACACATATAACATATCTTTTTAATATTATTGTTAAGTATGGATATATTCCAAAATCGTGGAAATTGGGCACGATAATTACACTGTTCAAAGGTAATCGGAAACCGAAGGACGATCCAAACAGCTACAGAGGCATAACATTTATTCCTGTATTTTTCAAAATATTTGAGTCTTTTTTGTCTACCCGTTTAAGTCCAGTCCTAGAGTCAGACTCATTTCCAAACCGACGCCAGTCAGCCTATCGCAAGGATTTATGTAGTTTATGTACGTCCTTTAATTTACAAGAAAACATCAATTATAATCTAGACCATGCATCCGAAGTGTTTGTTGTCTTTTTAGATAGTAATAAAGCCCTCGATTGTGTTTGACAAGACGGGCTATTCTATAAGCTTTACAACTTGGGTATTAAAAGGAGAACGTGGAATATTATGTATCAGATGTACTTTCATTTTACTAGTCGAGTCATTTTCAACGGTTTTAAGTCAAATTATATAACTATAAAGCGAGGGATTTTACAAGGTGGGTCGTTATCTGCGAAATTGTATTTGGTTTTTATAAATGGTCTGTTAAATCATGTTGAAGCTAGCGGAAAAGGGTCAGTAGTGTTATCCTCACGCGTCGATATACCCACACAAGCCGATGATATATGTCTTGTTAGTAACAGCGTTTATGATTTACAGCATTTACTCTCATTTTGTGAGTTATACAGCCGAAAGTGGAAATTTCTTCCGCTAAATCTAAGATCCTTATTTTCACTTCCAAAAACCAATCAAGTGTATCATGTGATGTGACTCTGTATGGTTCGAAATTACCAATTGTTGAAAGTATTACACATGTTGGTGTTTCGTTGAACAGCAAAAATAATAATATCTAACGCACAGAACGCGCTTGTTCTAAGTTGAAGTATGGTGGCTGATATGTGCCATTTCGTTATTTCGTTTTTTTGCCGCGAAATAACAACAAACGTCGTCTTTTCGCTGCGAAATAACGACAAACGGCGGGGCGAAATAACGACAAACGTCGTCTTTTCGCTGCGAAATAACGACAAACGGCGGGGCGAAATAACGACAAACGGCGGGGCAAAGTATTTCGGGTCGCCAAACAGCGACTTTATATTTTCGTTATTTCGCCTTACGTTATTTCGTTCTGTTGCTGCGAAAAGACGATGTTTAGCGCGGCGAAAAAACGACAATTGTCGTTCTTTCGCGGCGAAAAAACGAAATAATGAAATGGCACATATCAGCCACCATATTGAAGTGTGGAGTAATGTCTTTGATTCGTTCTGGGGCACACCCATATACGCTCAATCCTTCAATACTGCAAGAATAGACAAGTCTAAAGTTTACTCTTCAGCATTGTATGGTTGTGAATTGTGGCAGTTAAAGCAAAGAGAAATAAACTACCTACTGCAAAAATAGTCATGTCTAAAGTTTACCCTTCAGCATTGTATGGTTGTGAATTGTGGCAGTTAAAGCAAAGAGAAATTTATATGTTAGGAAAGGCACAGAATTTCATTGTTAAATCAATTCAAGGTTTCAATTTAAGAACTAGAACGGACATGTCTACATCTTTGCTTGGGTGGTTTTCAATTGAAGTATATATCAGTATAAAGAAAATGCAATTTCTTGGTAGAATTTGTTTAATGAATGTGGGGTATTTAACATGCGAGATTTTTATTAAACGGTTATTTGAATTCAGTCTGACCCATTTAGTAGAGGGTTTGTGCCTGATATTGTTTATATTCTAAAAAAAATATAATTTGTACTATGTCTTATTGAATTCATGAAAAATGGTGTATTTCCTAACAAATCACAATAGAAGATTTTAATTAATGGTCATGTTAGAAAATATGAAGAAACTAGATTATGTGAAAGAATGTACGTAGATTGTGATTTTTCTCGATTTATTCTCTTACATAACACTATACATCCTTACCCGGTTTGGAAACTTGCTCTACGTTTTCCACAACATGGTGTTTATATCAAACGAATTGTTAAACTAAGCGTTAAAATGCGCGAAATGAAAATATTTACCTGTGTCACTACTGTGGCTTCAAGTATAAAGATATCATTATCCATAGCGTGCTCGAATGCTCTCACACAGAGAGTTTACGAGACCAGCTCTGGTGCTTACTCAGCACAGTGAAAGACATAGATTTTGTAGTTTACCTTAATGAATTGTCTAACTATCATTTAATACACGATCTTCTCGGGGGTATTATCGACTGCGATATATCCCCATTTGAACTAGAGGATTTTAGATTAAATTCAATAGTTTTCATCGTCAGAATCCTACAACAATATCATGCTGTTTAATTGTAATGTTTGGTCATTTTGACTTAAAAATGAAATATTCACATATTAAATCATATGATTATAATATGTATTTGACTTAACTGTAAGGATAACCTTAAATTATTTTATTTTCTTAACTTTAGGAGTTGTTGTATGTATATATTTTGCGTACGTAAACTCTGTCTATTGCTTACATTGTATTAACTTAAATGCTTCTTATGTGTATATGTGTGTACAAACGCACAATTTTTTTCTACAATGTCAATGTATATATGGAGGAAATAAAAGAAATAATAATACCGGAAGGAAGGTCTGAATTGATAAACAGGATAATATTATATCTTACTATACCGGAAGGAAGGTCTGAATTGATAAACAGGATAATATTACATCTTACTATATCGGAAGGAAGGTCTGAATTGATAAACAGGATAATATTATATCTTGCTATACCGGAAGGAAGGTCTGAATTGATAAACAGGATAATATTATATCTTGCTATACCGGAAGGAAGGTCTGAATTGATAAACAGGATAATATTATATCTTGCTATACCGGAAGGAAGGTCTGAATTGATAAACAGCATAATATTATATCTTGCTATACCGGAAGGAAGGTCTGAATTGATAAACAGGATAATATTATATCTTGCTATACCGGAAGGAAGGTCTGAATTGATAAACAGGATAATATTATATCTTGCTATACCGGAAGGAAGGTCTGAATTGATAAACAGGATAATATTATATCTTGCTATACCGGAAGGAAGGTCTGAATTGATAAACAGGATAATATTATATCTTGCTATACCGGAAGGAAGGTCTGAATTGATAAACAGGATAATATTATATCTTGCTATACCGGAAGGAAGGTCTGAATTGATAAACAGGATAATATTATATCTTACTATATTGGAAGGAAGGTCTGAATTGATACACAGGATAATATTATATCTTACTATATTGGAAGGAAGGTCTGAATTGATACACAGGATAATATGATATCTTGCTATATCGGAAGGAAGGTCTGAATTGATAAACAGGATAATATTATATCTTACTATATCGGAAGGAAGGTCTGAATTGATAAACAGGATAATATTATATCTTACTATACCGGAAGGAAGGTCTGAATTGATAAACAGGATAATATTATATCTTGCTATACCGGAAGGAAGGTCTGAATTGATAAACAGGATAATATTATATCTTACTATACCGGAAGGAAGGTCTGAATTGATAAACAGGATAATATTATATCTTACTATACCGGAAGGAAGGTCTGAATTGATAAACAGGATAATATTATATCTTACTATACCGGAAGGAAGGTCTGAATTGATAAACAGGATAATATTACATCTTACTATACCGGAAGGAAGGTTATTGATTTATTATATCTTATATACCGGAAGGAGTAGATAAACAGGATAATATTATATCTTACTATACCGGAAGGAAGGTCTGAATTGATAAACAGGATAATATTATATCGGAAGGAAGGTCTGAATTGATAAACAGGATAATATATCTTGCTATGATTGATAAACAGGATAATATTATATTACTACTTTTAAGCGTGTGTAACATTATTCCAAACTTATAGAAACCCAACAGATCAGCGATGTTATAGTGGCGTACTGCTGTCGTCCATTACCTTAAGATCAGTAACGCGACTTTTGAGATTTTTTCAGTTCAGTAACACGACTTTTGAGATTAGTACAACTCAGTAACACGACTTTTGATATTAGTACAACTCAGTAACACGACTTTTGAGATTATTACAGCACAGTAACCGGCGACTTTTGAGATTATTACAGCACAGTAACCGGCGACTTTTGAGATCATTACAGCTCAGTGACACGACTTTTGAGATCAGTACAGCGCAGTAACCGGCGACTTTTGATATTATTACAGCTCAGTAACACGACTTTTGAGATTATTACAGCACAGTAACCGGCGACTTTTGATATTATTACAGCGCAGTAACCGGCGACTTTTGATATTATTACAGCTCAGTAACCGGCGACTTTTGAGATTATTACAGCTCAGTAACACGACTTTTGAGATCATTACAGCTCAGTAACACGACTTTTGATATTATTACAGCTCAGTAACCGGCGACTTTTGAGATCATTACAGCTCAGTAACACGACTTTTGAGATCATTACAGCTCAGTATCGCGACTTTTGATATTATTACAGCTCAGTAACGCGACTTTTCAATTTATTTCAAGTCGTAATATTTCGAAATACTAACCGTTGGCTTACGATAACATATTTATACCTGTAGTTATTAAACGGTGTTAGTTTTATAAAATAACACGGCCTATCGTAACTGCAACCTAGGTAATACGACCTAAAATGACTGGATGAAAGGAATATGCCCCCATACGCACCCAAAACCACTTACCACCTCCTCATCAGAACAAGTCTTCTGGAATACGAAAATTTGGAATACTCGTCTCGGGACTATGATCACGTATATCTGACAAAATCTTTTCACATATTTAATATTTAGAAGTAAGAATATCTAATACCGTGTATGTTCTTGTATATACATATGTATACATCCTTACCTGATGCCCGGGAATTGCTACAAACGCTCCCGTAGTGTCGCTCTATCTTGACCACCCTGTACGAGCCATTGAGGATTTCCCTGTTAACCCTTTCAATGGCGATATCTATAGCCGGTCCTACCCTCTCCACGTCGTAAGGGGTATTGGCATCAAAAATCATGGCCACTCCGACATAAAACTCCGTAACAGAACCAATTACAGAGCTTTGGTAGAACACCATAACAAACACACTGTAAAAGTCCAACATCTTCACCGTCGTTTTCAAGGATGATTCTCGTAACGTTATATGGTCTGTGCTCTTGTAACACATGCAAGTTTCTCCGTGATACGTGATGTTTGATATTATTTCAAGCCAATTGTAGCCTATCAAATGTAACACCACAGATCTATCATTACTGCAGCACTCTCATGACTCGTATCAAATAACTTATCCGTTACGTGTTTCAATTAACACCTGGTCACAGGTATCGCTATTAAAACATGAAGCCAGTCGCTATGTCTGGATGTGAACGCCTCAAAATCAATTCCTTCTTGATTGGTCCAAGATACAATATACAATAGGTACTTGACAGCTGTCGGAACGCATATTATTACTGGTGATACACGCAAAACGGTTTTGTTGGTCATGTCTGTGGTACGCGTGCACTAGAGCACTTTCTTAGACCAAAAGGGTTATTGAAAAATCACAGGTAAGGTTAACACACTGAAATAAAATACAGAGGTTTCCAAATGATATTTATATTTTTGATATAGAGCATTAATTCTGCATTTTATTGTGATATTTTATAGTTCACATCAGTAAGAATTTACAATATGCTTCGATATTTAAGTAATCACACGTAACACTTCTGTTCGTTGTAGCATTGTTAAGAATTTCTCAAAGGCCTCTCCGCTCTCTTTCACAAAAAGGTGGGGTAGCCTACTATTTATACAAAATTAAGTGTCGCAAAAATTAGTCATTTCCACAAGGATACTATTGACCAATTTTAATCGAAATCAACCGAGTTGTTCTTGGCTAGAATCGCAATTTTCAGAAAAAAACGAACGAACAATAAGCATTGGTATAACGCTAACCGGACTAGGTAATGAAAAGAAAATAATAAAATTGTAAAAATAAAACCCACACACACATTCGATCAAATAATTGATTAAAACAATCAGAACTCGCGAAGAGTGTAAAGGAAATGTCGACATGTTAACGTCTTAATGTTTCCTGTCTTTATCACCAGAAACAACGGCTATTTCTAGATTCCCGTGTTCAACGCCGTGTTTTCGTGTCTTTCTACAAAACGCATGATGGCTTCAATGGTATTGCCATCGAATCCTATCACGTTCAGCAAAAATGGATTATTGGAATTTATCACCGTGTCATCGTCTTTGTCAAAATTGACAACTACCAATCGAGTTGAGACTTTACGGGGAAATAACGAGGACAATCTTTTCTTGAATATATCAGGTGGTGAGTGCATCAACACTACCACGGCATCCTTTAAACGCAAGGCATTCTCTACATCCTTTACAAAGGTGGCATTTGTCCCATTTAATTGGGCATGTTCGTACAAATATTTAAGGGCGTTTGTCTTTGGGATATCTAACTTCGTCTTCTCCTTGCCGGCAGGATATGTGACAATCTCCGATTCCGGATGTGTTACTCTCGCGATTGTTATTGCTGTTGTGGCTATGGCTTCTTTTACAGTACCTGATTTTGTACCATGTAAATCGGTATCCAATTTACCGTCGACGGCCATTATCACAGAATATTTTTTGTCTGTATGTTTTACATGGCGAACGCAAATCTCGAAAGATCGTGCTAAAGTTGTCCTGACATTCTCATTCTTGGTTTCTTTCCTTGCAATCAATATTTCGAATGGTTTCACGTGTGCTTTTTGAAGCTCATTCTCATCTTCCAATCTTTCCAGAACTGTTTTCTGGTCAGGGGTATCATCTACCTTGGAAATATTCTGAATTACTAGATTAAGAGGAATATGCTGCAGCAACACGTTCCAAACGAGAGGGGATCTCAGCAGAGCAACAGACAAATGTGCTGGTTCTAGTCTATGTTCCCTTATGATGTCAAGCTTCCCCTCTACTTCCATACTTCCGGTATGTTGCCGTGTCTGTTCAACTGCCTCGAAGTATCTTAAGATGCCTTGCCACTGTTTAGCTTGATCAGGATCAACTGGCGACGGCAATTTCTTTGCCTCGACAAGACCTTTGGTGATATATCTTATGATCAACTGGACGAAGGCGGACACTGGTTTTACATGAGACAATCTGACAATGTCTTTGTGAGTCCACTGACCGCTACTCCGTTCCTTCGTAACTCCCTCTGCTAATTCCAGAGGCCTGTCCTTGAAGCTGTTGTACCAGTCAGAAATAGCCCGACGTTGTGCCCTACCCCATCCTGTTCCCCCGCTCACCATTTCACAAAACATGACAAATGTCAGTAAGTCTGAGGGTTCCGGGCATATTTCCTGGAGCGCAGCATAAGCAGCTTCCTTTGTGATGGAGTCGGTGGACCGAGTACACAAAGCCAATGCGTACATCACAGGTAGTCGGTGACAACCCCTTCCCGCCTTATTTGTCAAACATATGGTCTTGACAACATCCGGGCCATCACCAAGGTCAATCAAACTGAAATCAATAAATAGTTTTATTCACTCATATAGGTATATATATCCTGTTTCCGGTACACCTATCTACCTTAACATTTTGTACCTATCTTAAACGTTTGAATGCAATTTTCAAAGAGGAGCTGTTTAAGTTAAGATCTCTCACCTTTATGAAATAATAAATTATTAAATTATAATTAAATTATTTCATTTCAAATTATTTTGTGAACAATATATTTGCCTTCCTACCTACCTTCCCTAAAATGTTCCAACATGTTACATGAAACGTGGCCTAATGCGTGTGATGACTAAAGGGAGACAATCTCTATATGGCTAAAATATCAGACCTGAGCTCATGCCTTTTGTTGAAACCGCACCACGTGTATATGTAGGTATTATGGTCATATACAATTCTGTCCCAACCCCATTGTTCAACCTCTTTGTAAAATAAACCGTTTTGAGATATGCATCAAAGTTTAGCCATTTAAATCATTTCACCGCTCGCTATTTTACTACCAGCCGTCTGATATCCTACTAGTTCTGGCTTGTGTTTACACAAGTTCTTCCAAACACGTACCTTAATAAGTCATCAAACTTTAACGTGTAGGAATATATTATATATATATATTCTGTCACAACATGGTACAACCACGGACTACGATACTGGATCCGAGTATATATATATACAGTATAATTAATACCACTGATATACTGTTTAGTGTTTATTTACACTCTCTCCCAGACCTTCAGTTATTACATATATTGATTGGAGGAAATGTAAACTATCAAATTAGTGCAGAAGAGCTGATTGAATTCAGGATAAAATCCTGTATTTGTGTGTTCAAGATGTGTAAACTATATTATAATTAATATATATAATGATAAAGATAACAAATAGTCCATGTACATTTTGTAGGAGTCATGTGACTTAACAATTCATTATAGTTTACCTGATTTGTGTCAGAAAATTGTATTTTGAAACTCTTGGGTATACCTTAAAATACCCCCTTTCGCTTAATTTGCACTTGATATGCCTACTCCTAAAGCATAAAGTGTGTATCTATGTTATTCATATTCTGTAATCATTTATATATGTATCGTACGCTTTGTATATATGTTCAACATTCTTCTGTAATCTTCATCTCTGGAGGCAATAAAGAGAATAATAACGATACTGGATCCGAGTATATATATATATATATATATTTATTTATTTATTTATATATCAAACATTATATATATATCAAACTCACTATATGTATATATATATCAAACTAACTATGTTATATATACATATATATACTGTCACCATATGGTACAACCTACGATACTGGATCCGAGTACATAACCTTACGGCTAACAACACAAAAAGTAGTATCTGTTGTCGTTACAGTACAGTAAACAATGATAACGTGCTAATGCCTTAATCCTATACATATAATCCATAGAAGTGTAACAATACCTTTCAATACTATTTACTTCCTTCCTTCGAATATCTTTATTTCCTGGTTTGTAAGCACCACTTTCTGTTCCTAGGACGAGAAAGCTCTGAAGTCGCCATTTTTCGGTTAACACCTTTGAATTTAAAAAGCCTTCCTGTATAGATAACTTCATTGATACATCTCTGCTACTTTCCATAGTTACTGGTGAAAAAGGTCAACATTGATGTCAACAAGGGACTCTGAATGTACTCTCTACTTCCGTACTAGTAGCTTGTACTTCTTCAATCTTCGATTGTGAAACCGAAAGTAAATAGTTGTGTTCCAAGTACGCTGAAATTAGCTTTGCTGTACGTCACGCAGTCGGTGTGCGATAAATTTATGACCCTTGTTTAAAATGCCCGCTTATCATCGCCAGATATTTGCACTTCCTACTCAACCTGTCATCATCACATTCTTTTATTTGGACAAAACAAGGCAATATCGGGGTAATGTTTACTGAGATAAATGTACTAGAATGTGAAACAGTAATAACAATAATAACTTATCGTTGTTTTAAATGAAATATCCTTGTTTGTAATATGTTAAAACGAGTTAGAAAGATCCCGGATCTGACCTAACGATATATGGTACCAAACTGCTTACCTAAGATATTTCTAGAAACCTTTCCAATAAACAGTTACCCACTAAGTACCACATCTTTTCGTTAGAGACGTGCATCCATTATAAAATCATTTCTGTTATAATTTCCATCCCGATAATTGAGTCACGACTTGAACTCTGTATTTGGATATGATATACCAATAACAAAGCAAACAAAACAAAAACCAAATGGGTTACATTCATTATACAATCATATATTAAGTGATAAATGCGGTTTTAACAATTTAAAGAAAAATCTGCTTAGTTTCCTACAAATAATTAAAACTTAAAACGGAAACACATACACTTTTCTAGTTGTTTTCTGTACCGGGTCATATGTATGGCGCTAAATTCAAAATTGATTTGGACGAAACAGAAAAAAGGAACTTAGAAGATAGATATTTGTGTTTAAGCATTCTTATTCACTCTAGGTACATGTACGTAATTTGATGAGTTACGTTATCATCATACACTAAGACACACGTACAGATGTGTTACGTTATCATCATAAACGTAGACACATGTACAGATGTGTTACGTTATCATCATAAACGTAGACACATGTACAGATGTGTTACGTTATCATCATCAACGTAGACACATGTACAGATGTGTTACGTTATCATCATACACTCAGGCATATGTACAGGTGTGTTACGATATCATCATACACTCAGACACATGTACAGGCGTGTTACGTTATCATCACAAACGTAGACACATGTACAGATGTGTTACGTTATCACCATACACTCAGACACATGTACAGATGTGTTACGTTATCATCATACACTCAGACACATGTACAGGTGTGTTACGTTATCACCATACACTCAGACACATGTACAAATGTGTTACGTTATCACCATACATTCAGACACATGTACAAATGTGTTACTCAGACACATGTACAGATGTGTTACGTTATCATCATACACTCAGACACATGTACAGGCGTGTTACGTTATCATCACAAACGTAGACACATGTACAGATGTGTTACGTTATCATCATACACTCAGACACATGTACAGATGTGTTACGTTATCACCATACACTCTGACACATGAACAGATGTGTTACGTTATCATCATACACTCAGACACATGTACAGGGACACATGTACAAATGTGTTACGTTATCATCATACACTCAGACACATGTACAGGTGTGTTACGTTATCACCATACACTCAGACACATGTACAGATGTGTTACGTTATCATCATACACTCAGACACATGTACAGGTGTGTTATCATCATACAATCAGACACATGTACAGATGTGTTACGTTGTCATCCTACACCCCGACACATGTACAGGTGTGTTACGTTATCATACTACACTCAGACACATGTACAGATGTGTTACGTTATCATCATACACATCAGTGTTACACATACAGATGTGTTACATCATCATACACTCAGACACATGTACAGGTGTGTTATACCATACACTCAGTGTATGTGTTATCATCATACACTCAGACACATGTACAGATGTGTTACACATGTGTGTTACGTTATCATCATACACATCAGACACATGTACACATGTGTGTTACGTTACGTTATCATCATACACTCAGACACATGTACAGGTGTGTTACGTTATCATCATACACTCAGACACATGTACAGATGTGTTACGTTATCACCATACACTCATACACATGTACAGATGTGTTACGTTATCATCATACACTCAGACACATGTACAGATGTGTTACGTTATCATCATACACTCAGACACATGTACAGATGTGTTACGTTATCATCATACACTCAGACACATGTACAGATGTGTTACGTTATCATCATACATACACATCAGACACATGTGTACAGATGTGTTATCATCATACACTCATACACTCAGACACATGTACAGATGTGTTATCATCATACACTCAGACACATGTACAGATGTGTTATCATTATACACTCAGACACATGTACAGATGTGTTACGTTATCACCATACACTCATACACATGTACAGATGTGTTACGTTATCATCATACACTCAGACACATGTACAGATGTGTTACGTTATCATCATACACTCAGACACATGTACAGATGTGTTATCATTATACACTCAGACACATGTACAGATGTGTTACGTTATCATCATACACTCAGACACATGTACAGATGTGTTACGTTGTCATCCTACACCCCGACACATGTACAGGTGTGTTACGTTATCATACTACACTCAGACACATGTACAGATGTGTTACGTTATCACAATACACTCAGACACATGTACAGATATCAGACACATATCAGGTGTGTTATCACTCACACAGATGTGTTACGTTATGTGTGTACAGTGCGTTATCATACTACACTCAGACACATGTACAGATGTGTTACGTTATCACAATACACTCAGACACATGTACAGATGTGTTACGTTATCATCATACACTCAGACACATGTACAGATGTGTTACGTTATCATCATACACTCAGACACATGTACAGGTGTGTTACGTTATCATCATACACTCAGACACATGTACAGATGTGTTACGTTATCATCATACACTCAGACACATGTACAGATGTGTTACGTTATCATCATACACTCAGACACATGTACAGATGTGTTACGTTATCACCATACACTCAGACACATGTACAAATGTGTTACGTTATCACCATACACTCAGACACATGTACAGATGTGTTACGTTATCATCATACACTCAGACACATGTACAGATGTGTTACGTTATCATCATACACTCAGACACATGTACAGATGTGTTACGTTATCATCATACATTCAGACACATGTACAGGTGTGTTACGTTATCATCATACACTCAGACACATGTACAGGTGTGTTATCATCATACACTCATACACATGTACAGATGTGTTACGTTATCATCATACACTCAGACACATGTACAGATGTGTTACGTTATCACCATACAATCAGACACATGTACAGATGTGTTACGTTATCATCATACACTCAGACACATGTACAGATGTGTTACGTTATCATCATACAATCAGACACATGTACAGATGTGTTACGTTATCATCATACACTCAGACACATGTACAGGTGTGTTACGTTATCATCATACATTCAGACACATGTACAGATGTGTTACTTTGGTTACATTAGTTCATCGTGGGCGGCATTCAATCAATGCTTTATATAATTCACAAACATGGCGATAATTATAAATCATATATTGATAGAAAGATTAAATATTTCTATAAGTGTATGTATGGGTCGAAGAAAGATAACTTTGCAAACGTCGTACTTCCAATCATTTTCCCTACCTTTACAATCCAATGACGGAAACGTTCGTGATACAAGTTATTTAAGATCTGTAGTGTGGTTTCATTTCCATATGGAAGCTTGAAAAGATATGTTGTGGGTCGATAAATTTCTCATCCAATCAATGGATCGCCAGTTTACATTGCTTGCATTGCTACATTTCAGCGACACTTCCGCTCAATGCGGAATCAAATGTCAGTTAATTGATTTTGTTGGGGATATTAACCACTTTGAATTTCACGCACAGTTCCATAAAACGCTCGCTTTTAGTGACATTATCATCTACAGTCATTTCCTCAACACGTTGTCATCATCATTGTCAAAAACATTTCATTGATCGACACAATTCGAAGCTATGACGTCATAGAACTCGGTAACTGCATTTCTGAGATTAAAAATCCCGGAAATAAATAAATAACACTACGTTCGTTAAAACAAGTTCATTAAACTTGATCTTACGAAAGTTTCCTCATTATACCACAAACCAATAATCTTTATCTTCAACCATTGAAATGTCACGCAGCTTCAACCTCATTGTTTCCGGCTGTGGACGCAACAACTTCTGTGAAACCAATAAAAAAATATACTACTGATTCGGAATGCATTGTTTATCAGTAATTAGGTGATAAAAAGGCTTGCACACAAAGCTGTTTAGCTCAGTTAAAATGTAATTAAGACACACAAAAAGATCGATACAACGAACAAACAAAAAAAACGCCATCATATCGCTGAAATATGTCGGAAAATCATTACGTCGGACAATTGAAAACAACAGTGGGTACAAGAAGTAGGCTGGGAAAGGTTTCCTTACTCCGGAAGCATTCTACATTTCTATAGAATTATGTAATCAACTGCGAAGTCAATATTCAAGAAGCAGCGTTACTGACGCAGGGGTCAACACCATGATATTGTACTACCTTGTGTCATATCTCTCTACAAAGCATAGGCATTGTCCCCATGTCAACATCATCGCACCTTTTCCTTGTTGACTTGTGCACGGTGACCAACAACAAAGAATAAAAGCAGGGTGTGAACTTTAAGGGTGAGACCTGATGACAAAGTATATCATGACAGTATGTGTGACCTCGTTTACATTTTGGATGTAGTTGTTTCTATCTGTACAATTACAACTTCTTGGTACCGATGTGTTATTTTTTCATTTAAGTATTATATTAAATATTGATGCCACATCAACAAAATCAATTCTATATCTCACCAATTGGACGTCCATTTTCCTTTATTATAAAATACATGGAGAATCTTGAAAAAGTAGGAGAAAAAGACCAGGTGTTCCGGAAGAATAAGCGCCCTGAGCTTCATTGACGACACCCGCCAAATAAATCTTTGTCAAACTATTTTCCATCTTCGAGTCAAATTGCACTTCAACAATTAGAACAGGTTATACAACCACGGAACAAACAGGCAAATTAACCAGCATCAAACACGTCCAGCTTCATACCGCAAAAAGAAATACAATATTTCTCAACGAGATAACTATTACGACCGTAAAACTTAACCATATTTGCTATAATCAAGCATCTCATTAAACCCTTTGTTCTTACTTGTCTGTCAGTTGTCGACATCTTGTACGAAAATCGTGATATTTGGGAAAGGCCCTTGAATATCAAAATCAACTGTAACATGCAAAAGCCATAGTTTGGGAATGCAGGAATGTTGCTATCCAGAAATGGAAAATTAAAAATGGGGATATTGCAATCATGACGTTCATCATACGGCTTGGTGGATAGCTGTACATGTTAGTCTCAGTGAAAGAAAAGATCGAGCGGCTGATGTAGAAGAGCATGTCTGACCAATTTTCCAATCCTTGCGGGCATGTCAATAAATCTAATATTGTTTAAAGAGTTATTGATTTATCAGAAAGTAAAGAACACTGTAGCTTGTTATATAACTTACAGGCGACGTAATGTAATGTTATGTGAGACACCTGTTGTAATCTTTGTTAAAATATGATTACTAGAGACACCTTAAATAAGTTTGGTGATGAACTTGTTCGGCTGCCGATAACGCAAGTGGAGTACTGGTACTTTATGTGACAATGTGGCCGGAGGAAGCATCCCTTAACACATCTAGAATCGAACAATCCACAACACACAGGACAATAGAATTTCAAAATCCATCCTCTTCTTTGTTTTCCATGTTTTCGTAAACATTTGTAGTTATATTTTGGTTGCAGTTGCTTGTATTTGTATGATTGTACTGTATTCTGATTCTATGTAAACTGATGACCGACGTCAAGATAGAAGTTGTTTTACAAATAAAATAAAATCAAAAGTCATCTTTTTGAAAGACCATTCTTATTTATTCTTTTATTGGTGTTATTTTGAGCAGCAAAAAGACTTTAAATGTTATATAACTGTTTATTGATATTATTATTTTTTGGATGCGAGTCGCATAAATACTTTTACTATTATATATTCTGTTTATTGTATTTTTAGTAGTTATTATTTCTCTTACCAGGTGTTTTGATTGGTAAACTTTAACAGATGACATGTGTTCTATGTTTTCACAAATAAAAATGAGAGATTAAATTACACATATGAGTTTGATACTTTTGCATATTTCACCTGTGAAAATGTAATGAAAATTTTCTTAATATCGATAATTTTTGTATTCATTTATTTACTATCTGCCTACGTTTACGTGTCTCTTAAATTATGAAAAACAAAAGATTCACCTGTAAGTAGGTTTTATGTATCTCCATTCGAGACCCTCATTGCAAAAAAGATGTAAGTGTTTCTGTTCCAATCACGTCTATGATTTTATCATTAGCCAGTTTAAACGTACCACACATCACAAGAAGGCATCAATAAGCAATATCAAACATTAGCTTGGTTGACTAACACTGGCAGTCACCTTCAAACAGATAGGTATAGATTGGGGTAGCTTAGTCTGCCATCATTTCATTTGATCCCTTTGAGGGAAAACATCAGAGAGGGTTTTTTACACTAAAGGAATGCACTGTCGAAATGGAGGAACCCTTTGCCGTTCTGCTGCATTTGATTTTTATAACTGAAACCGTGACTGCTTCCACAGGTAAGTATTATAAACTGGCGAATTTTAACACATGTTTGATATTGAAACACACTTAGTGACGTATTCAAACAGAACTGAAATTTATAAAAAGATGTTTGTTATATTTCATAATGGCAAAAGACTGAAATAGCATTGGTTTTATGTTGCAGGTGGCAAATGTTACAAACCATTGTTGTAGTTATTATTAGTCAATAGTACTATGAACGTTACTATTTTATATACAGATAGACATGCATCTTTATTTCAGCTTGACCACTATACAGCAGTTCTACAGATGTTTATTTAATATTCCCGGTAAAAATACTGAAAACATGAAAATACCAACATGGAAACATAATCATAATTCAAACTCAAATTCCATAAAACTAGAACATATAAGAAAAAAGAAAAATTTCCACGGAGACTACTGAAAAAGTGCTAGGAGAATAGGACCATGTATTTCGGAAGAGTAAGCGTCGTCTGCTTCATCGACGACACCTGTCATGTAAACATTGTTCAATCCAAGTAAGTAATGTCACGTGAGAACAAGGTTATACAACAACGGAACAAACAGACAAACTAACACGAACATCAAATACGTCCAACTTCCTGTATCACAAAGAAATAGAATATTTTTCATTTCTCATATTATCACTATGGAGTCCATAAAACTTCCCCATAATTTGTATCAACCCGCATCTTTTGAACCCCTGTGTTGCGAGTTTGTCAGTCAGTTGACGACTTCTTGCACGAAAATCGTGATAATGGGAACAGATCCTTGAATATCGAATCAGCTGTAACATGTTAATACTATATGTTGGAAGACGAAAACTATAAATAAGTTTATTAAAGTATATTCAAACGCAAAAGTGTAAAATATTATTTTGAAATTCATTTTATAGTGAATAATGTCTAACTTAAGGTAAAATATGATTTGTACGCAGACCAGACTGAACCGCGTTACCAAATATCAGAAACCTTACCGATGTCAACCTTGCACGAGCAAGCTACGATAGCATGTTCGTTCATTTTTAACGTAATTGCAGCTTTTATGAAATTATTTTAACTTTATTTGTGCTTAAAATGTAATTAGCAATATGGAAAATAATACAGAGTTGGTAGCAACCTAAAAATGTATTGTTTATAAAATGTTTTTATATCATTTCTCGTCTCCGCAATATTCACGCAAGCACGTGCGAATTCTTGGGAAAGCTGCTATTTTTGCACTGCATCATTCCAATGTAAGTCACGATTCGGATTAAAAAAGCTAGCAGTTATCTAATTACAACGTATTTAAAAATCAATTCGAAAATTTGACATGAAAGTCATTTTTAACTTTCATTATAGTATGAAGGTTACATCCGTATTGCCATGGACGGCTACGCGACATAATAGACGTAAACATGGCCGGCAGTTTTAGTATTGTATGCGTCATTCTTGTGATTTTGACCATCTGAAGACGAAATTGTATGTCACAGCTATTAAATCTTTATTGTAATGTTTATTGCTTGTTTTGTGGAAAAACTAGAAGACGCTTTCTCTTCCGGAACACATTGTTCTTGAACTTTTAATAGGTATTCATGTAAATTTTCATTTTCTTGTGACGAATTGAAACAAGGGGATATGGAAATGTTCCCCACTTAACGTGTGTAACATGGTACTTATCACCTAGCCTTGTCAGTACTTGATCAGGTTCATCCATTGAGGAATTATGTTTAAACTTCAAACACTTCTAATTTCAGAGTTGATGAAGAATGGACGTTGCACATTCTTGGATACAATTATGTTTATCTATTATTCGATCGTTTTTTCTACAGCACACTGTAATCACATTCGTTTTTACTAATACATTAATCACCCTAATCGTGGTAGAAATTATCTTGATTGCTTGTAAAATGTAAACTAGAACGTAAAAGATTGGCACATTTATTAAATAGAAGTTCAATGTACATTTTGATATCGTATTCATGTCCTAAAAAGAATACAAATTTCACTTTACCATGTTTCAGTTTTAACAAGAGTTGAAAACCTGTTACTTGTCTATGAGAACAGTAGCACTGATGTTGTAGAGTATTGGAACCTAAACAAAACCGATAATAATCCGGAAAATGATAAACAAACAATGCCAATCTACCAACTGATCAGAGGTGGAAACTTCAGAAGTGACAAAGTGGACCACTGGAATACCAATCCCCCAAACGAGGTAATTCGAAGGGAATGTTAATTGATAGTTCACTAGATTCTATACAAAAGGAGAACTTTGTGTACACAAAATGAAAATAAAAACTGTCACATGTTTCTTTGTGTTATGAAAAAACAATTTTGATACAAATGAACAACAAAAATGCTTTATGATAATTTGTTAAATCTATAGCTGTGAGTGATATGTCTCAAATTATTTATTTATTTTGTTATTCTTTATTTTGTCACGTTTGCCAGGTCGCCGTTATGTTCTTCAACAACATTGGAGATCTTCATTTCTGGATGGTGTTCAACACTCGCAATGCTTCCAGAGGTCTGCAACAGTGGATGAATGTAGATCGGTTACTCGGCTCACTCATAATGAACATGTACCAGATGACCCCAGTTTGGCAGTGAGTAATTATTAGTATCACTAGGATACTAGAAGGAACATTGTCTTTTCTCTAAACCTTGGCCCGTATTCTAGAAACCATTCTCATGCTGATAAGGCTGATTTTGCCAAAGATTTAAAAAAAAAAAAAAAAAAAACTTTGAAAGGACTTCAAGCCAAAGTTCTGTTCAATGTTTGTATTTGACATCTGTATTATTTTACATGATTTAGGCGAATTGTAAAAATGTTTGCTTGAGCACAAAATCTATACTTGAGCATGAGAATGGTTTCATGAATACAAGCCATGGTGTCTAGCCATATGTATACCATAATCAAGACAGTTCTAATGAATATGGTAAAGTGAACTGACTAGAGTGAAAAGCTGTGGTCATGACAGCAGCAACTGACTATGAATACATTATGATATGCATTGTTGATTTTCAAATACAAAACTAGAACAATGCGCTCACGATATCCCTTTAGTTTTGTAGAATATCTCATATTTCATAACTTGTATGCACGCCTTTCAAAACGTATTCATCAGACAGATAAATTCATTTGGATAAATACTAATTGTGAATAAAAAAACCGACTTCATTATGTAATGATCTGAACGAATCAAATCATGTTGGTAAAATTTCAAAAAGACTTCTTCATTTGTAATAATCAATACGTTTTGTCGTTGTTTATTTTTCAGATAAGATGTTAAAATACAACATTGTAGATTTCCTTGTGTATTCAATCATAACCATCATCATGTAAATAACCAAATGTGCAGCGGTATTTAATGTTGTTGCTGAAGTTACCAGATTCCATCCTTTGGTAATCTAAAACGTGTAGATTTATTTTGTAATGTAGATAATATTTTGCTATGAAACGCTGCGATGTTAGAAAGAAGATTAATATTATTTACCTGCCTACGGTTTAATTTCAGCCAACCTGGATATCAATTCATCTACTCTTCAGCATCAGAATCCAACAAGGCTTGGTTTGCTGTGACAGAGAGGAACGTTTACACGGGTTACAAGGAATATCCATATTTCCTTGTCCCTCTCCAGGACTCTGTTCCCTTCACCGTTCTCGACGGTCAGTGATATTTAAGTAGTATTTCAATGTTAAAAGATTAACATAGTCCAGGTGCATCTAAAGGGTTTTGGTAATCTTCAGAGTTCAAATTAGTTGGTCGAGTAGTTTGAACATATAGTCATGTTAATTGGTATGGATGTGGATACACTGCCATATAATTTTGTTTGAAAGGGTTGGATATTTACACGTATTGCTTTAGTGTTTAAACATTGAATGTTCGCCAGATTGTATTTATTGTTAATCAAATATAAGTGACTGTAAAATATAGTCCTTAACTAACAGATTCTGTCACCCAGATTGCATTCATATTCACAATAAATACAATATATAATGTATCAACGTGTCTATGTAATTCAATTATATATTATAGTTTCCCCAGTATGTTTTTTACTGAAAGAGTTTCATGAAAGTCATAATCATCTGAATGTTTACAGTAAAGCTGTGATATGTGTTTTAGAAGACGACGTGCAAAGCGTTGATATAACTGGTGGTCAAGACGGCGCCAAAAAAATCGGATTCCAGAATCAAGTCATTTAACGTGGCTTAGTTTTTATACATCGACGTTAATTTTACAGAGTCTGACGTGGTACCCAACCATGACTTGGCCCGACTAGGACAATTTGGACCATTTCTGTCACAAGAAGTCATACAGGTGATAAAATCTCTATTATGTCTGGCCAAATCAGCACAAAATAATGTTAAAATAAATGAAATTCACTTAATTCTTAAGAAGGGAACCTTAACATGGTGCTAGGTTTAGTGATAAAATAATGCATACATCAGGACTGAGTATTTATACCATTGACATCGTCTCAGCAATGATGTCTCCTGATTGAAGGACAGGAAAACCGATGCTGCTCGCCCTATTGAGATCAAACAAAATACAGTCTGACTCAATCAAATATGTGACATGCTATTTATTCTGTTTCGATGTTACGACAACTGTGTAGATGTCATTTTATGTTGGCTCCAATGCATGAATATTAAAAACAACTGTATGTAAAACAGCACTTCCTTGTGTATCATAATGTGTAGTGAATTACACACACTCGTACCTTTCTAATTATCAGTATGATATTATCTAGTTCTCAGACAAGCATGATACAGTATGTGCAGAATATTTGTTTCTTCAATTTTTATTATCCAATAACATCACAATAATATGAAAAATATTTCTGTCTTCTTGATCGGCAGATCGATTTGGGTGGTCTTATGCTGGGAAGCATGGTGTATGTGCTTGCTATTGAGGCAAGCACTAAGAACCAAGGAGGAGAACAAGATTCATACAAGCTGTTGTACAGCACAGACATCTGCAATACCGAAGATAGAGTGACCTATCGGCGACAAGACGGTATGATTGTGGTACGTATAGTGACATCGATATTCTATTGCTTATAACGACAGCACGAGATTAATGTTAATTAATGACACTCCCAAACATCATAGTTCAAGGACATCCAACATCAACAGGACGAAGGGCGTCTAGAACGTGCATCGGAGAAAGGACACCTTCTGGCAACAAACAACGCGAAAATATATAGTGCTTCGATACGTATAGTAACAACATCGCAAGACAGACATGTTTGTGGTTCGCATAGCGACAAAAGGAGCGCGAAAAGAGGAACGGCTTCTGGTTTGTTGCGATACCGACAGAACAGAATGAATGGATAACGACATGTACCGCGGCAGAGCATAATGGCGGTATAGCGACATGTACCGCGACAGAGCAGAATGGCGGTATAGCGACATGTACCGCGACAGAGCAGAATGGCGGTATAGCGACATGTACCACAACAGGACAGCATTATTCCTTCTAGTAGATAGGATGAAATGTTTTTGGTACATGACGCGACACATTTCCCGCCACTGGGTAAAATTGTTTTGGTACGTGACGCGACACATGTCCCGCAACTGGGTAAAATTGTTTTGGTACGTGACGCGACACATTTCCCGCAACTGGGTAAAATTGTTTTGGTACGTGACGCGACACATGTCCCGCAACTGGGTAAAATTGTTTTGGTATGTGACGCGACACATGTCCCGCAAGTGGGTAAAATTGTTTTGTTACGTGACGCGACACATGTCCCGCAACTGGGTAAAATTGTTTTGGTACGTGACGCGACACATGTTCCGCAACTGGGTAATTCATTTTTGGTAGATATAGCAACGTTTTGACACACATACCAGTAAAAGCATGAAACGCTTCTGGTAAGGTATAGATTTTTCCCTGGAACATTTTAAAAGGAAAAACAAAATTTCCCAGAACTGGTTGGGAGATCGTCAGGGTTGAGCCCTAGGAGTCAAACTCCTTCCCTAATATCATTGCCCTCGCGCAAGAGGCTTTCAAACGCCACACCGTGCATATACACATATCTTACATGTTCCAGTCCTCCAGTTGCATACATTTACGTATTTTTCGTTGTTCATTCATTCATTTATTGCCAAAACCACACTTACAGGTGCTAACACACATTCACGTCCATAAGGCTTCCTTAATTTTGTGTGAAGATCAGATTTTTAACCAATGGAAAGTTAACATATGGTAAGAATATATTTCGTAATATTTTCATAGAAAAATATCACCAATTAAAATATGTTTCTCTTCATAGCAACTGCAGACAGACATCCATGAGCAAATCGAGCTGTTACGTGTCCGCTGTTTATGGTTGTCGTTCAGCAAGGCAATGACCTCAGTCACCGTGGAACTGTTTGGCCCAGGTACAGTATAATCAGACTAGTTCCGATGACAAATGGCTTGTGTGATTATAACCTGTCCCTCCCTGCTGTTGTCACCAACATTTGTCTAAGTATGAAAATTATCTGTCCGGTCCAATTATTGTGCCCGACTGTCACCAATGAGTAAGATGAATCCAAGTTTAAAACCAGACAAAATTCCAAGTACATTATAATGTATGATACAAATATTCCTGACTTCAGGAAAGCGTTTAAGAGCTTTAGTCAGTCACGTTTAAACATGTATAGTCCGTCTTCATCCTTTGTTATAGTTAATACCTAAATGTTTACCGTGGAACCGGTCGTGGTCCATTTGTAATATACAGATATATAACTAATTCAACACTCTGTCGATCCCAGGTACTAAAGTTATATACACTTTTCTAAACAAAATCAATGTCTCTAGTTGCAGAACAGCAAGACTTCATTCCTCTCCCTATCATGGTACTTCGTGGATTTTGGTATAGTGGTAAGTGTGATATTTGTACATAACGGCTGACATCATGTTTTTTTTTCAGTTGAAGTCGTGACCATGTTATGCGATATACAAAGTCATTATTATTTTGGGAATGCATTTAAGATGGAAATGTTTTCTAATCTTTATAACCATTAAGTTAATGACATGTTCACAGAACAGGCTCTCCGTCATCCTTATTACCTTGCAATTATATATAAATTTGAAAGTAGCGTTATGATGAATTTCTATATGATTTATAAAAACTTTTTTTTATGAAAAAAACAAAGAAACGTCATTGTCACATTTTAAAAGGTTAGATTCTTCAATGCATATTTATCCACGCTGTTGAGATGTTATGAACTAAATCAATAATGTTAATAATACTCAATCAAATAATGATCGATGAGGCCGTATAACCGTCATATAACACAGGTCCCTACTGATGTCAGTCTTATAACGCGTAATTAGACATTTAACACGCATGAATGAAGTTAACATCGGTTTTTTGTTGAATAAATCCTTAATGTGAAAAAAACTTCAAAGAACATGTTGTTCTTTCTTTCATAGGGCTATTACTGACACACTAAACGTTTATTGAATGCTTAATCAAGATACGACAGGATATCGGAACTGTATTAAACACTAATCTATTTCCATTTTATATAACCAAATATTTTTCAGCGAATGATATTACAGTGCACTGAAATTACCTTCGGGTTATATCGACTTTACTTCTAGACCATGGTATTTTCTATAGGTATTGATATTCATGAGCTTATTTTGACCAATTAAACTTTCGTATTGTGTCGAAACTCCTTCTTTAAATTACAGATAAAATCCAACATTAAAAACGCATTAAGAATTAAAAAAAAAAATAAATCAATAAAACATAACAATATGTCAAGAAAATCAAATGCAGTTTCTTGGAAAATATTTCCAGTTACGTGATCATGAAAATGACTTTTGATTAAAGTCAAATGTTGCCAACGTATTTACACCGGATCCAGATTCGTAATTCACGTCTTAATAAAATTTCTGTGATCAATCGGATGGAACCAAACACTTTCTCCTGTTGTTGATTAATGTCTTGATTTCTGTTCTGGCAATCGTAATAACATCTTATCGAAGAAATAACGCAGAAAGCTGCATTCCTTAGCGTGGTCAAGACGGTATACACAGAATAACGCAGAAAGCTGCATTCTTTAGCGTGGTCAAGACGGTATATACAGAATAACGCAGAAAGCTGCATTCCTTAGCGTGATCAAGACGGTATACACAGAATAACGCAGAAAGCTGCATTCTTTAGCGTGGTCAAAACGGTATACACAGAATAACGCAGAAAGCTGCATTCTTTAGCGTGGTCAAGACGGTATACACAGAATAACGTAGAAAGCAGCATTCTTTAGCGTGGTCAAGACGGTGTATGCAGAATAACGCAGAAAGCTGTATCTTTTAGCGTGGTCAAGACGGTATACACAGAATAACGCAGAAAGCTGCATTCTTTAGCGTGGTCAAGACGGTATATACAGAACAACGCAGAAAGCTGTATTCTTTAGAGTGGCTTTTTCTAGCTTCTAGCTAAGACCTTAGGACCTAAAGAAATACCATTGTAAAGGTGGCTTGAATATCGAAGGATTTAGCTTTGATTTTATCAAGGATTTCGTTTATATAAGCCGGTAAATCAAACACATGACCAGGTTATTGATAAAAGAAAGTATCATTTGAAAATTTCAATAACTTACTCCTGAACTGTACACCATTACCTTGGCGGTTGGGAAAGGTTAAATGGACAGAGGAGGAAAATACCATGAAAATTAAACATGAGTTCTGACTAATTGTCAAATATATTGAAAATACTGATGTATGAAATATAGAAGAAAGGCTTGTCTGTTTCATTTCAGCAAAACAAATGTTTGTTTCATTAAATAATGCATTTTAACCAATTATATCCGGCAATAAAAAGGGACGGAAATTTCACTTTTATCTGTAGATACTGGTCTGCCAAATCTGTTGCCAAGTTCTCTCAATTAATATAAACAAAACAATATATATCAATAATTTGAAGATGGTAGCGAGACAACGGTGAATCCCACAACTGAAGAAAGTCTGACCACAACAGAGGGAATAAGCACTACTGAACATTCGATGGACTTAGGAAATGGGACAACTGACCCTTCAGAACTCCCGTCTACAGCAAAGACGTGCACATGCTTGTGTCCAAGTATATCTGTAGATAACTCACCGGCAGCCATTGACCTCAAAATACAGGTGAGTGAAACCATCGACCTTAACATACAGGTAAGTCGAGACAATGATACAAGAAAAGTGGAGTTCGATATAGAAATACACGTGATTTTAAGTCATCTTCCATAACATGACTCTGAGAGACAAAAAAAAACTAATTTAACATATGGGTAAGTCAACCTATAGACCTTAACATACAGGTGAGACAAACAATTTACCTGGATATACAGGTGAGGTAAACCATCGACCTTAACATACAGGTGAGATAAACAATCTACCTGGACATACAGGTGAGGTAAACCATCGACCTTAACATACAGGTGAGACAAACAATCTACCTGGGCATACAGGTGAGATAAACCATCGACCTTAACATACAGGTGAAACAAACAATCTACCTGGACATACAGGTGAGAAAAACCATCGACCTGGACATACAGGTGAGGTAAACAATCTACCTGGATATACAGGTGAGGTAAACCATCGACCTTAACATACAGGTGAGACAAACAATCTACCTGGGCATACAGGTGAGGTAAACCATCGACCTTAACATACAGGTGAAACAAACAACCTACCTGGACATACAGGTGAGATAAACCATCGACCTGGACATACAGGTGAGGTAAACAATCTACCTGGACATACAGGTGAGGTAAATCATCGACCTTAACATACAGGTGAGACAAACAATCTACCTGGACATACAAGTGAGGTAAACCATCGACCTTAACATACAGGTGAGATAAACCATCGATCTGAACATACAGGTGAGTCGAACCATTTCCCTTAACATACCTTTACATACAGGAGAGATTAACAATCGATATACAGGTGAGATAAACCATCTACCTGGACATACAGGTAAGATAAACCATCGACATAGTCATACAGGTGAGATAAAATATCGACCATAACATACAGGTGACATAACTATCGACCTGGACATACAGGTGAGACAAACAGTACACCTGAACATACTGTGAGTCAAATCTTCGACCTTTATATACAGGTGAGTCGAATTATCAAAGACCTAGTCATACAATTCACGGAACAGGAGTCCGTCAAATCCTTTTACTACATAAATTCATACAATTCAACAACATCAAGTTTTTAAGACGTCATTGACAGGAGTAAAAGGGAATATTTATAGGTTTGCCTTAATGACAAGCATGTCTTCTGTCGAACACAGTTTTATTGAAAGCCATGTTGTAATTGTCTGCTTGTCGACAAACTTTTGTCATACAATCAGGGATATCGGTTGTTCAATGTTTAAATTTGTTTTTTTAATGTACTGCGATATGTTTAATGTTTTAGTAAAGAGACAATGCAAACACCATATAGGTTACTATACTACTGTTTTGTGCCCATGTAGAATTTGAAGAGGACACTAGCTATAAATAAGACTCAGCTCTCATCTCACATGAGAAAGTTCATTAGTGTAGCGGACGGTCGTGCCTCTGCTGCTGGGATAGGATACGTAGCTGGTGTGTTCCTCGTGCTGGTGTTTACTACGATTGTCGTTTTGGATTTGTCATCCCTTCTCCAGTATCTCGCCTCAGTGTGGAAACATGTTCGGGAAAATCACCAAAATTAAACAGAAACAGTTTCTTTGTAACACATGGACCCAAAAATATTGTGTGTATGTTGTGCTGCCCATCCCAATACTACGTCCGGTTTTTGATGTCAATATTAGAATAAAATATTATTCTAACAGTTGATGGACAATTGTTGTTTTTTAATTGGATTGTGTATAGAAATTAGAAATATCAGTAATCTGATGAGGTAAATATATACTCTCTTCCGCTGTCCCACGTTTTATTTTATTTTACAAGTCATGTTCCGCCTGTTTGTTCATTAAAGAAGCTATGCTATCCTAAAATTGCATTCGAGCTGACATTCAAAGATCGTTAAATGACACAATAGCATCTTTCAGTACAAACTTAGGAGATTTGATCCAGTAAAATCAGCCAAGGACTTAAACTGGATCTTACAGTTGTTTCGGAGTTTCAGGACTCGTCGTCCATGATGCTAAATACCTAAAGTGATTTCAAGAATTGTTTTATATAAGTATATTTCACATAGGTTTACTTAAGAAGTGGAATTAAGAATATGTGGATTTTAAAGAACTTTTGGCCAATCTTCAGCACTATCTTCTTAAAACATTTCTTCTTTAAGAACATTTGATTTTCCGACCCTGTTCTGAAGTCAAAGAATGTCTTCAGCATCCTCTCATGAGATACGTTTTTAACAAGAAATGTACGGTACATTTATAGTTGTGAAATTTACTGAAGCGTATTTCTTAAAAAATAAATCCAAAATCTAAGAAGCAAGATATGGAAATCATAAAACCATCTTGTTCTGGACTGCTTCAACCAAACAAACTGCTACATGTAAAGCAGAAGGGGTTAAAACAGATATTTTAAAATCTTTTAGATATCTTTTAGATATTAAATCTTTGTTTCAAAATGTGAATATTTCAGATATCGAATCTGTACGAGATATCAAGTCGTTAATATGTTAATGTTATTGGTTTTAATACATCCTCCGTCACAGTGGTTATCATCCAGGACGATATGTTATCCATCAAAAAAACTGAAAATGGATCTATTTCTTAAATAGTGTTAAAAAACATAAAAAATACCAATATGGCAATCCATAAAACTAGGGCAAAATATGAACAAAAGAAAGATTTACACGGAGACTCCATGTACTAGGAGAATAGGACAGGTGCTCCGGAAGCGTAAGCGCCTTCTGCTTTAACGACGACACCCGCCATGTAAATCAAAGTAAGTCGCCATCAATAAATCACCATGCGATTATTTGTGCAAAAATAACTTGATAGCATTCATGTTGGTCTGGTAACCGATATCGGAGTCTTGTAGAGTCCAGGTTCCTTACAGCTCATCAGCTGCTTATCAGCTGCAAAATCGTCTATTCGCGAATCTGTTTGAAAAGGTATGTTCGCGAAATAAATAATCACAAACTCTAAGTGATTTTAGGTCGAACAAAATAAGAAGGGAACAAAATCAACAACATTATTCTAAGCAGCTAGTCGAACAATTGTTACACAATATCTATGACCATGTCATGATGTCGGTAGCTATGAGAAAGAACATAATCTCTTACTTGGTCACCTTGTGTTATCTTTCTGTGACGCCTTGATATCTTATCTCAGGCTGGAACTTCCAGATAGCTAGCACTCTGTCAGCATGATCACGCCCTCCAACTTCGTCCTGAAGATATGTTTTCATATTAAAGATAATAAAGTCAGTAAGTACACTATAACATTATCGGATGAAAACACGGACAGTGACAACATAGTTAGGTAAAGTTAGTTTCATATTAATCTCTGTACTTTTCGGCGAGTATTATATTTGATTATATCACTTCATTTCAAATGATATGTATACATCAAGTATACAAATGTGGAATTTTACATCTCATTTATTCTTTGTAGATATGAAGTTGTTCCTAACTATCGTATTTTTGTTGCCGGTCGCAGTTTTCCGAGGTAAATATACTAACATGACACGTTATCATTTACACAACTTGTGTAAGTAATTGTACATTTATCACGATTATAGTACAGTCAAAAAGATGTTGATATTATTTCTATATATAATAAAATGTAAGCATATCACAACAAAATGTCAAGGAAAATGTTCATAATTGTTCGCATTTGTTACGATTGGGAAAAATCTTTATTCGATGTTGGATATCAATGGTAAATGTAGTATAAACAGTGCTGGTACTCCATGTCCGCAACCAATGTTCTCTATCTGAATAACGGTACCTTAATTACTTTAACTTGATCTCAATTTTGGCTGAAAGATATTAGTGATAAAACATTAAACGTCTACTGTTGTTGACCATTAAAGTTATTGTTCTAATTGTGTTATATATAAACACCACTGATCAAATTCAGCTATCCCGTCCGCTGAAAGACAGAAAGGTCTTAATAGTGGGCGTTAAACCCGCTAATAAATAAACATTCAGCTATAGAATTCTTTAAAATGGGTAGTTTTCAACCAATTTCTGCACGAATGATCATCAGAAACAACAGATTTTTAATTCACGGATTTCGGCATGGTGAACCACTTTCCTTGATTTTTAGGACCCGAAAACAAACATTTTAATTTGATTCATTATCTCGGAAACAAATTAGCTATTACGGGTGAAAATTGCGAAATTTAAAGCATTGCGACCCTATCTTTTTCACCAAGAAAACTATTCTCAAATTGTTCCCATTAAAGTGTTTAAAATGTTAGATACTAAAAGCCAAGTAAAAGATTTAAGTATTTTTTTCAAAACTTTCATCTTTTTTTTGGTATGCAGTTTTAAGTTTGTTAGATTAAAAGAAAATTGAAAACTTATATTTAAAAAATTGTTGCCACCAGCATAACAATGAATGTTGTTCAGGAAAAAATACGAATAACATGCGAAAATGAATTATTTCTTGTTCCACATACCCTAAATCTGAGAAAGCATTGCAACAACAAATTGATTTTTGCTTTTATTTTTTTTTCTAAAATTAAACCTTTGGAAAATCACCAGAAAAGAAGCTGAATTGTTTAACTTGTCAGATAAGTATATCCCTAAGTGGTGATTTTGATATATAATGATTTTATTTCTATAGCCTTACCTTTTTTATTTAATTTTTCATTATTCCTTTCTTGAGTATCAATATCACTATATGAAGGAAGAATGTAACTGGTGAACAACAGTGAATCACAGTAGGTACCAGATAAAATCTGTTTGTTTATTGCAATTTATTGGTCTTTTCTGGGGTTCACTTATCTGTACAATCATTCCGTATAGAGATATCAGTTACATTGAAATAATTTCAATATTTGACGTGTTTAAATGTTATCTCTAAAAATTCCTTACGAATTCTACAGGTGAAATGTTACCTTTATTTTGATACCTTTTTCATTTTTAGTCAGTATTTGATATGTAGTTACAATTGAAGCCTTCGATTCAGTATATCGATGAACTCAATTTTGTTCCAGCTTCTGCGGAAGGCGACACGACAGTAGCACCATCATGTGCTGACATTTTGAGTGATTGTCACACCTACGGTAAAGTTGCTTGCCATCACCCTTTCCAAAGCTGGGCCGAAAAAAACTGTGCTAAATATTGTAATTTCTGTGGTAAGTTATACTTGAAGGACATGTTCACATGTTTACTTTCTTGTCAAAAATTCTGTGACGTAACCGAAAAAATGAAGTAGTAAGATCTTTAATTATATCCGATACAAACACTAGTTAATATCCAATCATTGTGGCTGTAGAAAGGGAGATTTCTTATACAATCATTAATGTTATAGATATGGAGATTTCTTATACAATCACCATGGTTATAGATAGGGAGATTCTTATACAATCACTATGGTTATATAAATGGAGATTACTTATACAATCACCATGGTTATAGACAGGGAGATTTCTTATACAATCCCTGCTTACATGTTCCATAGTTCGATTTGATCTTTTTCTTTACAGAAATATATTTGCGATGAACATGTTTGTTAATGATATAAAAAACATTATTCCAATGACCGAAATTAGCAAGCTATCGATTTATTTTCTTTCGACATATCATTTCTTTTCACATTCTGATCACTGGACTAAGACGCCCGGATGCGGCGTTCGTGACGAACTCCATATCTCATTAATATATATATGCATTAAGAACTCAATTTTAAACTTAAATAAAAAGAAATTGCTACATCTGAATTTGCTACTTGGTATTTATAAATGTTTGGCTGAATTTAAGATATTGACCTCAAACTACGCAACTTACTGTGGATAGAATGTTGCTTTTTTGATGAAGGGGACATCACTGGCAGTGGTAAATACAGTATCTATGGGACTTAAGAACCAGTTTGGGTACATGACCTTGGTTACCAGTAATGATACAAAGTTTAATCATTTTATTACTGTTAGTCATTCAAAATATTTTTGTCATGAATTTAGAATTAATAAGGTGTCATTTCCAGCGGTCTGATTCTGTAATTCTTATTGTGGTAAAACTGCGTTCCATCACCCATATCGAAGTTGGTCACAGACAAACACTGCCATGTTTTGATGCAGGATGATATAGATTATGGTGAAGTTTTTGGTCGTCATCATGATTTGATGAGGAAACATTTCCTAATGCATAATTGTAATCATTCGTGATTGACCAATATCTAAATTGCGGATGTTTTCTATAAAGCAAAAAACGCTCACCCTTCCGTAACACATGATCTCATTGCTGTTGTACTCTTTCGTGGATCTCCGTGTAAATCTTTCTTAACTTTCTTCCTCTTTCGAATTTCAGTCTGAATTTAGACTCTGTTGAAATTGATATTCTCCATGTTGTCATTGTGTTGATTTCTCAAACGAATTACAGGTGAAGTGTAAAATAAGAGGTAAAGGCAACATGTGTGTAGCATTTTCCATATTATACTGACAATATATCACTTATGATCAATAACGAATTTTATTTCTTGTGGTTTACAATGCGTCGTGATAAAATAAATATTTTTGAGAAAGGTGAAAACGCATGCGTGGATAAATTGAGTGACTGTGAGACGTACGGAACAGGTTCCTGTAAATCTCCTTATATCTCCTGGGCTACCAAGAACTGTGCTAGGTACTGCGGTATATGTGGTAAGTCTTTGTATGTAATAAAAGATAACAATCTCACATGAAATATTCAAATTATATTTGCCATGAATCATAGAATTATACTTTTTTTTACTTTTTATACATTCCAGCCAGTTTTATTTCTCAAAAAAAGATTAAAGATAGAGTTTGTACATTTATTCACCGACGAAGAAGGAAATTCATTCGTCGATCACCAATAAGAAACATTAACCAAACAAGTGAAATAGATTGTATTCATTAAATGTTATGGGTATAAACATATAAATATAAAAAATGTTGTTTAAATGGGTCCTACGCCAGAGAATTTTTATTTTTGTTGACCTTGTGGAGCAAAAATTAAACTTTTGAGGCGAAATAAAAAAAATATCATATGAAATTTAAAAAAAAAAAATCACACAATTTAAATAACTATATTACATAACTCAGAAGAGTAACATTCTGACAGGTTTCAAAGTTAAAGTATTTAAAACGAAATTGGACTGAGCCAGCTGTAAGCTAACCGAGACGATAGATTGCAACGCAAGAGAGAACAAGAGTTTACAATGTTTACATTTATTGCAATTTACAACGGCTAATATACAAAATATACATGGTACACCTATCATAAGGAAATCTGTCACACGACAGATTCACACTGCCAATAATGATATTTCACACCAATCTAAACACTGCTGTGAAGGTCCGAAGATATTATAGAATAAGCTACTACCTAAAGCCTATAAACCCTAATCTATTCACACCCTATATACACCCTACATTTCATATATGAGCTTCTTCTGGCGACCGGTCTTCACGAATAGCCCACACAACAATGTCTGTGGTTCCTCCCGTAGAAACCAATAAAAATGTTCCCTCCGTTGTTCACGAGAATAGGCGCGAAATTTAAATAGTATAATCAATACACATAAGGCATACTTATATGAAATATAAAATATTTACACACTTCAAACCGGTATATGACACCAGCCATTTTTTTGTTTTTTTTTGGGTTTTTTTTTTTTTTTTTTTTGTTCTATATTTATGGTGCAATGTCATTATACTGTAATTTTTCTATCTGTAAGATTGTCAATACTGGTACATACCATACCCACGCAGATAATAGAAAATTGGAGGGTGTGTGCGGGGGGAGGGTTATAGCATTATAACGAGACATATGAAGATCAGATACAGAGTTCGTAAAAGACAAAGCATTACAATACACAACGTTAAATAACAGGAACTATAGACGTGCCAACACGTCCACCAGTAGCTCCTTCTGTCGCTGGATGTCACGATGAGGAGGCGGACTGCAGTTCATATGGCAAGGATGTATGTACTGGATACAAACCCTGGGCTCGGCAGCACTGTGCCGCATATTGTGGCTTTTGTAGTAAGTATGTCCTCATTTAAGCTATCAGGTAACAGTAATTGTTATTAAATGTTAAAGGACGGCAGATTATGTACAATATAACGTATGATTCCATTGCAACACTAATATTAGGTGCGATATATACTTCACTGAAAGTATAATATGCGTTTTGTAGACAACATTATAATGATATATCGGACAGGTAAACGGTGATTAGCTTTTGGATTCTTTTGTTCTTTTTTGAACATGTAACATCACCACCACCTACCATACCTGTGTTTTTTTCAACCTGTAACATCACCACCACCTACCATACCTGTGTTTTTTTAAACATGTAGCATCACCAACGCCTACCATACCTGTGTTTTTTTTAGATATAACATCACCACCGCCTACCATACCTGTGTTTTTTTTTAGATATAACATCACCACCGCCTACCATATCTATGATTTTTTTAGATATAACATCACCACCGCCTCCCATACCTGTGTTTTTTTTATATAACATCACCACCGCCTACCATATCTATATTTTTTTCAGATGTAACATCACCTAAGCCTACCATACCTGTGTTTTTTTTCAACGGTACCTTCCCTCCAGGCTCCAACGGTACCTTTAACAGGTATGTAGTTCCGACTCCATCAATACTCTAAATGATAACACATTTCCGCTGTAGTAACATTTTAAGTGAAAAAAAATGTATAAAACTTCTTTCTATATTTTAACTTGCATCTTATGATTAATATATAAATGAGCGCAGTGTTCTCGAGATTAATAGAAGTTTGTGGACGTTGATATGACAATTTTGTAAGAAAATCTTGTTCTGACATCGTGTTGTATGATTAAACTTAAAGGCTTCATTGGTACATTGGCTGGATATTAACTTATACATTATGTTGCTTTTCAGTTTTATAGTTACATTGTAAGGAAGGCAATGCCTCCTTAGTATTATCTCAAATAGGACTTTTACACTATACGTCCTTTTTAACATTGTTTTCATTGGTTCTCATCACAATATTTTAATCTGTCCCTAGGTGTTTTTATAAAGGAAACTTTTACCAAACAAACGACACCTGGCGTGACGGTTGTGATTTCAACTGTACCTGTACAGACGATACCAAGGGTAGATACATATGTTCGACTCTGTACGTAGATACAAGCAACATTCTTTTGTAACTGGTTTGACAAAACTTTATTGTTCCTAATTTTATTCTCTTCCAAAAGATTTTACCGTGACGTATGTTGATAAGACGTGTTCAGAATAAATATAATCCATACGTAACTTTACACGTCCATGCAGTAAACAATGGAACAAAGGATGATCTTTACGATAAAGTACATTTTATACATATAAATAGCAGGGTTAGTTGGAAAGTCATAACTCTGTACTTGTTTTGTTTGATTTTTAACTCAAACAATGTAGATCGATACAATCGCATCCATTGGTATTTTTAGTTTTTCTACAATACTTTGTCAATATGGATTAGAAAAGTTACTTCTTGAACTTACTTGACTGGATTGACTAAAGCAAACGTTTCCCCTTTCATGTGAACTAAACTTATTTTCTTTGTATGTTTACAAGGGTAGAATCTTTCTTTTGTTGCATTTTTCTCTTATTTCAACCATTTTGAGGTTAGATTAAGATAAAAAAAAATGCTCTATAAATAGCGTTATTTCGATAAAATTATAACGAATCATGATAGGAGTTTTTAATTTCATTTAAAATTGTTTATCAAAGCATATGGTAAAGTTTGGGAATTGAAAGTGAATTTTGATATCAATGCTTTATGTAGCAGTATTTGAAACTCTCGGCTCTGAATTTAACATTTGCTCTAGAATTGTTATCACTTCACTTTAGGTGTTATACATGGACTCTGCCAACAATCTGCCATCTGGAAACGCCACCTGGAAAATGTTGTCCTAAACCTGTGTGTCCTTCCAATTTCGTATTACATTACCCACCTGGCTATGTGGATCATGACGTCTGAAGCGACGTTTCAAAGAGGACAACATCTTTTAAGGGCAATCTGCTTCCTTCTCCAACCCATCAATATAGAAATGGACTCCTGTATTACAGATATTTTACTTCTTCCTGAATTCAGATGTCCTTTATCATTTTTAGATACAAGATATCGATACAAACGAGTTTTCGTGTTGTGATGTTCGTATGAGACAGGCTTTGTTAAAAGGTGTATTACCTGAAATATCTTTTGGTCCATGATGAAGTGCATTGATTAAATATAATCTCTATTTTCTTAAATAAATCAATAGCAAAAATGAAACAAATACAACATCAATTGATACATCTCCCTGTAATTTTTCGTTTGATGGCCTGATAGTAATGATAATAAAGTTTGACAAATATGCCATTGTGACCAATATGTTCTGGCACTCTTTAATATCGTCAAGATATATATAAATATAATTTGACAAATAGTGATAAGTATTTTCTGGCTATTATTATACTGAAGAAATGTTTATCAAGTTTTCTTCTTTGTGCTTTCCTTGGTTGTTTGCCTATTTGCTTGGTTCGACAACGTTATGATATTCTAACGATCTTTAATTCTACCCTCCTGTAGGTCTTGTGTTGATGATATTGTTTTACAACTGTTCAGTTTGTTTTCCTTTTTATCTGTCTCAACCTATTATATTTCCGTTATCTGCTTTGGGTATGAATTATGTCCCTTTATATAGGCATTACTTACAAGCCTGTTATCGACCTACAAGTGAAATTGTATCAACGTATGATAGACGTTTGTCTTTTTAATGTCCGCACATTTCGGTAATAAACATCTTTAATATCTAATAATTCAAGACATCATTAACATTGAATGATGTTTAAACAGCTAGTAGTCCACAGTTAAATGAAGAGGTCTAAACCTTTGTCCAAACTCTCATTTTTATAGACTCTTGTTAAAATATGGACTTCAAAATACTATTACCGAACCTACCAGGATTGCTCCTCAATCTTCAACTTCACTTGATATTCTTATTACTAATAATGTTAACTTTGTTTCCAGTACTTCTGTACTACCTCCATCCTGTAGTGACCACTCGCCAATTACTGCTACTTTAAATTTCAAGTCTTTTAAGAAACTTGCATATAAAAAAAAACCTTTTATATTTCCAAAATACTAATTATGAAGGAGCTAATGAATTTCTTAATTCTATTGACTGGAATTCTCAATTAGTTGGTGATATTGATGAAATGAATTATGTTCTTTCTAACATCATTTTATCAGCTATTGACCAATTTGTACCTAACAAGACTGTTACTATTAGACCAAATGACAAAATATAGATGACTAATGAAATTAGACTGAAAATAAGACAGAGAAATCGTCAGCATTCTAAAGCTAAACAAAATAACTCCCATGCCTCATGGAATAAATTCAAATCTATTCGAAACCAAGTCATTACTTTAATCCGAGAGGCTAAAGATAAATATCTATCTAAATTACAATCTTCTCTTATTAATAAAACTATTCCTCCTGGAAAATGGTGACGAATTGCTAAATCAGTTATGAATCTACATAATAAAAGCGATACTGAATCTCCCCTTATTATTAATGGTGATCTGAAAATACACCCTCTAGATAAAGCTGACACTTTCAAAGACTACTTCACTTCTATTTCAACAACAGACAAGAATGCTGATGTTTTACCACCTGACTATCCCCCACCAATTATTAACTTCTCTTCAATCGACATAACTGAACAGGACATTATCGACCAACTTAAGCTTCTTAATACTAACAAACCTGCAGGTCCTGATTCTATCCCTCCCAAATTCATAAAAGGTGTTTCTCAATCCCTTATAAAACCTCTTTCAATAATATTTAATAAATCTATCTCTGCAGGTGTACTTCCTACCTCCTGGAAAAATGCTCATGTAACACCTATATATAAAGGAAAAGGAGGAAAAAGTGATCCATCCAACTACAGGCCAATCTCTGTTACTCCCATCTTCAGTAAAATCCTTGAGAAAATTGTCTTTAAATATTTTTATAATTATCTCTCAAGACATAACATTATCTCCAGAAATCAATCAGGGTTCTTACCTAAAGATTCCACTGTTAATCAACTATTAATTATATATGATGAAATTACTAAGCATTTGGATAAAGGTAAAGAAGCAAGAATGATATTCTGCGACATAAGCAAAGCGTTCGATAGAGTTTGGCATGATGGGTTAATTTTTAAATTGAAAAAGTATGGCATTAGTAATAACATGTTAAAGTGGTTTTCATCTTATTTAACTAACAGGAGACAGAGAGTGGTCTTGGATGGATACAAGTCCAACTGGAAAACATTACAGGCTGGGGTCCCTCAAGGTTCAGTTCTTGGTCCTTATCTGTTTTTGTTATATATTAATGATATTGGTGATGATTTACTATCTAATGTGAAATTATTTGCTGATGACACATCTTTATATGGCTTAATTGAGGGCGATAGACAAGATGCAGCTAATATACTCAATAATGATCTTCAAAAAATTTCTAGGTGGGCCAATAGATGGGGTATTATTTTTAATCCTGACAAGACAGAATCCCTACTTTTTTCAAGGAGAGTTGATTCGGAGATGTTGCATCCAAATCTGTACTTTAATGATTCAGTTATTAAAAATGTTACCTTCCATAAGCACCTTGGTCTAACTTTTAATAGTCATGCTAATTGGTCAAACCACATAAACTCTATCTATGAGAAAGCTTATAAACGAATAAATGTACTTAGAATGTTAAAGTATAAAATTGACAGAAAGTCACTTGAATTAATATATATTACATTTATTCGTCCTATTTTAGAATATGCTGATATTGTTTGGGCTAATTGCACAGAAAGGGAATGCAACATCTTAGAATCAATTCAACTAGAGGCAATTCACATTATTACTGGCCTAAGACGGGGCACCAGTCATGCAATTCTATATAATGAGTCTGGATTAATACCCTTAGCTAAAAGAAGACACTTACATCAAAATATCCATTTTTTTAAGATTTTAAATAACAGATGCCCTCCTCATGTATTTGACTCTATCCAACCTTTTATAAACAATAATAATGCTCCTTATCCACTTCGACACAATAGATTGTTTGATGTGCCCCATACAAGAACTTGTCAATATAGCACTAGCTTCTTTCCAAAACTTATGAATGAATGGAATGGCCCATCTTGTCTGTATCCCTCATTTACTTCTATTTATGCGATAAAAAATCTTTTTTATCACAGCAAACTACCATTCCTCCTTTCCACTGTAATGATACTTTCAAATATAAAGGAAAAAGAAAAGCTAACATAATTTTATGTCAACTAAGAAACTCTGCAAGTATTCTGAATTTTGATTTATTCAATTCCCACCTTAAAGATAACCCTGCCTGTAACTGTGGCCACCCAGTTGAATGGTCCCTTCTTTACTAACCAGAGACAACTCCCCTTTAATTCCCTTTCTGACCTTAGTGATTCTATACCTCCTTCAATTGATACATTTCTCAAAGGTTCTCATTTGATGCAAACATTAAATTTATTCTATATAGTTCAGAGATTCATAACTGCACTGGTCGCCTATTTTAAAATGTAATCCCATTCTATCTTTTTATCACAGCAAACTACCATTCCTCCTTTCCACTGTAATGATACTTTCAAATAAAGGAAAAAGAAAAGCTAACATAATTTTATGTCAACTAAGAAACTCTGCAAGTAATCTGAATTTTGATTTATTCAATTCCCACCTTAAAGATAACCCTGCCTGTAACTGTGGCCACCCAGTTGAAGATTGTACCCACTTCTTTTTCCACTGTCCCTTCTTTACTAACCAGAGACAACTCCCCTTTAATTCCCTTTCTGACCTTAGTGATTCTATACCTCCTTCAATTGATACATTTCTCAAAGGTTCTCCTATACTTGATGCAAACATGAATAAATTTATTCTTGATATAGTTCAGAGATTCATAACTGACACTGGTCGCCTATTTTAGCAAATGTACATCCCATTCTATACTTCTATCTTTTCTATCTCTCATTTGTATTTGATGTCTCAAGTGTGGGTCCGCCTGTCCATTTTAGGGACTCAGCTCAGGATTATGTGCAAATGGACTGTTTGAACCTGCAGCCTGTCCCACCACAAATGGACATATTTTGACCCAGTCTTGTAATATCTTGTGATACCTAATTTGTATTTTTTAGTTTATGTTACTGTTCTGGTACTCAATAATACAAACGATGGTGATGCCTATTTTGCATTTCGGTTATATAATCATCCATTTGAATCTATCTTCTACATTCTTATTCCTAATATTATTATTATCTGTTATCTCTAATTTTGATTGATGTGTCTGTATACTTGTTTATGCACTGTAAGGAGAGGGCTTTCATAGGCTCTGCCTGTTGCCCAATTCCTACTGTCAATACCACCATGACAATAAAATATTCTGAAAGAAAGAGGTCTAAAGGCAAATAAAGTAATAAATAATCGAGAGGGATATGGCTATCCGGCAAATTAAAACATCATCAAACCTTCCTCTTTTAAACAGGTAGTTATCCCCCTTCTTACCTGTCATTTACATTGCACGTAGTATCATTTTCAGTGGGACCGATGATAACTCTGTTGGTAAATGATGCAATAATCTGTGCTAAGCAGGATGTTCAGATCAGTGACCAGCTTGTGTGTTTGTGGTTGTGTCCTTGGGCAAAATACTTAATCCCAATATGTCTGTATATAATGCAACTGGTGTACCCCATAATGCCGTGTGAGTTTTCGGCAACTGCACAAAGTCTACCTGCCTCACAATGGATGTTCACAGGGCAATAAACCCTAGAGATTAAAGAAATTATTTAATAGCTGAACTAAACATAATACACCTAGCAATTATTAATTTTGTTGGGGCTGTATTTTGCTTCCTTCTATGATGCTTAATTTCCGTTTTATTTCCTGTCTACTTGAAAAATATTCGTTTTTTGTTTTTTGTTTTGTTTTTGTTCTCGTTTTTTAGGACTTTTATTGACGTTTTGTGTAGACCATAATTAATTGTTTGGTTTTTGAGGTTTCATAAATGACGGTAAAAGAAAGGTATTCCCGTGTAGATGTGTGTTCCTTCACTTAATATCGCCTTTACAGGGTTTTCCTTGTTGTAGTGGCATTGCTTTTCATCATCAATCTTTACGTTTGTTTTAATTTTGCCTTTTGATTCTATGTGTCTATTTTACCGCTTTCTGGATGAAATTCTTAACTTTAATTTTGAAGCTTGGAAAATGTATTGTTCTGGATGTGTACTAGAAAAAGGATATATTTTTCAATCCAACAAGGTTTCGAAGCATTGTATTCATGTGAAGTATGGGTCTCCTGTTCACGTGGATATTGTCAGATTGTTGGTGTGCCCTCCCAAATAAGATCTTCTTTAGGTTTTCATCTGGACTTAAATGTGATTCATATCAATAACTTTTTACATAATGGCCGTAAAATAAATAGGTTCAAAAATCATTTACACAAAACTTTTATTATGAAAATAATTTCAAGAGTTTTGAATAAAAAATAAAGTTAAAGTCAAAGATTTTTCTTTAGAATTCATGAAAACTAAGTAACAAAATATTAGAGAAATTTGATAATAAAACTCAGTAATACAAAATATATAGCAGCTGTGTTAACAGACACGTTGTAGAAACGAGCTGCACAGCATTACAACCCAGTAAAAAATACATAGCTGTTGTGTTGTCAGACATGTGGTTGAAATCAGCTGTACAGCATTACAACTCGGTTATACAAAATACACAGCAGCTGTGTTAACACACACGTGGTTGAAATCAGCTGTACAGCATTACAACTCGTTTATACAAAATACACAGCAGCTGTGTTAACACACACGTGTTTGAAACCAGCTGTACAGCATTACAACTCGGTTATACAAAATACACAGCAGCTGTGTTAACACACACGTGGTTGAAACCAGCTGTACAGCATTACAGCTTACTAATACAAAATAAACAGTAACTGTGTTAACACAAACGTGGTTAAAACCAGCTGTACAGCATTACAACTCGTTTATAAAAAATACACAGCAGCTGTGTTAACACACACGTGGTTGAAATCAGCTGTACAGAATTACAGCTTACTCATACAAAATTCACAGCAGCTGTGTTAACACACACGTGGTTGAAACCAGCTGTACGGAATTACAACTCGTTTATACAAAATACACAGCAGCTGTGTTAACACACACGTCGTAGAAACCAGCTGTACAGCATTACAGCTTACTAATACAAAATAAACAGTAACTGTGTTAACACACACGTGGTTAAAACCAGCTGTACAGCATTACAACTCGGTTATACAAAATACACAGCAGCTGTGTTAACACACACGTGATTAAAACCAGCTGTGCAGCATTACAACTTGGTTATACAAAATACACAGCAGCTGTGTTAACACACACGTGGTTGAAACCAGCTGTACAGCGTTACAGCTTACTTATACAAAATACACAGCAGCTGTGTTAATACACACGTGGTTAAAACCAGCTGTACAGCATTACAACTCGTTTATACAAAATACACAGCAGCTGTGTTAACACACACGTGTTTGAAACCAGCTGTACAGCATTACAGCTTACTAATACAAAATACACAGTAGCTGTGTTAACACACACATGGTTAAAACCAGCTGTAGAGCATTACAGCTCACTAATACAATATACATAGCTGCTGTGTTAACACACGCGTAGTAGAAATCAGCTGTACAGCATTACAACTCGGTTATACAAAATACACAGCAGCTGTGTTAACACACACGTTGTAGAAATCAGCTGTACAGCATTACAACTCGTTTATACAAAATACACAGCAGCTGTGTTAACACACACGTGTTTGAAACCAGCTCTACAGCATTACAGCTTACTAATACAAAATACACAGTAGCTGTGTTAACACACACGTGGTTAAAACCAGCTGTACAGCATTACAGCTCACTAATACAAAATACACAGCAGCTGTGTTAACACAAACGTTGTAGAAATCAGCTTTACAGCATTACAACTCGTTTATACAAAATACACAGCAGCTGTGTTAACACACACGTGTTTGAAACCAGCTCTACAGCATTACAGCTTACTAATACAAAATACACAGTAGCTGTGTTAACACACACGTGGTTAAAACCAGCTGCACAGCATTACAGCTCACTAATACAAAATACATAGCTGCTGTGTTAACACACACGTAGTAGAAATTAGCTGTACAGCATTACAACTCGGTTATACAAAATACACAGCAGCTGTGTTAACACACACGTCGTAGACACAAGCTGTACAGCATTACAACTCGTTTATACAAAATACACAGCAGCTGTGTTAACACACACGTCGTAGACACAAGCTGTACAGCATTACAACTCGTTTATACAAAATACACAGTAGCTGTGTTAACACACACGTGGTTAAAACCAGCTGTACAGCATTACAGCTCACTAATACAAATTACATAGCTGCTGTGTTAACACACACGTTGTAGAAATCAGCTGTACAGCATTACAACTCGTTTATACAAAATACACAGAAGCTATTTTAACACACAGGCGGTAGAAACCAGCTGTACAGCATTACAACCCAGTAATACAAAATACATAGCTGCTGTGTTAACACACACGTTGTAGAAACGGGCTGTACTTAATGGCATTCCAGTAATACAATATACACAGCTTAACGTAACAGTCAATAAATTATCTTTCTTGTCAACAAGAAGCTATTCAATCTGTTCCTTAAAACAATCAATGAGAGCACTAGTTTAACGTTAACTCATCAAACCTAGAGTACATCTTGTAACGTAGGAGTGTCTATCACATCAGCTCACAAGTAAATAAGAAAAATGAGTAAAACATATCACATACGAGTACAATGTTTACATAACGTAACCGTTCATGATTTATATATACGTTAGGCTATTAACTAACAGTATATCAGTAGCAACATATATCTTATCACAAACCGCTTTTTCTTAACCGTAACTGAGAAGTAAAGAACCTGTTTTGTTACATAAAGGTAAATACATGTGTCAGTTAAACTGTAACTTCGAAATCAAGAACCTTTCTTCTCGTCACATAAAAGTAAATACATGTGTAAGTTAAACTGTAACTACGAAATTAAGAACCTCTCTTCTCGTCACATAAAAGTAAATTAACCTATTAGCTAAGCCATAACTTAGAAATAATTACCTCTATTGTCGCATGAAATTAAGATAAGCTTAACCCTAATTAGTTTCTTGTCACATACAAGTTAACTAATTGATTAGCCCCACCGTAACTTAGACATAAGAACCTCTCTTGTCGCATGAAATTAAATGTATGTATAAATCTGAAATGAAAAACCTTTATTGCCAAAAGATAAGGATGTAACTTTTACATATGAATAATTGAATATGTTGTAAATCAGCACGTCATTAATACCCGCAGCAACACTTTGTTATACATGTATATATATTTGCATAAGTTAAACCACATATGAAATATGGACGATTCTATGTATAGAATATAATGGACGGATAACATTTCTCAGCATATTTATCAGCAGTAATTATCCCTATGTAGAATATATCAAAATATTACAAATGTTAACTTCTGGTCCTACCTCGTCCCCTCAACTGTTACGCGACACTTCGTCTCCTAACTGAAACTGATTATGTCTATTAACCTTGCCAATTTCCGAATTTAACACCGTCAGTATGACGGTCAAAGCCAGGTAATTAATGTCATTTTTAACTAAGAAGGTATCTGAAAGGTACTTTAGAGTATAAGCATCATCTCTAGATTTTCTGAATATGGTTTGAAGAATAAATTTAAAATATTGATACCTTTAAGTTAAGTTTAAATTGTTGTTGTGGACACATTGGAGATAAGTAATATATTTCTGAAAGAATTGATGGTATCTTTTATGTTGATGATTAATGATATGGTATCAAACGTCAACAACATTGAAAAAGTTTATACTTGAAACAATACCTGTATAATTGAGATTATGTCTCTTTATAAATCTAGTTTGATCATTGTCTTTATCAATTTCTGAGCTGGATCAAGCCCTCCAAAATACAATAAAAATGGTTAAAGTTGCCTTTGATTAATCAAGTCCTTTAAACTTTAAATTTTATTGTTATTGGTCAACATGTACCAATCAATCTTGCGCTGTATCAATAAAACTGAGTCATACTTCCAGACGAAGATCCAGGTTGAATTTTAAGGTCTTCATCTGGCGGGAGTGTCCTCGTGAAAGGGGAGATCTGGTAAGGACGACACTTCCGTCTGTAATCATCATCGTCCAGGAGGTCATTGTCAGATTCATCACTGAAATAACAACATATCTTAATGTAACTTTTGTTCATTGTTCTACTTTTTTTGAAGTCAGAAAACTCTCCGTATACAGATGCTAATTACTTGGTTTAAACATAGAGCTTAGACCACAGAAAATATATAGAAACAAGATCATCAAAATGTTTATATTTTTATTTCTGTACACCTTAATACACTTCATAGGATTGGACGCTTATATGTAAGCAGATTCTTAATGTGGCTGTAACGTGCACATGCACGTCTGAAATTTGAACAGATACTAAAGATTAGATACGGTGCCAACGTAAAAAAGTCTTGCAGCCGCTTTTTAGTTAACATGGCGGCCATTTGCGCATGTAATTAGTATTCGTAGGATTATAACGTTCATTCTTCATTTCTATCTGTCCTTTAATGACACGTACTTTCTTTATGTATCCAGCGAATTAAGTATTTCCATCACATATGAAGTCACACTAACAAATATCAATGAAAAACAACTGAGCACCTCATAACTCATATACAACTCTACACTGCTTAAGGTTCTGAATTTTCTATTGCTTTTATACGCAGTTGTATACATATCATGATTTTTGCTTAAAACAATTCCAATGACAGAGTTGTATTCATTCCTTCCTCATATAATTTATTTCTCTAAGCATTGAGGGTAGGAGCATCTAAATACTTATTACTTCAATACTTTGATAATGGTTTGGAAACAATAAACAGTTAAACACCACTGTATGTATAAACAGAAATTGTGCAGCCTTTCCCCTCTATCACAACGTAAATCAATTTCAGCTTTTTTTACCAGTCAGCACCTCTATCACTACGTAAAATATATTTTTCTCCGGTTATTAGCTTTAACACTACGTAAAGCAATTTTAGCTTTTTTCAATTATCCTCTCTTTCACTACGTAAAACCATTTCTAGTTTTTTCCCAGGTATCCCCTCTATCACTACGTAAAATAATTTTAGATTTTCAGAAACATTGTATAACATTGATTGATACCACGAGTATAAATTATTAATACATGTGTACATGATACATCATCAACGTTCAATAACTATTACAGAACACTTGCTACATGTCCACAGTATCACTGAGCTCTACTTCCCCCTTCTCTTCTGGAGAGTTTACTGACAATAATGATTCCTTATTATCTCGAGAGTTTCATTTAAAGTATAGAAGTACAAGTCAAAAGTTAAAATTGACTTCTGATTGAATTGAGTGACGTATTTTAATTCTTGTATGAAAATACATTTGCAATTACTTTAAAATTAAATCAAACTGTCATGGTTTTACCTGTTTGTGGAATAGCAATATCCATCAGACATGTTTACTTCTAAATGATTTTGAATTGTGACGCAGCAATCGATATCACAAATAGAGCTGCATTACAAACATTAAATATCAAAACACCAATGTTTCTACTCTGTAGAGAATTAGTCGATACCATTTACAAAGCCAATCAGTAAATGAAAACACCGTATTCCATTGCTGTTTGCGTTTAATATCAACATATTTTCAGTTAATATCAATACAAACTTATTGAGCCTGGAAGCGAAGTATTTCTATATTTATAACTTTAACTTTTCATTGTTTTCAAACAATTAGTTAGCTATGGATATGGATTATGATTATGAGTATGTCAACTAACCACCCATGTCGCTTACGTCTCCCTAGTGACACATTGTCAGAAGAGACAGAATTAATTAGCTGTTTACCTCATTAATTATACATGGATTCTAGTGCATTAGGTTGGTTTTGGCGCAATGGAACATTTTTTAAAATCAATATTTTCTTGTAAATAAGAAAGTCATAGAGAGCATTGGAATATTCAGTTTCATACATTTACCATAAAATATTACTTATATTCATTAATGTGATCGCCGAGATAGTATATGTAGTTGCTTTGCTTTTTTAACATACCTATTATTGTTCCAACATAAAATTCTATTTCTCTAAATTCTCTTATTAAACCTTTGTTTTTCCAATAATATCTCTGTATTTTTCAAAGCTTTTTCTCTCCTATCATACCTTTGGTTTTCTATTATACCTTTCAATTTCCCAACATATTTCTCAAAACCTCTTTGTTTTTTTGTTTTTTTTTTTACATTATGCCTTTGTATTTGATAACATTTGTCTTTCCCATCACCTTTGAATTTCCTGACCTACCTTTTAGTGCAGCAGCAACGATCTCTCACTGACTTGTCTGAAGCGCAACAGTTCCAGTCTTTGCACAACCAGCACAGCATGACGGTAATGAGTATGACGGCAGTCAGGACCCCACCCCATAGAATAAACTGCTCCTTCCTGTATACAAACCGAAACACAGAGGTATACTCACCATATAGTGTATAGATATAGTTGATGGTTCTATTATGAAATATCGTTTATGTTAGTCCTAAGGCAGCATTTTGTAATTTTCCGTATCACATTAAACTCTTTGATGAAGTTCGTTTAGTAACCTCATACGACGAAGATTAATTAAAATAACAAAAATCAAACCAACAGAACAAAAGCTTATATTGCAATCAAAACAACAGTGCAATCATATGGCAGAGAAAACTTGAACATATCACAGAACATGCTCGTCTTCAGCTTATGGTATTCGCTAATCAAATTGAATTTTACACAGCAACATTTGTATGTTCTGTTCAGCAGTATTTATTGACAATGATTCTTATTAACACGCTTACAGTGTTTTACTAGATTGTGTTTGACAGCAGGTAAACTCCTGATCTTCCTCACAACATTCGGGTTTATCCGGGTCTTCGCAGTGATACACGTTACCCTCCCTGTCTCCAACCAGTTCGTCCCGATAGCACTTGGTACTGCTTTCACCGCCTAGATAGCAAAATCATATCAACAATTTTCAAAAACGATGAGTTTGAAAACCTCTGGTGTTCAAGTTTCTTTTCATATGAAATATCAAATTTACCTTGGCATTTTACATATTAAACATTTTGCCTGTTTTAAAATTCATGTTTGGATTTGCTTTAAACTTTGATGTCTCTAAGGGATATTGCTGCTGAGATGCATATGGTATTTTTGTTTGATTGCTGCGGAAATTATCATTTCAATTTCAATTTCAACAAATGTTATTGCTCAAAAAAGGGCAAAGGGATCGGGCATCATACATTGCCTATTTAAGCGTTCTCCCAGCAACTTCTGGATGGCAGTACAAGTAGATTATTAAATACATACAGACAATACATGACATTATACAATAGTGTCCTTATCATCTTGGAAGTACCAATACACCTCAGTAACTGCGGAGCCTCTCGTCTATATCATTTAACCAATAAATCAGTCACGATTATGAGCTAAGAATTGATCCCTTTCCTTGTCTACATATGATACACGGATTATATTTAGATTAAATACATTCATCAAACCACGACTATACGCCTCTCTAGTATTTGGCGAATAGCGTTGTGGTTCCCCTATTGCCATTGTCAAGAGCATGTATTTACCTAAAGGTGGTTTTGATTCGATCGATAAAGTACACGAATACAGAGTTACCTTTAAGCTATAGAAGCAATGTAAAATTGCAATCATCCGTGTGAACTGTCTTCCATGTTACACAATCATACCAATCCTATAGTGTGATCATTCTTGTTCACTTTACTTTGCGGTAGGAAACAATGATTCATCAGACAAAAAAAACCAATAACTGGTCTGAGAGGCTGCCATCCTAAACTTAAGGACCTCAACCTTAGCGAATAGCTATCAAAATCAACATATGTTAACATCGTTAAAATATATATGTCATCTTGTTCAGAAGTTCTAAATGTGTACATTATCTAAGACAAACAGATATAACAACAACGATATAATCTATTGATTTCTCTCTAAAGCATTGCAATATGTACAAAACAGGTAGAGCATTTGGCTTAGTGTTGTTTTAGCGTGTCTCGTGTGTTTAATCAGAATTTTTATAACAAAGCGATTGTTTATGTTCGGGGTATATACGAGGTAATTGTATGACTCCATAACGTGTTTACATTATATTTTCTTTATTTGGCTTGTTATTGTTTTAAGTGTCATTCAATGACGCATCAATTACATCTGTATGATGCAGATATATTTCCTTATTTGGTATATATAGTAATATTGTTTTTCAACCATAAGCGTTATTCATTTATTTGTTTTTGGATCAATCTACCCTGTAGCGTCATAGTTGTATTCATTGCTCTATTTGATGGATCGTGGAGATATAATCGTCATGAGGTGGGGTAGTCAGTGTAGATTACAGCTGCCATATTTATAGTAGGTATAATTAGATATTATTTTTGCAATAACAGCAATAACAATATATTCCCATGGATATTGCTGGACACACCGCGCCTGACGCATTCGGGACTGTTGATACAGGTGTTGGTTTCAAGTCGAATATTTTCATGATTTTGGATTTCTGTCCAATGGTTTCCATATCGAGTTTTAGATAAATATTTCATCTTTGCTATAGATGACGTGATATATATTTTGTTCTGTTTTATTTGTTTCCGGTGCTAGGCAGCGTCTGTCGATCAATAAGACTCCCTTGTCGCAATATCTGATCACCTTTGATGTAGGGAGGTGATTGATCCAAGCCATTACAATTAATTCTACCGCAAATAAAATAGGTTGTCATGTTATATATCAGCATAGGAGTTTTCAACTTGCGAGGACGTCTGTATTCTGCTAACCGATACTAATTCTTGTGTAACGGTTAAAACTATCGTCTCGTGGTAAAATTCTAAGACGTTCAACCCATGCCTAACTTACCTACTACAAAAACCACGCAATTACTTCGGAACATGTACAGAAAACACGGGAAATTGTTCCCTTGGCAATTAATTTTTCCCACCAAGTGCGATGATCGATTCACGGCCCAACACTAAAAGACGGTAATGAGGCCAGCAGAATGGAGATTCGATTTTGATAAGTTTATTTGTGAGTGTATTGTTATGAAAGGATTGTACAAAAGAATGACAGGTGAATAGCAAGGCAATCTATCACATGTAGTTCGGGAAAATTCCTAATCTTCTTAATCCGTTTTATATGATATATACATCAATTATTTGGATGGATACATCAACCATCTTAAAAACAACAAAATACAACATCCATACAACTCATATCATACGAACTGCAAGCTATGTTAATATTTTATTGATTACTAGGGTTGTGTGATCTACTTTAATTCAGTTTATAGGAACGTTATTTCAGATTTCAAATATAAACGATGCGGGGTCATTCAAGATTGACATACATTTACTGAACAATCAGACCTGCTATACATTCGCTATATCGAGATCACCTGTGACTGTCATACACTTGCTATATCATTTATTTTAACGTCAGTATTGCAGAAATATTATTTTAGAAAAAGAAGTAAACAAAATGGATTGTGTCCCTATCTATAGTAATAAAGCGATGGCATATTCAAGTTTTACTGGAAACTGTGAACACTTTTGATATGAGCGATTTCCCTTAGTTTCGTTCAAAAGATTTCTGTAATCCAAATATAATACAATACAACGTAGCAATCATGTAGTGCATTGTTTGAAAAAGGTGCCAGGTGGTGGGTTTTGAATACATATCCTCCAGACTCTGTGGTTAAGTTTACAACCAGATGGTTTTTGTGAGTAGATATTATATTACATCATCAAAATTGATTTTCTTTTGCGCAACTGGGAAACATCTCAAACATATTAATAATGTACTATTTTTGTATTTTTTTCTATATCTATGCAATGTATGGTCCACAGAATAAGCATAAAGCTTTCAAATTTTACACGAACAAACCTATAAATAAGTTGTCAACAAGCATTAAACCGAAACAGACACAGTACAGCCAAACAATGAATTCAACTGCATCATAAAGGTTCGTCCTTTTAGGACCATATATCAATGACACTACTATCATCTTTCCCTAACTAGCAAAATCAATTTCGCCATCAGTACACGAAAAATAATATATATATATACGGTATGTATTGAGAAAAATATGTAAATGTGATAAAATGTTGTTTTTTAAAAGTTGATCCGTCCGTAATATTTGATTACGTTCATCATATAACAATGTTACATTACATAGCTGAAAGTAACGTTTGACTAATGTGGTATTAGTCAGTCTGTCGGTGTTTACAGCCCAGTTTGTACATGGTCATATTCTCTTTGTGATAATCTATGTGTAAATCTTTCTTATATTGTCATGTTGGTATTTTTGTTCATATTTTGCCCCAGTTTTAGGGAGTTTGAGTTTGGATAATGATTATGTTAACATACTTGTATTTTCTTGATTATTTTATACATATTTTGCCCAGTTTTAGGGAATTTGAGTTTGGATTATAATTATGTTGACATGCTTGATGTTTTGTGTTCATATTTTGCCCCAGTTTTCGGGAATTTTGTACTGTCAGCCTATACCAATGGTTCTTACTAACAAATCATGTTAACGTTTATAATTGTTTTCATTATAGAATAAAATTACCATTAGATATTCACAATTTAAATGAATATGATTTGCTACGTCCGAGATATATTCTACCATAGACAAATCCCACATAAAGATGTCTGGTCGAGGATAATTTCTACATCTGAGATATATTTTATCAAAGACAAATCCCACATAAAGATGTCTGGTCGAGGATAATTACTACGTCCGAGATATATTCTACCATAGACAAATCCCACATAAATATGTCTGGTCGAGGATAATTTCTACATCTGAGATATATTTTATCAAAGACAAATCCCACATAAAGATGTCTGGTCGAGAATAATTACTACGTCCGAGATATATTCTACCCGAAGACAAATCCCACATAAAGATGTCTGGTCGAGGATAATTACTACGTCCGAGATATATTCTACCAAAGACAAATCCCACATAAAGATGTCTGGTCGAGGATAATTTCTACGTCCGAGATATATTCTACCAAAGACAAATCCCACATAAAGATGTCTGGTCGAGGATAATTACTACGTCCGAGATATATTCTACCAAAGACAAATCCCACATAAATATGTCTGGTCGAGGATAATTTCTACGTCCGAGATATATTTTACCAAAGACAAATCCCACATAAATATGTCTGGTCGAGGATAATTTCTACGTCCGAGATATATTCTACCAAAGACAAATCCCACATAAAGATGTCTGGTCGAGGATAATTTCTACGTCCGAGATATATTCTACCAAAGACAAATCCTACATAAAGATGTCTGGTCGAGGATAATTTCTACGTCCGAGATATATTTTGCCACAGACAAATCCCACATAAAGATGTCTGGTCGAGGATAATTTCTACGTCAGAGATATATTCTACCAAAGACAAATCCCACATAAAGATGTCTGGTCGAGGATAATTACTACGTCCGAGATATATTCTACCAAAGACAAATCCCACATAAAGATGTCTGGTCGAGGATAATTTCTACATCTGAGATTTATTTTACCAAAGACAAATCCCACATAAATATGTCTGGTCGAGGATAATTTCTACATCTGAGATTTATTTTACCAAAGACAAATCCCGCTTTGGTACGAAGGAAACAAGCTGGTAAATAAGCTATTAAAAAAGTTATATCAACAGTTCGTTATGTCGATCATGATTATACTTGGACACACTTACCTAATATACAGATGAAAAGTATGCACAGGAACAGATGCACAACTGTCGTAGATTGTAAAGACGACATACTGCTTCGGTGAAAATTGTCAGTGAAGCATACCTTTACTTATATCCCATGTTATTTTTCACAAGCACGTAATGGTTCAATGTCCTGTACACCTGGAACAGGCCGGCCCGCAAATACTTTGTGAGAGAATTTACGGATCTGAGCCAGTCTGCGTCCCCAGTCGGAAATCAGTGGAGGCAGTGGTCGCAATCGATATCATTGAACATTCAACGTATCGAGTGGGTTAGTCGACTAGACAGGTACGGCTCCAGAATCTCTACATTTAATGTCAATTATACTTAATTGTGTAGTGGCAAAAGCTATCTAATAGGGGCTATATACTCTGTATGCAAAAGTGGCTTTATTTAAAATAAAATGGTTTAATGGTCAGGAGTGTGGAGCACACTTCAACGTGGTCTTTTATCTCAACGATGTCTCCCTCAGCCGATACTTTGCCAACATGTCCATCTGTATTCAAAACTGCATAGTGTAACGTATCAATTCATGTATACATATACTGTATATGAATTGAATTCAATTGTGCTTTTTTTATTATCATTTGAGATTGCAGGTGGTAGACTCTGGATACTTATTCCCCGAGGTTTGTATGTGGTAGACACTGCGGGTGGACATTTAGTCCCCGAGATTTGTATGTGGTAGACACTGCTGATGGACATTTTATCCTCGAGGTTTGTATGTGGTAGACACTGCTGGTGGACATTTAGTCCCCGGGGTTTGTATGTGTTAGACACTGCTGGTGGACATTTACTCCCTGAGGTTTGTATGTGTTAGACACTGCTGATGGACATTTAGTCCCCGAGGTTTGTATGTGGTAGACACTGCTGGTGGATATTAAGTCCCCGAGGTTTGTATGTGGTAGACACTGCTGGTGGACATTTAGTCCCCGAGGTTTGTATGTGGTAGACACATTGCTGGTAGGCATATAGTCCTCGAAGTTTACAGGCTAATTCATTCTAATAGTGGCACGGTTCAAAATAAACTCATGTACTAGACATTGTTCCAAAATTATCTGATATAGGATAATTACAACATTTATTGAATAATTGGGCTAGTGCACGCCCCTTTCTAGATTTTATAAGATGTGTTCCTGTTGCTGTCACTGAATTGAATAATACAATTTTTATGTGTATTTTGGTCAAGGGCTTGTTTGCGTCGAAGTACTAATATCCACTTGTAATTGGACATGACGCAGAAGAAACCGTGTCATAAAATTCGAAACAGCGGTTTCATAATGTTGATGGTCGTTAACGTCTACCATAAATACAGGATAATCATTAAATCAATAGGAGTCACGTGGATAAATGCAGAGTTTACGGTTGTTGTTGTAATAGGTGGTAATTCAAGTCTTAGACGGAATTAACTAATACAAGTCACGTGTCTTATAATATTGTATCTGACGAACATATAAAAATACACTTCCTGTTTTTCATGTTAATATTTCAATGATAGGGAGTTCCTGTGGCAACCTATTAATCGGTGATGCCTGTCAAATGGAGTTTGTTAATCTACTCCGTGTCATATTATTGTGAGAAAACAAAATCGTTTCTGTTGATCTGTCCAACGTTTTTTTAACATCTGACAGAAACCCTTGTCAGTATTCGCTACATTGTGTTTATTGATGAACTATGGAATTTACTGAAGCACGCGCAGCTAGCTATAAAACAATATTTATGTAGCTGTAAAGCGATTTTTTTCTGTACGATGCTGAAATAAGCGACTAGATTATCAGGATAGATTATCGTTTAGAGACACGTGCATCCATTACTGGCTATTTTTACATAACAAGAAATTTATCGACTATGCTGATATTATAAATAACCTTTACGAAAATTTTTGGTGGTGAATTCTTTAAATTCCTTTCATACATTTGATATTGTATCTCTCTTTTCTCCCCTTACGACATTTTACATGATCTCTCCACATCAATATTTCCATTATAGATCTCAATGACAAGTTATAACACTTTAGACACGCAGGCCGAGGAGACTACGGTCGTCATAATAATCCCATCTGGAAATATCCTCCGTATGGTGTGTAGTTTCATGTTTGTGATGTTCTCAAGTCTAGGGATTTAGTTGGCAACTTCGATAACCTGGCATATCTCGAAAATCCTTACTTTCCTTAATGACATTTAATACTTGTGTTTTTTAGTATCTCAGCTTTCACCAGAATGACGATCGAAAGTCTGATTTTGTTTAAATTTTCTGGCGAAATAATTATACTTAGAATTACGTATATTAGTCCGGTTGCCAAACCAAACATTTTTGGAGAACCTTGCAATGCGGTCCGTACAGAGTTTTTTCGCCTTTTCTATTCCTCTGAAGTGTGCTCTTCAAGAATCTGTATGATGTCACACTGTCATCCTTGGGCAATCCAAAACAAGGGGATAGATGCCAAAATTAGTTCGATACCATTCATTGTTACTGAGAAAGGATGACAGAGCACATATCCGAGATATCGAAACAGAAGAAAAAACTTTGTACGGACCGCGATGCACGCCTGATGGTATCTGCCACCGGACTGTATTTAACAAAACTATAGGAATGCACGCTTGTTTTAAAATCAACTTTGAATGAGTGATAGAAACCCGCTATATAAAATATATATGACGCGGAGGACTTTTTCAGCGCAGTATGACAAGTCATCTCGTCCGGGTAAGGTCCATCTCGTTATTGCTTGTTTCACGAAATTGTTAAGCTGTCGGAACATGGGACACATTTTGAATCTCATTAGAGTATTTTCGATAAGACCCGATTTGAAATTGTCTTTCACAATATGATGAGCATCCCTTCATCAGATTGAAAAATACCATTAATGAGCTATTGACTGGGAAGGAAATGTAGGGCCCCAGAATTTGGTGTTATCAGTGTGTCTGTAGTCAATAGCGCCATTCATCACATTCATGATTTACGTTTTCCTTAGCCAAATGTGATAATTATGTGAAATATATGGGGATATTGCTTTAGCAGATATCGTAGTTGCACTCTAAGTTACAAAATATTAAGCTGATAGTACTTACTTAATTATTCTGGCATTTCGTGCCAACTGATTCATTTCGCATAGATTAATACTCCTTTGATGGCAGATATAGTAAAAGTTTGGTTCCTGCTGACAGCCTTCTGGTTTTCAGTTTCAAATTCCTTTATGTAACAATTTCCTTCTTCTCGTTTTTATACAGCAAGATTATTGATGGAATTATGTGTGTTTCTGGATATAATTTTAGAAAACGTATCATGTCATTTGTGGGCAAGGAGGAAATAACGACAAAAAGATCGAAAAGAAAAAAATTCTTGAGACAACACTACGTAATTAGCCTCCTCAATACGGTTAATGGACATATTACAGAATATTGTATTGGTTTTTCAAAAATAAAACATATTTGATCAACCAACATTGATTGCACAAAGGATCCCGCTTCTGACAACACAATGTGGGGTATATTTATACTTTTCTCAACGTTCTCGTTACAAGAACTTCTGGTCAACACGTTGATTGTCACAATACATTACGGCAAAGTACACCTAATCACGTTGCGTATATTTTGGTTCTTTTCGATTTATCAAACAATAGACAACGTCAATTTTGCTACAAGGGACACACCTTTATGTTCCCAGCGGGAAACTTACTTTTTCTGTTTATCAACACAATCAATATCGATGCTAACAAATCTACAAGTACTTTACTCTGTGTACACAGGATCCTGCGGAGAAAATGGTTTAATGGATGGCTATTGTGCATGTTGGGCGTGCCAACTCGAGCAGGATGGATAGCCATTGAGTGGCATTGATCTGGTTCACATACAATCAAAGGTTCATAGCACACAACGGTACCATTACCTAGTCTCTATAGGTAAACTGTTATTTCAACAAGACAGCCATTGAATCAGTTTGTAACAACAATATGTCAATCTGTGTATAAGGCTTTATTTCCTTCTTGTGTTAAATGTTGCAGTATTTTTAGCAGCTTTTGAATGATGTTCTAAATGTAACTTATATTGTAAAACCTGCGTTGCAGTGTCAAGGTCGATACAAGGGAACACAGATTTTTTTAAAAAGAAAAGAAAATGTTGGGACGGCAGATAAATTCTTACGATGCATTCAGAATAACAAGGCACATTGCAGGACATGAAAATATATGAAAAGAACACCTATTCTAAAGGGAGAACGGGATGCCAGAATTACAAATGTTTGTCAACACGCTGGTAGATGGAAAGGTACAATTAGAGTCAGAAGAAAGGACAAATGAACTGGAGCAAACCTCCAGAATAGGGAATAAGGAAGAAATTGATGATTCGGCGGGTAAAGCACCAACTCTATCTAAACCGAACTAAAGCAAACATGCAATGTAGCTGGTCATACTAATATGTGTGGACAAGGGAGTAAATAAAGGTGTCATTATGTATGTTTTCTGTTTTATTTATATTATCACGCTTTGTTATAACAGACATGAAAACAGCTAGAAAAGGTTGAGAGTTGTATGATGGTAGGAAGGCGGTGGTGTAGACGAGTTGTATGATGGTGGGAAGGCGGTAATGGAGACGAGTTGTGGGATGGTGGGAAGGCAGTGGCGGAGGCGAGTCGTGGGATGGTGGGAAGGCAGTGGCGGAGGCGAGTTGTGGGATGGTGGGAAGGCAGTGGCGGAGGCGAGTTGTGTGATGGTGGGAAGGCAGTGGAGGCGAGTTGTGGGATGGTGGGAAGGATGTAATGGAGACGAGTTGCAGGATGGTGGGACGGCGGTAGCGGAGACGAGTTTGGGATGAGCCCATGGACGCTACAATCTACGACACAGTCATCAATAGGTGGATGTACACATTACAGATAAGTCACCACGCACACAATAGTGGATATATCAGAACATACGGCTTGATGTAAACTCGATAGTTGAATTCTGTGCAGACGACTCTGAACCAAGTATCATCAAAAGTTAGAAGGAACTTCTTTTTAAACAATGGCTGTCAACGAATACTTTTGTCAAGGTCGGGGCCCGTACATCTCCAACTGGTGGAGAGATTACGATCTCGGCTGCCAGTATTTGCGATCTATAAATCCGTTTTGGTGTGAAAGTCGACCACAGTGAAAGAGAGAGAATTGGTGTCACTTATTGGCAGGTATGAACAATTCATTTCAAGTCGATCAGTTCCATACAAATCACCATCAAGTAGAGCTAAAGGATGTTTCTAACTCGTCCATCTACTAACTAAAACCAGTGGAAGTTGTTGATAACATTACAGAACACAAGAGAAACGCTGTTTTAGTCCGATGGAACCAGTAATGGTCTAGATCCATTGACCTTAACATGTGTGAAGCGGGAAAGGATCCTGAAAAGAACTGGAGTAAATCGTGCCCCCTACCAGTGATTATCGCTGACGCAGCAATTTATATTCTACTGTCAATACTGACAGTTCCATCTTCCACCAGTAAAGACCATAATCAGTTTGGTGTCATTAACAGGTTGTAAATTCGTTCTAGTCATATAGGATTTCATTTAAGGCAGGCAATCACAGTATGCTGGTCACTCAGTGTATCTATAAGTTAAAATACAGCATTTCTAGATCCCCTGTTAACCACCAGAGCTGGTAATCCTACAAACATATCAAGCTTAGGATTACAAGACCAATTGGTCTCCTTTCCTGTGACAAGCTCCTCTCCTTTCCTGTGACAAGCTCCTCGTCCTCAGAGCTTGAAGAACGTACGAGGTATGTTAGAGTTATCAATATATTTCTTCGGTATTAGGGAGTTGACAACTGCAAAATCAAACAATGTGAAGTCTGAGGTTTACATGTATCAAGTCTGAGGTTTATATGGTATCTAAGTAGGAGTTGTATCAAGGCTACGGTTTATAGGTATCTAGGTAGTTGTGTTAAGTCTAAGGTTTATATGGTATCTAAGTAGGAGTTGTATTAAGTCTAAGGTTTATATGGTATCTATGTAGGAGTTGTATTAAGTCTAAGATTTATATGGTATCTAGGTAGGAGTTGTATTAAGTCTAAGGTTTATATGGTATCTAGGTAGGGGTTGTATTTAGTCTAAGGTTTATATGGTATCTTGGTAGTTGTGTTAAGTCTGAGGTTTATATGGTATCTAGGTAGGAGTTGTATTAAGTCTGAGGTTTATATGGTCTCTATGTAGGAGTTGTATTAAATCTGAGGTTTATATGGTATCTAGGTAGGAGTTGTATTAATTCTGAGGTTTATATGGTATCTAGGTGGGAATTGTATTAAATTTGAAGCTTATATGGTATCTAAGTAGGAATTGTATTAAGTCTAAGGTTTATATGGTCTCTATGTAGGAGTTGTGTTAAGTCTAAGGTTTATATGGTATCAAGGTAGGGGTTGTATTAAGTTTGAGGTTTATATGGTATCTATAGGTAGGAGTTGTATTAAGTCTGAGGTTTATATGGTATCTAGGTAGTTGTATTAAGTCTGAGGTTTATATGGTATCTAGGTAGGAGTTGTATTAAGTCTGAGGTTTATATGGTATCTAGGTAGGAATTGTATTAATTCTGAGGTTTATATGGTATCTAGGTAGGAGTTGTATTAAGTCTGAGATTTATATGGTATCTAGGTTGGAGCTAGCTGATAACATTAGCTATCTGGTGAAGTTTTAAGAGGTCCTAGACAGTAGATCGAAATATTTCCAGCTATTGCTCAAGCGCACATAGGAAGATGGCATCGGACACCAACAAGTATTTCACTCAACGTGTTTGACTTGACTGTCGTTACGTCACTTTTATGGGGAGGTGGAGGTAGCCCCATGATTCAGTAAGTTTCATATATATATATATGTATGATACTTTTGTGACCCGTCCCTAGTCGCATGGCAAGCAGGTTAAGGCAAACTTCGGGGACTAAAAAGTCCACCAGTAGTATCTACCACCTGCATCCTCGAATGGAAAGAAAACATTAGGAAAATGAAATTTCGCCAACAGGAAAAGGCATAAATAAGGCACGGTTCTGATGTGTGTGACAAATTGCCCCGACCTCGAGATCTGTTGCATGATTATCAAGTTGAAGCCAAGAACAGTTTTCTTCCATGGTAACAAGAGTAAATATATAAATTAAATCTTGCCTGTAGCAAATGACACAACTAGGACACGGATTCGGGATAATCAGATTCACATATAACATCTTTCCTGCCTTATGTACCAGATACTTCCGATTATTGCTCCGAAGTAATTCTGAATTTTGAACAATGAACATTTCAGTGTAAAATAATTAAACTGAACGATTTTGCAAAACTAGTAATCGATGAATTTAGTGCAGACACATCATACCATAAATTTACAATACCAAAAATCATCGCATATCTGTTTTGGTTTGGTGAAATTAGCCTAAAGAGAAAGTGTTTGAAACACTTGTATCTATTTCCCCCTTAAGGTCCCACCTCTCCTCCCACCCAATTATGTCTCGGACCTGTGACAAAATCCTGGCATTCCTATAGCTCACTTCGGGTCAGGCGAGTTAACAAGAGATCCCACAGGGATATTGGTGCCTACCTGCCTTTGATATTTCATTTAATATCATTTTTTCCCCCTTTCCTATTTCGGTCTTAATAAATTTCCTTGCAGAAATAGCTATGATAATCGAACTGCCAAATCCAAGATGGTCACCTCGAAGTTTTTGTTTTCCAGGCCCAACAAAGACCGAATGGAACCTATGTATGAAATTTGATAAAGATCTAAGCTGTATTTCTCAAAAAAGAGCAATAAGAATCTTTACTAGACAAATTCCGAGATGGCTGCCTGTCGGCCATTTTGTTTTCTGACTAGACCCAAAATCAAACATGCACCTTGGGACAAAGGGGAAACTACAGAGGAAACTTGAGATCCACGGAGTACTTCTCATGAAATAGCAATGTATTTAACTGAAAAAAATCAAAGATGGCCACTTGTCAGCCATTTAGTTTTTCTGATCAGTCCAAGAATTAAATAGGCACAACTAAGGACCATGGAGATTTATCCAGTACTTCTCAAGAAAATGGTGATAAAATTGTTTATTGAGGGACGGATGTAGGGCAAATTGAATAGCCCACCATCTGATCAAATTAAGTATGAAATAAGATTCAAAAGCATGATTTCCTTCTGCTGTTTATTCCATCAATTATTTTTAGATCTGCACAGGGCAGTTGCTCGGTTATTTAACCGAGCAAATAAAAAAAAAAAGAAAAAAATGCAAGCGTTATTTCTAACGCTTTCTGCGGAGACTGAGAGAATTGGACTTCTTCCAGTTTGCCCTGCGTGACCCTCCAGTAGTTTTGTGGAATCCATGACCCTTTCCAAGACCACGTGAACTCTTTCCAGCAGAAGTAAGACCACGGAGCTCCCTGTGCTTGTGGACAGCCTTGCAAATCCACTGTATTTTTGGGTCTCTGCGGATAGCCTTATGGAAGGTATCCACCAGAATAACTTCAAAGAATTTGTAGCTGGAATCTTGAGCAACCCAATAGGAGTTCAGGACACGGAGTGCTCCACACTTGCGACCAACACGTTCCTGCAAATCAAATGATGTACTCATTACAAAACCAACCAAATTTTGTATATAATATTTTATACAAAACCAAGAAGCTACATTCAATTTTACATTAGCATTTATTACCAAATACACTGTATCACACCAAATGATTCTGGAGCTTCAATCAGGATACAGAAATTTTCTTACTTGGACAATATCAACGTAAAAGCTAGACATGGATAAAAATAACTAAAGGTAGATAACTCTTAACAAACCAAACCATCATTCTTTCAGTTTGATTATGTGATGCTACTAGGTAAAGTTACAATTATATTTTGATTATAAATTTTGCTTGAAGAGAACTTCCTACAAGAGTGATGTTCATACTTAGAGAAAAAGCTTACAGATATTGCCTGTAATCTACAATCTGATAGCAGTCTCAAACAACAATCGTATCAAATTTCAGTTCAATATTCCGTTCAATTTACCTCCGAACATTTCTTTAGTGCAACTGATAATTCTAGAAAAAAAAAGGTTGATTGGTACCAAATTGGAATCTGATCTTACTATACAACTATGTACATGACATTTTCATTTCCTCAACACCATTTGTCAAAGGGTGAATATTTAGAACAAAATAGACAAGATTGAAGGCTCTGGACAACACTATATGCTCAGGCCATAAAATCAGACTTTAAAATTCTTGATGTATACCTCTGCAATGGATCTGTGTGAGCGCTGGAATTTAAGCTGGTTCACTCCATGAGTTTTTGGTTTACCATAGGTACATCCCTTAGCAACTGGGCGCTTGCGTCCACCACGGCGAACACGTACCCTGTAGATGACGTAACCTGTAAACATAACACATTTCCAATGAAAAATCTTAATGGAATATAAACTTTTTATCAAAACACTTTCAAATGTATCTGGCATCACAAGTATATTACATTCATACAGATAACAACAAATCCAGAAAAAAAAAACAAAAGCAAAAAACAGAAAAGATATTGCTTTCCCGTTGAAAGTATTTTGCAAAGTACTGGAATGGCCTTAACACAGATATGAATACAACCCTCGCGTCCTCCTCTACGAAATAAATGATCCATTCAAAGCACTTGTTCTAAACTGAATTCTGCTTTGGCTTACCGTATTTGGGGATATTTTTTATTCATTTGAGCGATGTTATACAGATATATCAGATTATTTCAAAACTGCATCATTAAATAGATAACACAATGAGAAATTATCTCAATTTTATTTTTGTTATTGAAACTTGATCCCAAAATAATAACCAACAGATCTTATTTCAAAAGAAAATAAGTTTCAACAACAATGCTACATCTATCAACTGGAATCAACTTATTTTTTTGTACCGACTTCACCACCCAGAATACAGACACTGACCTTGCTTAGCCCTGTATCCCAGCCTCCTGGCCTTGTCTGGACGTGTGGGACGGGTTGCTCTATGGATAGCAGATAGCTGACGGTACTGCCAGCACCTTACTCGCAGAAGAAACCTCATCACATCGGTCTGCTTCTTCCTGTATAACTCCTGAATGTACTTGTAGGCACCCATGATGGAACCGATGAATCCTTACCTGCTAAAGAACAACCATATTAACACGTTTTACACGAGAGAGACAAAATCCAGGACACCATTTTCTTTTGGGAGATCATTCATCCAATCATTTGGTCATCAATCTCAATTACCAGTTTTATCTTCAAACATATGTTTTTTTGACATTATGAACATGCATTTTTGGCAGCCAAACAGATTTACTGAAATTTGACTACCATTTATTTAGAGTCAATTCATAAATGGACGTAATCTTGCGTTACTTTTTTATGCTCGACAGGAATTTTCAAAAATGTGCATTTTGAGCTTTACACATATTAGTTCCAACATCCGACACATGTGTTCGTGTATCGAAGATTGATTCCAAAACAGGTGAACCATTTGAACCGGGGTGTGTGAACGCCCAACCCCTTCCCTACTTCTCGGTCGAAAGGGAACGTTACTTCTTTCTAGATAGAGACGGTCAAAACTGTGGACATGTGTACTTCCGACACATTTTATGCTTTGGAGATTTCGTGAAAATACACATACAAGATATAGTATTATAATTTGAAGAAAACTCCATTCAAGATTCTTTCTGGATATAGGTGTGTTTACTCTTAACGTGGCTTTGCAGTGCTACGTCCTGATGTTAAAATGAAAATATTCTATTTGTAAGGAACCAACGACATTATTAAAGGTTTAAAGAGCAAGATTATTTTAATTCAGATGTTTTTATCTCCTTAACTCTTTAGTATAACGCGGTAAAGCACAGATGTCGGCAGATACAGTTTGGCAAGTTAATTGTACCTTCCGTCAGTAATGGTGGTGCCGGTGAAAAGGATATCGTCTGGCACGAGATGTTGCGAGATTTACTGAGCATAGTCTTGCTAAAGGCCATGATACGATTAAAGTTATCAAACTAATAATAATCACGAACAAGTGAAACCGTTGAAGGAACAGAAAAGATAGTCGTGGAATTATAGTGTTTTGTAATTGCTGATTACTATTGAGGAATAATTATCTTACGGAACGCTATTCAAAGCTCGAATTTTAAAACGACCGGCTGACCATGTATGTGCATGTTCACTAACTAGTCTGAAGCAAAGACTAAAACCATTAATACTGCATAGTATTTGTGTAATTTCGGGATAAAGTCATAAGATGATATAAAAGTGTGAAATGGCTTTCCGTTAAAGTCATGGTCTATCAATGTCGTTACGAAAACACCTGTCTTTCGTTTTCTTATTATGGTCCCAATTACCATTGAACTATCGCAGTTACCTCCCTTAGTCCATGACATCGCTGCAACGATAACACTGAAACCTTTATAATATGTACGTCATATGTCCTACCACGTTCGCCCCCTCTCTCTCTCTCTCTCTCTCTCTCTCTCTCTCTCTCTCTCTCTCTCTCTCTCTCTCTCCACATATGGTATAAACCACGATTAACTGTGTAATTTACACCAATCAATTAAAAGCTCAATAAACGGATTCAAAGACCTCGTTGGAATCACATATCTCAAATAGTTTAACTTTATGCAATGAAAATAACGAAATTCATAACGAATATCATAAAACAAAGACGTTTGAAATGCTTTCATATGGAAGCGCAGGAGTGGATCTATTGCCCCGACCTCGAGATCTGTTGCATGATTATCAAGTTGAAGCCAAGAACAGTTTTCTTCCATGGTAACAAGAGTAAATATATAAATTAAATCTTGCCTGTAGCAAATGACACAACTAGGACACGGATTCGGGATAATCAGATTCACATATAACATCTTTCCTGCCTTATGTACCAGATACTTCCGATTATTGCTCCGAAGTAATTCTGAATTTTGAACAATGAACATTTCAGTGTAAAATAATTAAACTGAACGATTTTGCAAAACTAGTAATCGATGAATTTAGTGCAGACACATCATACCATAAATTTACAATACCAAAAATCATCGCATATCTGTTTTGGTTTGGTGAAATTAGCCTAAAGAGAAAGTGTTTGAAACACTTGTATCTATTTCCCCCTTAAGGTCCCACCTCTCCTCCCACCCAATTATGTCTCGGACCTGTGACAAAATCCTGGCATTCCTATAGCTCACTTCGGGTCAGGCGAGTTAACAAGAGATCCCACAGGGATATTGGTGCCTACCTGCCTTTGATATTTCATTTAATATCATTTTTTCCCCCTTTCCTATTTCGGTCTTAATAAATTTCCTTGCAGAAATAGCTATGATAATCGAACTGCCAAATCCAAGATGGTCACCTCGAAGTTTTTGTTTTCCAGGCCCAACAAAGACCGAATGGAACCTATGTATGAAATTTGATAAAGATCTAAGCTGTATTTCTCAAAAAAGAGCAATAAGAATCTTTACTAGACAAATTCCGAGATGGCTGCCTGTCGGCCATTTTGTTTTCTGACTAGACCCAAAATCAAACATGCACCTTGGGACAAAGGGGAAACTACAGAGGAAACTTGAGATCCACGGAGTACTTCTCATGAAATAGCAATGTATTTAACTGAAAAAAATCAAAGATGGCCACTTGTCAGCCATTTAGTTTTTCTGATCAGTCCAAGAATTAAATAGGCACAACTAAGGACCATGGAGATTTATCCAGTACTTCTCAAGAAAATGGTGATAAAATTGTTTATTGAGGGACGGATGTAGGGCAAATTGAATAGCCCACCATCTGATCAAATTAAGTATGAAATAAGATTCAAAAGCATGATTTCCTTCTGCTGTTTATTCCATCAATTATTTTTAGATCTGCACAGGGCAGTTGCTCGGTTATTTAACCGAGCAAATAAAAAAAAAAAAAGAAAAAAATGCAAGCGTTATTTCTAACGCTTTCTGCGGAGACTGAGAGAATTGGACTTCTTCCAGTTTGCCCTGCGTGACCCTCCAGTAGTTTTGTGGAATCCATGACCCTTTCCAAGACCACGTGAACTCTTTCCAGCAGAAGTAAGACCACGGAGCTCCCTGTGCTTGTGGACAGCCTTGCAAATCCACTGTATTTTTGGGTCTCTGCGGATAGCCTTATGGAAGGTATCCACCAGAATAACTTCAAAGAATTTGTAGCTGGAATCTTGAGCAACCCAATAGGAGTTCAGGACACGGAGTGCTCCACACTTGCGACCAACACGTTCCTGCAAATCAAATGATGTACTCATTACAAAACCAACCAAATTTTGTATATAATATTTTATACAAAACCAAGAAGCTACATTCAATTTTACATTAGCATTTATTACCAAATACACTGTATCACACCAAATGATTCTGGAGCTTCAATCAGGATACAGAAATTTTCTTACTTGGACAATATCAACGTAAAAGCTAGACATGGATAAAAATAACTAAAGGTAGATAACTCTTAACAAACCAAACCATCATTCTTTCAGTTTGATTATGTGATGCTACTAGGTAAAGTTACAATTATATTTTGATTATAAATTTTGCTTGAAGAGAACTTCCTACAAGAGTGATGTTCATACTTAGAGAAAAAGCTTACAGATATTGCCTGTAATCTACAATCTGATAGCAGTCTCAAACAACAATCGTATCAAATTTCAGTTCAATATTCCGTTCAATTTACCTCCGAACATTTCTTTAGTGCAACTGATAATTCTAGAAAAAAAAAGGTTGATTGGTACCAAATTGGAATCTGATCTTACTATACAACTATGTACATGACATTTTCATTTCCTCAACACCATTTGTCAAAGGGTGAATATTTAGAACAAAATAGACAAGATTGAAGGCTCTGGACAACACTATATGCTCAGGCCATAAAATCAGACTTTAAAATTCTTGATGTATACCTCTGCAATGGATCTGTGTGAGCGCTGGAATTTAAGCTGGTTCACTCCATGAGTTTTTGGTTTACCATAGGTACATCCCTTAGCAACTGGGCGCTTGCGTCCACCACGGCGAACACGTACCCTGTAGATGACGTAACCTGTAAACATAACACATTTCCAATGAAAAATCTTAATGGAATATAAACTTTTTATCAAAACACTTTCAAATGTATCTGGCATCACAAGTATATTACATTCATACAGATAACAACAAATCCAGAAAAAAAAAACAAAAGCAAAAAACAGAAAAGATATTGCTTTCCCGTTGAAAGTATTTTGCAAAGTACTGGAATGGCCTTAACACAGATATGAATACAACCCTCGCGTCCTCCTCTACGAAATAAATGATCCATTCAAAGCACTTGTTCTAAACTGAATTCTGCTTTGGCTTACCGTATTTGGGTTTTTTTTTTATTCATTTGAGCGATGTTATACAGATATATCAGATTATTTCAAAACTGCATCATTAAATAGATAACACAATGAGAAATTATCTCAATTTTATTTTTGTTATTGAAACTTGATCCCAAAATAATAACCAACAGATCTTATTTCAAAAGAAAATAAGTTTCAAGAACAATGCTACATCTATCAACTGGAATCAATTTATTTTTTTGTACCGACTTCACCACCCAGAATACAGACACTGACCTTGCTTAGCCCTGTATCCCAGCCTCCTGGCCTTGTCTGGACGTGTGGGACGGGTTGCTCTATGGATAGCAGATAGCTGACGGTACTGCCAGCACCTTACTCGCAGAAGAAACCTCATCACATCGGTCTGCTTCTTCCTGTATAACTCCTGAATGTACTTGTAGGCACCCATGATGGAACCGATGAATCCTTACCTGCTAAAGAACAACCATATTAACATGTTTTACACGAGGGAGACAAAATCCAGGACACCATTTTCTTTTGGGAGATCATTCATCCAATCATTTGGTCATCAATCTCAATTACCAGTTTTATCTTCAAACATATGTTTTTTTGACATTATGAACATGCATTTTTGGCAGCCAAACAGATTTACTGAAATTTGACTACCATTTATTTAGAGTCAATTCATAAATGGACGTAATCTTGCGTTACTTTTTTATGCTCGACAGTAATTTTCAAAAATGTGCATTTTGAACTTTACACATATTAGTTCCAACATCCGACACATGTGTTCGTGTATCGAAGATTGATTCCAGAACAGGTGAACCATTTGAACCGGGGTGTGTGAACGCCCAACCCCTTCCCTACTTCTCGGTCGAAAGGGAACGTTAATTCTTTCTAGATAGAGACGGTCAAAACTGTGGACTTGTGTACTTCCGACACATTTTATGCTTTGGAGATTTCGTGAAAATACACATACAAGATATAGTATTATAATTTGAAGAAAACTCCATTCAAGATTCTTTCTGGATATAGGTGTGTTTACTCTTAACGTGGCTTTGCAGTGCTACGTCCTGATGTTAAAATGAAAATATTCTATTTGTAAGGAACCAACGACATTATTAAAGGTTTAAAGAGCAAGATTATTTTAATTCAGATGTTTTTATCTCCTTAACTCTTTAGTATAACGCGGTAAAGCACAGATGTCGGCAGATACAGTTTGGCAAATTAATTGTACCTTCCGTCAGTAATGGTGGTGCCGGTGAAAAGGATATCGTCTGGCACGAGATGTTGCGAGATTTACTGAGCATAGTCTTGCTAAAGGCCATGATACGATTAAAGTTATCAAACTAATAATAATCACGAACAAGTGAAACCGTTGAAGGAACAGAAAAGATAGTCGTGGAATTATAGCGTTTTGTAATTGCTGATTACTATTGAGGAATAATTATCTTACGGAACGCTATTCAAAGCTCGAATTTTAAAACGACCGGCTGACCATGTATGTGCATGTTCACTAACTAGTCTGAAGCAAAGACTAAAACCATTAATATTTGTGTAATTCGGGATAAAGTCATAAGATGATATAAAAGTGTGAAATG